GGGCGGTGGAAATGGCTTGTTAACCACGAACTTGGGAGTGATATGGAAGCTACTAAGACCCTCCTGGTGTCCGCATCCCCATGCGAGTCTGATCGAGGAAACCACTGAGCGGGTGAGGTTGGCACCAACGGAAGATGAAGATCTGGCGAAGTTGAGTGTGCTGCATAAGCTAATCACGCCCCAGATGCAAGAGCCAAGCGAAAGGATGAGCGACCCTGGGTCAGCAAAGAAATTGGAGCCGGGTAGTTGTCTGGATTCGACGTGTGGGAACGGAGAGCACATCTGCGATGGACGGTCATGCGTCAGAATACTGTCGTTTCAAAAAGAAGATCTGGTCACTTGGTTCGAAGACATCACAGAAAGGGAGAAAAGTGAAGTGCAAATAATAGCGGAATGTTACGCGAGAACCACGGTGAATATAGCGACAGCTCTCGGATTCTTCTCGAGAATGTGTGGTCTGCAGGCACTGGAGAGACTGGAGTCTGAACATCATTTAGTGACGGCGTTGAGCGTAGAATCTTGGCCCGGGGTGTTGCAGGTGACTCAAAAACACATCCGGAGCTGGAAAGTTGGTCTTGAGGCGGAAATGGGATTTCCCTTGAGCGAAGCTTATGGCTTGCCATTGAACGCGAAGTCGCTGATAGGGTCAATGATGGCCAACTTGTGCGGAAGTCACTACCCGCTACACATGGCGATGGTGGAAGTGTCCAGCCAGAGAATACTGGTGGACAAGGCCTTCTCAGTGCCCAAGTGCGTGAGGTTGGCTCGGATATCGCATCACTCGCACAAGTTGTTGAGAAAAATCAAAGGGACAGTACCAAAAGAATTGAGAGATGACTTGAGCGAAATCTGGGGAGAAGATCTTCTGAAGTTGGAAAGAGAAAACACAAGCGATCACGAGAGACAAAACGTGATCGGGAAACCTGTGGGAAGTACTCCAAACCTGGAAGACAATGACACGATGCACGAGAAAATGATGGAGCTTGAGCCTCTCTTGGAAGCCTCAGGGGAGCGTAATCTCAGGAGCATTGAGATCTCTCATGGGGAATGCCCATGCCACTGTTTGGCACAAACGGTGTGGTATCCAGATCACAAGAACCTTTGCCTGGTGTGGGATGTGGAAGAGATTCGGTCGATCGGACTGCCGGATCACCGGCAGAAGGTGACGCTCTTAGTAGTGAGCACGATGTTAGCTCTGAGATGGATAGAAGAGAATATAACGAAGTATCGGGAGGCGACGACACCAACGGCTGAGTCAATATACGCGATAGACTACAGCAGGAGACTTGAGTTGTTTGAGACTGCGTGCAAAGTATTCGCCATACCAACGGAAGTCAGGCACGTATGGAGTCGCTTGAGGTACTTTCCATGGTTTCGGGCGACACTGACGTCTTGGTTGTACAGGGCAACGAAAGATCACATGAGAAAACATCAAAAGGAGTATCGACAGTTCCAGGCCGAGATTGGGCCGGAAGCTTTCAAGAGACCCCTGCTAACCCATCGTAATGCGATCACGACGGGATGGAAGAGAGTGGGTAAGATGTCTAGAGACAATACCAAAGCGAGGGAGTCGATACTAGAGGAAGACCTGGCGAAGAACGTGAGCTTGAGCCTGCACAACTCCTTTTGCTTGAACCGAGAAGCTAGGGTGAAGGCACTACCCAACCAGGCAAAGAGATTGCAGGAGCAGAGAGAATGGATGCGATCTTATGAACAACTGAAGGCTTGGGAGGAGATTGTGATTAGTTCCGATGATGAAGAGGAACTGTTGAGACAGTTTGCCGCATCTAGCACTTCAGGATGCAGTACATCCAAGGCGAAGAGCACGAGGTGAATGGGCAAATCGGATGGATCTTGAGTCTTGAGAGGGAAGGGGGGCGTGAGTGTGAATCCGAGTGAAACTTGGATTCACGAAAAAGAAATTTTAACAAAGTAAATATTGTTACTAATATACTATATCTATTATATAAATCGAAATGCTGCATGACAATTTCCTGATTGGATAGGACAAAAGAATTTTTAAAATGATTGGCTTGAAAAGCGAAAAATTCAAAGGTGCAGGTAAATGCAGATTTTGATTGCTGTTTAGCAATAGTGTGAAAATTTTAAATGGTCGTGAATTTTGGGGTGTAGATAATCTTAAATCTGCTGCAAACTTCTGTAAATGACCACTGGCACTGTATCTTGAGCAACACTCGGTTTTTCTGGGACTCACTGGCAGAAGACAGCGCGCGATGAGGACATCGATCTCGAGTCCGGGGAGTATGTGCCAGTCGGTCATATTTGGAAGTTTGACCTTGAGAAGAGCAGAAAATACTTGATTTTGGAGAGAAATTTTATTTTTCAAAAATTCGAATGGAACATGTCATGCACGATTTCCTCGCGACAACTGAAAATCAGAAAAAGAAATCAGAACAATTTTAGAGCAATTGCGGGAAAGTTAGAAAGTAAAAACGAGTGGGAAATTGCTATTCGCAATTTCCGTCTATATATAATCGAGAGTAGAGCTGTCCTACTTGAAATAGAAGACAGAGCATCCCCGAGAGAGCGATCACTAAAGTTGGACCAGAGTGAACCTTCAGCGGAAAGGCGGACAACTAGAGTGTCCCAACGGTCCAAGAGAACTCAAATTCTAGAGCATGAACTTATCCTTGCTGTCCAAACTATAAAACATTAAACTTCTCTTAGTTATTTATTTCTTGAGTTAGTTACTGACTGGATTATTTCCCAATTCTTGAGCGTGCTGCTATGTGAGTACAAATTTAATTTCTAGAGTGTGTTTTATGATTGTTATGTTGAGATAAGGCGAGTTTTAGGTTGATCCATCTGAAATGGATCAAAGTCACACTGTCTAATAAAAAGTAACCTAACGGATTGTTCCAACCCGGTTTTTAATGGCGTTCATGTATTTTGGGTATCTAGAGACCTAAGTATGGGGACGTTTCTAATTCTAGAGTGGGGGGATATTTTAGTAGTAGCCTTTAAGCTGTAACGGGTCGTAGTCTCATGTCATAAGCGAACCGAACTGGCTCCGACCGTTCTTGAGGTGGGAAAACACAAGAGATAGTGTCCCTGACCCTTGAGCCAGTGGTTATAGGGCCTATTTTTCTTAAGCCTCATGTGTGACCGCAGTAGACGAATGTTACACTGCTGTCCAGCAATCGAAGCAATTTTCGGGAGCGTCTGAATTGGCCAATCAAATTCAACGTTGCGAAGTCTGGCATAGCGTGCAACCCACGATTTCACTTTATCGCTGTCAAGGATAGCTAGCTCACCGGCATCATTAGGCGCATAACTCTCGCCCGAGATGTCTTGAATCCTTATTAGCGCAATCCATCTGCTTAGCGATCTGAAAGACACCGAAATTTGTTATTACTTTGTTTTTTCTAGCATGTAGAGAAAAGATGCGCATCGATACGACGTTTTAAAATTTCTACTAACATTTTCTCTGTGAAAGAAGAAGAACACAAGATTAATCGAAAATGTGCAACGACGAGCGACACGAATGGTACAAGGGCTGCAGACACTAAGCTACAATGAAAGGTTAAAGAAATTAGAACTACCGTCTCTTCAATTCCGCAGAAGGCGAGGAACAATGATCGAAATGTTCAAAAATAGGTTACAACCGATATGACCCAAAAGCTACGAAAGACATGTTCGAATTGAATAATCGTGACACAAGGACAAATGACAAAAAAGTGATAACGAAGGCCAACTTCGAATTGCTGAATTTTTTTTACCATTAGATCAGCTACAGATTGGAACATGTTGCCAGGTGAAGTAATGGACTCGAAGTCCTTGAACGCTTTCAACAACAACCTGAACAAACATTGAAAAAAAGCGGAATTAATAAATTTGAGACTAATTAATCGAAAAGGATAACATCATGAGCTGATCGATAGAGGCGATAAAACGCCTAAAAGATCAGAAAAAGAAGTGAACTGAACTGAAAGACAAATTACTTCTAATTTTCTGCACTTTAAATCAATTTTGAGTAAGTACAGCAACTGTCTAAATTTTGATTTTAAAAACTGCCTTTTCAGATATGAAACTTTCAGTTTTACCGTACAAAAACAAAATATTGATAATTTTGAGCTTTCCCTGCACTAGAATCAGTAAAATAAACGGTGAATTCCCATAGGTTCCAATATTCATAGGTTCCAAAATAAAAAATCAGTCCCATAAGTTCCAAAATTTATCTTCTTGAATTCTGATTGGTGGAAATTTGAGCCAACGAATTTATGGATTGATTGTTTACTGTTCAACCAGCATAAACTCAAGCTGCAGAATAGTGACCGCCGCAGCCGCGCCAACGTGTTGCGAGCTTGCCACCAAAGGGTAGGACTCTATACGAAATTTAGAGCCGGTTATCGCCGCGACGTGCGCGTAGCGTCCCCACCGGCGACCTTGAACCGAGACTCGGCTAATGTAGTCTTTCGACCAATTGAAAAGATTTGGAACTTATGCGACTGCTTTTTTATTTTGGAACCTATGGGACTGATTTTTTATTTTGGAACCTATGAATACACACCAAATAAACATTGTTTAAAAAAATCGAAAAATTTGATTTTTTTCCGTTTGATTAAAAATTTATTTGAAAGACAACTGCAATCAAATGAGGCAAATTCTAATGTCCTAATCATGTTGTAGATCGTCTCCCCACACCCAATTTCTAAAATACGCAAAATATTGAATAAAGTTTCTCTGAGCGAAACTTTAGTTCATAGAATTTGTTCTTTGATTCTCAAAACTCGTAATAACTAGTCTTTTTTAATGAATATCGAGTGGGACTAATCAACCCTTCAGCGTTGCTGTAATTCCACAACTAAAACAACAACCCAAAAAATGGCCCAACCTCATTTTTATCAAGTTATTATTCTAATCAAGTAATTGCTTGTTATTTCAATGTCAATTGTAATTTTGTGAATAGTAATGAAGGCTTTTTTAGGAACAAATAATTCACGAAGTCCATTCGTGTCACTGAAGTTGTATTTTAGAATTAGATGAGTTGTCCTGAAGTGCCGAAAGCGGGTGACCTGTCGCCATCTTTGCGTGCGTTGGTTCCGTATTTGAACGTTGCTGTTCAATTCGACAAAAGGGATATAGTGGTTTCGTACTACTGCAGGATGTACGCAATGAATTTGGGAATCAAAACTAAAACAGATGGAGATAAAGCAGCAAAATCAGTTTTACTTTCTTTGATGACATACTTGGAATACGCCAAAAACAATTTTGGCAAGGAAAATGAAGGTATTGCGTAAGTATCAACTTCTAATATCCGACCCAGTATCCGATTTGCTCTTGATGGTGTGTTACAAAGCCGTGATTCAATTCTTTCGGCGTTTGTAAATTTCAAATAGTATCAAATTGTGTAGAAATTTTTCCATCAAACAACTAGCTAAACTTAAATATATCAAGTGCTAAGGGAGACCAGTTAAGCTGCAATTATGTAGCATATGTAACACATATTTGGAGCTTCAAGAATTTGTGGTTCGTATTTCAATATGAAAGAATTTACAGTTTTCAAAAGATTTCCAGATGCTGATTTTGACACGTGCAAGAGCAAGTGTCTTGTATTTGTGAACTTGAAATTTTCCCATCAACAACTTCTTATACAAGAAATTAACTATTGTTGAACCCTAACAACTTCCACCTTCCTTTGTTACTGGCCTGGAGGTAACACTGTTGCTTTCGCAGCCTAAGGATCGGTGTTCAAGTCTCGGCAGGACCTTTTTTTTCTCAGTATGTGTGAAATTGAAGGTGCCTCATCGTAATTTTTCTTGTTCTGTAAGCAAGTATCATGGTATTTGCAAGTGTTGATCATTGTTCTTTCAGAGGTTACTTGAAACTTTTCTCTGAGTGTAGCGCATTATGTCTACGCTTAAAAAATCTCTCATTGAGATCAAGTTGCCATAGTTCCGCGCATATTTTTATTGTTATAGTTCGAAAAAAAGTCAATTCAAATGGGCCCTTCCGTCATGCGACGGTACATGCACAAATTGGATAGGGCCGTACCAACGCTATATACATACATCGGCAAAGTTTTATGAATAAATCAAGTCGATATTAATGCATCAAGAGAATTGTCAATTAAAATCTACCCTCCGTGATTATAGCACAGATAGAATTGTCTATGTTGGATGTATTTTAAAGATTTTTGCGCCTCCTAAGGCAGAGGATTGCACTTCTCAAAAGTGCAAAACTTATTTTTGTTCTTATAAAGTTTATTGTGTCCGAGTATGATTCGTTCCGTTTCTCGCTTAGTTTCTCTGCTAGTTTCTGGATGGTTTTTGTAGAGCCTGGAGCTGCTCCTCCGGTACACGCAAAAATTAGTGGAACAAAGCTGCTGTGTTCCACATTCAGAATTCTTTGTTGGTTTTTTAATGTTTTGACACTCTCGTGATATTTGTAGGCGTCAGATTTAGTTTTGGGGCAGGATTTCATGGGGGTTGAAAATTTCTACATCGAAAAAGGTTCGGCTGAATCGGCCTCCCCAGAGTCCATTTGCCTTGATGCCATGTCGATCGTCATCTCCAGTAGTGGTTGTTTTGTTGTGAAAACTTTCGCCTTCCAACGATTGAAGTTTCGGCTCTATTTCAACATCATGGCATACTTCGTCCAGGAGTGTCGCAAAGGTATCGCGAATTTCATTATGTCTTAGGTGAGTGTATCCACCTTTGGGACAGTGTAGAGAATGGATCAGTGTAAACGGTTGTCCACATGGACATGTATGCAGGGTGTTTGGTGGTTCCCATCCATATCTCAGATGTAATCAATCTTTAAACTCTGATTTGTTGAGGGAAAAATTGTATCTTTTTAAGGGTAGCACGCTTAGTCAATTCGATGCTTCTTTCTGTAACGCTAGATTTATTGTCAGTTTTTTTTTCTGATGAGTAATTTTCCATAATTTTAGCCTTTTTTGAGAGTGTGATGTTCTCTCTCTCAGTTTGGATGTTTCTATTTGTCAGAGTGTGTTCCGTTTCAGCTATTTCTGGATCACTGTTTTCTATCGGATCACAAATGGCTTGTGACCACTCATATTTTCTGGAAAAGTCCGTGTTACTGAGGAGGTCTAATACTCCCATTCTTAGTGGTAGTGCAAAAAGGTTGCGATCTCCATCGGTTATATGGTTTTTACCAGTATTACTAGGAAGTAGCTGATGTCTTACATTTTTCTCAATTTTATCCATTTTCTTAAATGCTTCCGGAGTTGTTCTGGTTAGAAAGCTTAAATTATTTTCAGCTCCCTTTGTGTAGCAGGAGTACGCATTTTGTGGTGATGTTTCAGCCATTTTGGGAAACTTTTCAGTTAGGGTAGCTGTCTTTTCAATTTCGCTTTCCATGTATTTATCGCATGCTGATGGTGTTCCTTTAAACGATCCAAGGACTCTAAAACCGTCTACCATTGTAATATTTGTGTCTTCAAATACTTTTATGGCGCTGTCACGACGGTTTTCTTTTAGTATGAGTTGACACTTGGAAGGCTTTACATTGTATCCGAAAGCCTTTCCGTGCAATCCAGGTTGTCCAGTATTGCGCGGAGACTCTTAAGATCACCTGCAGCGCTTCCATCATCTGCGTACCATTTTTGGATGACCATTGGTTTTTGCAGGAGCTCAATCAGTGGGGTTATCCCAATTCCGTACATAGCCATTGCGAGGGGATCACCTTGCGTTGTGCCCTCGGTAGATGTCAAAACCGTGTTATTGACATATAGATTTGAGGGATGTTTATGTGAGTTGGCCAGCGCATGATGTAGCGCCGGACAAAGGATTTCTACATTTTTAGAGCAAGTTTTCTATTGAGCGAGTTGAAGGCATTTTCTGCATCAATAAGTAGTATGGCGTACGTTCCCGGTTTCTCAAACTCGTTCCTCAAGCTGTGGATAGCATATTCGATTCCACACTCCTGGCCTAAGCAGAGTTGGAAATTTTTTCCGAGACTTTTAAGGTCTGATTTTATACATTGGGTGATTGTTTTGCCAATTATTCTTCTCAGAACTTCGCCTATACCAATGGGCCGTACCCCTGGATTTTTGTCCAGAGGTATCAGGCGACACGAGTTGTACGCCATTAGGTTTTCATGGGGGAGAACTTTAGTTGCTATTGTATAGGATAGTTTAGCAATTGTTTTGCAAAGCTCAATGGATATCTGGTTGAAGTGAGTTAATATCCTTCTCCATTCGCACGCATCTAGACCTGAGTGACCGTGGCTTGCGTGCGTTTTCAGGGTTGATTTTCGAACTGTCTTGGCGTTTATTTGTTCGAATATAGAGGGGTGGTATGGCATTGTGTCTTCATTTACTTCAGTTATATAGTTAGTGTTCGCTGTTTTGGCTTGAGGGTGTTTTTTGCCAGGATACTAAGAACTGTTTTTCCTTCAATGACTTCGTTTAGGGGAAGTACTCCTTTGTTTTCTTATCTGAAAAGCAGCCAATGGCGGCAGATATTTTGCCTGTACTCATTAGTTTATCGAATTGCTTAACTTCCTCGTTTACTTCGGAGTTCTTCTGTTTTGGATGTCTAATTTGGAGAGCTTTCGCTTCAGTGAAAAGTTTGTCTAATAGGCCTTGCTTCCATAAAATTATGCGGCGGCTTAGTGTTTTAGAATTTGATCCGTTTGTTTCTGATTCAATTATGGGGAACAGCAGATATGGGAGAATCATTGCTGCTTTCATGGCGATGTTTGAATTTCGTGTTTCTTCTACTAATGACAACAGCTGCTGGCTCAGTAGTTCTATGAATTGGAAACCGGGCTTAATCTTGCTTGTAGTTATGAAGTGCGGTTTCCAGTTAACGACATTTTTAGGTATGTCGTTTGTTTTATTTTCAAGTTCTTGGTCGATAAGTTTCCAGGGGTCCAAGGGGGCTGTAGTGATTGCTGGGGGCGATGGATAAGATTGTATTGCGTTGGGCAGTATGTTTAATTCAGGTGTTGATGGTGATGTTTATTTTTGAGATGTACTGGGGGCTGTGCTTGTTGGTCTGTTGGTGGAGTTGGGCTCTTTTGCAAAGTTCTCGGGGGTGCATTGTATGCAGTAGAACCCATCGTAATAAAATTTGCTGCTCTCTAGCCCGCTACATGAGACATGGATGTAAGCTTTGTAATTGACACACCATATGCCTCCTTTTCGGAGGTGGCGTTTGCAAATATTGTCACAGTCGCCTACTTAAGTCACATATGAGGTTAAAGAAAAATAGGCCCTATAACCATTGGCTCAAGAGTCAGGGACACTATCTCTTGTGTTTTTCTACCTCGAACGGTCGGAGCCAAATCGGTTCACTTGCGACATGAGACTAAAACCCTCGTTACAGCTTAAAGGCCACTACCAAAATACCCCCCCCCCCCACTCTAGAAAATAAAAACGTCCCCATACTTAGGTCTCAAAATACGCGAACGCCGTTAAAAACAGTGTCGGAACATTCCTTTTTAGTTGCTTTTTATTAGACAGTGGAACTTTGATCCATTTCAGATGGATCAACCTAAAACTCTCTTTACCTCAACATAACAATTATAAAACACAGTCAAGAAAACTAAATTGGGTACTCACATACCAGCACACTCGAGAATTGGAGTAACTAAATTAATCAGCAATTCATTAGCATTAAAGGGAATTAAGTATTAACTCAAGAAGTTGGTAATTTACGAATTCCAGCAAAGGAAATGAGTTTTGACTTGAGAAATAAGTTTTGGGGCTGGACCATCGGGAGACTTAGGTTGTCCACCTTTCCACCGAAGGTTCACTCTGGTCCACTTCAAGTGAATATCTTCTCTTCTCGTAATCGTTTGTCTCCTATTTCAGGATAAGACAGCTCTACTCTAGTGTGATTTTTATGTCTGGAAATTGCGAATAGCAATTTCCCGCTGCTTTTTCGACCACTTTCCCGCGATTGTAGTACGATTGTTCTGATCATGTATTTCTGAGATTTTCAGTTGTCGCGAGAAAGTTGATTATGACAGGCTCAATTCGAATTTTTGAAAAATTCCATTTCACCACAAAATTACGTTGTTCGTATTGCTCAAGGTCAAACTTCCAAATATGACCGACTGGCACATATGGCAGTGCGTTTGAGCGGCCATAATATGGCAGCGAGGAGGGTAAATTTATGGTGAATATATACAAGTTAGCTGAGCGAGCAAAAAACTGAAGATTTTATTACCATAAAAAGAAATGAATAACATCTTTACAAAACATATTAGCACTAAAATTAACGTTTAGATTGGGGAAATAATTCGGATTTTTTAGTGGTAAAATGTATTAATAATGCGAAACAAAAATCTATTTAGAGCACCAAGTTTTCTGTTAGTGAAGTGATTATTTGCAGAGAGGATGGTTTTGGGGATAATTAGCACATTTGCGTTAAACTTATGAATTATCAAATTTATGAAAAATCTTCAATCATTAGCAAAGTCTGAAACCGTAGATGAGTTATCATTAAATCCGGCTACTATAGTAACACAGTTCAGTTTCTGCGAGGGGTAGCTCGAGACAGTAGCGGCAAGGTCGGCTAGCTTTGCACCTCTGTACGAGTGAACCGTGGCTCCGACATCTTTGGGGCTGCAGTACTTGGTCCTTGAGGTTCCTGTTACCAGTTTCCTGCTCCACTTGGGTAGCCACTTTGGCCTGTACTTCGGCACGGACATTCACTAAACAAGGTACAAAAGAGGCAAAACAAGAAAAAGAATACATTGTTAAATGAATTGTAGAGAAATGGATTTAAAAAACAAATAACAAAAAAATGAAAGCGATTACAACCTGGTTTTTCATGGGTGGAGGTTTCGGCGGGGATGTCCGGGTAGAGAGGGAGTATCGCTGCTTGACGAGCTTGTCTCTAAAATCCCGTACCGGGCCTTCTTCTTACAAGCGTACCATTATCAGCGTATCATATCACATGAAACTATTCAATAAGTTTATCACAACAATTAGGCTAATTTTTATAGTTATAGTTCGAAGCTATTGTTGTTGTTGTTGTTGCGCTGTGAACCCTCTTCACAGATTAGGGGGTCGTTTCCGATCAGTGCGCTTAAGAAATGATAAGATATTTGCGGGCGCATCCTGAAGTTGAGTTTCTGTAGGTTCATGGCCAAGGTGTTGATGTCTTTCTTCTGTCCATCGTTGGCAGTGAAGGAGGAAGTGCTCACTTGTTTCTTCGACTTCTTCGTTGCACTCAAGGCAGTTTGGGCTGTCTTGTCGTCTTCCCAAAACATGGAGAGTTTGTTGGAGATATGGAAAACGGTTTAACTTCAGTTGGTGTAAAGTTATCTCGTCTTCTCTGGTTCTGTTCGTGTCATGGGGGAGTGGTATGCCCTTAGTTGCCCTTCTGTGGAAATTTATCTCTGGTGTTACTTGATTGTAGTGTTCGGTTCTTAGTTCTTCTCTTTGTTGTGTTAGTTGTTCACGCACATCTTGGTTTGGTCCGATTATGTCGAGTCTTTTCCTTGCTATCATTCGCCAATCTGGTCTCATGCTGTCTTCTCCTCTCGACTTTAGTCTTGGTCTTGTTCTTCTTTCTCCCAGTCTGTGCAGGTAGTGATTTTCTGCCAGCCTCTGGTACTTGTGAAGCAGTGTTGCTGCCTCCTCCTGAATTACTTGAGTTAAGGGTGTTAACCCGGCTTCAGCGCAAGTTTGGACTGCTGGGGAACCTCTTGGCGCTCCAGTAATCAACCTGGCAGTTTTGTTGTTACATGCTGCGAGTTTTGACAGATGTGTCTTGGTCAGAAAGCTCCCCCAGTCACCGACGGCGTAGAGTCCTCCAGGTCGCCATGTAGTAGGGGGAGGAGAGGGATTGAGGGAGAGTGTACGGATGCTTCATACTTCTTTCAGAAGATTACCTAACGTTATCTAACAAAATTTGTCGACCTGTTTTTTTGGGTCGACTAAATTGATTTTCCGAGCTCAAATCACTAAAAATACCCCGTTTTTGCCAAATTTTAGGGTCCACCAGCCAAAATTTGAGGTCCTAAAATAGTACCAAAGGGGGACACTTTGGGTAGTCAGGGAGTCGAATCCCTGAGGGGGGGGGGGGGGGGGGGGGGGGGGAGTGGCGTCCGCCCACCCCCTAAATCCGCTACTGTTTCCTATCCTTCCCTATGTATTTATCCTCGCCTTTAAATTGACAACCCAGTTTTGCGTCAAGTCAAATTCTCCTGCAAAGATTGTGATATCCTTGTTAGCTAGACCTTTTCAACGATTTTCAGCGTTGAAGAATGCATTCGTAGCAGCATAAAAGGAGTCTTCTGTTGACGAGCTGACGAGCTACAGTTAGAATCTAGAATCCGAGCTTTGCTTCGGTGCGGTTTTTTGCCTTTCAATCTTTCCAGGGATTCAAGGTGTTTCATCGCCCATTGTACTTCGGTCTGCTGCGATGGTATGCTCGGATTCGCTTTCCAATCAATTTATGTTTCTGTTATCAGTGCTGTTCAGTAAAGATGATATAACTATTTCGTCGCTTTTTGATTTTGTTTCTTTTGGCTTTCTGAGGACAGACCCTTACCTTGTAGAGCTTTTTTCTCAATTTTCCATCGAATTGTGTTGACATCGAAGTTGTTTCGGATGTACTGCATGTTCAATTGCAAGCTCACAATTATAACGTGGTGGGCTTTTTTGCTGCTCCAATTGTATCTCTAAATTTATCTTCTAATAAAGCTAAGTGATTTCATTTCTCTTATGCACCATGGGTGGACAAGCCATACCACAAATCTTACTTGGATGGGTTTTTTTTTCAGGATTTTTCTTTCGACTTCAATTCGAAAGGAAGGCCAATTACGCTCTTCAATCAAGTTGGAATTGATGCAACTGGTTGATCTTGTTAAGTTTCGGAGAGTGACCGCTTACTTGAGAGAAAAGACACTTTTCCTACCTTTTGGATGAAATCAAGAACGATGTCAGTTTACGAGATCAGATCACTATGAGTGGTTTAATGTCCCTATTTATAAATTGATTTACTAACAATTTTTTGCTCTCTAGTTCAACTGTCGATTGAAATCTTGTTTTGCTGACCTGACCACCTGTGAAATATCCAAAGTTGCTCTTGGTCGAGATCTTTGTATGTGCTTGTAATGCGACCAAGTTCATGTGTAACATATATCACTCCCCAGTTCTAAAGAGTGGAAGTGTTCGTTTTGTTTAGAAACGAGCTTATTGCTGAAAGTACAATAGAGTCAACAGCTGTGAAACTTTTTTCGGCTGCTGACAAATTGGATCGCGCGGGAACTGCCAACCAAAATGTTGTCAAAATGTTCTTCACCTCAGCGAAGCTTTTTGAAGGTATTTTATTCAAATTATAAAAAATAAGCATTATGGAATAAAGTTTTTTCCAATAACTTTTAAGAGTTAATAAACGTAGTTCAGATCCCTTAGATAGGGGATGATTTTTTTTCAGGAAAAGTCTTAAATTTTGTTCAGGTTCAAATTTACTTTTTCGTGATCTGGCTTTTGATTTACGTTTATCATTTCATTTCCTTTGTTAAAAAAGAGACAAACTTCACTCTCGAACAGCAAAAGTGTGAAGGTCATTGAAAAATGCGATCTACTGCTAATTTTGTAAATCAATTTTTCAGATTTTCCAGCGGAATAAAAACTACCTATTCAAGCAGTTTTCTTATATTGAGTTAATTATGCCAGAAAAGTGTCAGTCATAATTGTTTCATTGAATGCAAAGAGTTTTAAGTCCATATAGTTTTTTACTAACAAATTCCAAAAATGAAAAAAAAAACAAGTCAGTTATTTTTTTTTGTTCCGTTGCGTTCATTGACTTTTTTCCAACTGTCTGTTGGCTATGTTTTTGCTTCCCCGAATGTCCACTAAAAGGGATTTTAAGTCAGTCCTAAAGCAGCAGATCTCACAAAATGAAATATGTTGACGTACATCCTCACCGATATGATCAACCTGTCCCTGCTTACATCAGACAAAGATCCCTAGATGTTATAAACACCATTATACTCGCTTTTCGAAAATTATTTTGATATTTTATGGTTAGATATGTTGACCAGGAGACGTTGCCTTGACCTTAAAACAGACATTATTGGGACTATAGCCTTCAAGCTAAAACTATATGCTATAAGTAAATAGATTTGTTGTGTTTGTAGTTTTGACATACTTCAAAGGCGATGTAACCGATTACGTGAGAGCTATGTATAAGTATGCGGCATGGAAGGCCACTTACATCAGCTCCTGTTTGAAGAAAGGAGAAACTCCGATTCCTGGACCTGCTTCTGTCCAAGGCTCAGAGGAAGAGGACGAGCTGAACGAACTTCTCAAACAACTCAACAACGCTCCTAACCCAAATGACCCGCTAGGTACTCAAGCTTTATTCAATAAAATCCTTCGGTTTCCTTGTTCTATTAGATTTTTCGAACTGGTATGTAAGTTCTCTATGGCAGCTAGGACAAATGTCTCAGTCGGGAAGACATTTGCTTTTAATATATGCAGGTCAGCTATTCGAATATTGTAGTCCGCTTACTATTTTTTCTAGATTTTTTTACTCATTTTTGTTTCCGTTCCTTTTTTACACTTGCCATTAGCAAGGGTGTTGCAAACGGGTACTAGACTTCCCCCCGTAAACAACTTTGTTCCCGCACGTGAAATTTTTACACGTGTTTTCAACTTGCTCATAATAAACCCGCTGCAAAATAAATTCAATCAACAATCCAGCGCATCTGGCGTAGAGTTAACCTACCTGCTGTAAATGACAAAGGATTGCGAAGCAAAGTGTATTAGTACGAACTTAATTTTTTTTTCAACCAAAGTCGCAAATAAAATTGCTACCTTTGGTGGCTTTTTTGGATCGGCAGGCTGCGGTAGCAGTATAAAATCAAGTGTGCTTCGACATTTGAAAAGTAAAAAGTTAACACAGCTGATGCATTTTTAATTCTTCAAATGAACCGACAAAAAATATTTGTTTCAAACAGCAGTACATGTAGCTGCATTATTGGTAGCTAATATTTGTTGATTTTAAGCGTCCGTTGCTGAGTGGTTAGTGTTTGAGACTCAAACTTTCCAGGTCGCAGATCCGAATACATAGCCGAGTTTTTGCTAAGTCGAGGCTTATTTCAATTTTTTCTTGTTTCTCGTGATAGAGCTGCTTTTTGGCCGTGTTCTCGCAAGTGTTTGCGAAGCCTAGCTTCGCCTCTGTGCTGACCATAGTCCGAATATATTTTTTTGTCGGCTAGTTCCTGTTTCCCGACTCTTTTTTCAAAGGTTCAGCTGTTTGAAAATACTGTTTTCAGTCAAAACTACGCAGAAACTGAACTTCTATTAACTTCAGTTTTTTGGTTTTTCCGTACTTTTCGCGTGACAACCTTCTGTGAGATCGGTCGTATTGAAACCCTCTCCGCAGTATTCTGCACCTAATCCAAATTTTCTCCGTGTTGATAGAAATCTGTTTTAAGATAAGTTCGTTCCTAGACTTTTTCGGTGTTAATGAACGAAAAAACGATATCTGTTAAGGTCGTGTCTGATTTTTTTTACGTTTCTTTGAACAGTCATAAAAGTCGATCACTCTCAAATTTATTTTTTTTGCAGTTTGATCTTGGTTTTTTAAGTTCAATTAAATATGCGTATATGAAATTAAAATCCACTCCAATAACGAAAGTGCAAATGGTGTGAATAAAATCTGAATGATTTAGTGTCAATTGTGAACTATGCGGAAGAAATCCCAGCGGATAAAATGTATCTGTTAATCTAGGTTTCTCACATTGGGTTTGTTTTTATCAAAAAAAGGTTTTTCAAATTCGAAGATGAAAATTCTTCTTGAAAAATTTTTCCAACTGGCTATTGGTTATGTTTTCCTTCGTAAAACGATCCGCAATTTTTCCTGGGATGTGCAAACTGTTTTTTATTGGCACTAGTATAAATTTTACGATTATGAATTATTGATAAATGAAGAAAAAGGCTTTGAATTTTTTTTTAGAATTTTGGCAAGCAAATATGTGTGTTATAATGCAAATTTTTTTCCACCTAAATAGAACAAAATTTACTTCAACTATTGTTTTTCGATTATATTCGTCAGTGTTTTTTATGCGTGCATTTAGTGTGCATTGTAGAGTGTCTCTTATTTTACAGTGTCTGTTATTTACTGTTTAAAAGTAAAAGAGTGAAGTGATTGTTTGAGGCTCAAGTTTGATTTTTCGCGGTTTGACCGCTAATTTCTTGAGCTTACTTCTTTTCCTTTGTTGTATGCAGGCAAACTCCTCTATCCAACAGCAAAAGTGAAAAGCTCGAAAAACGAGACCTTCTAGTTTCACAAATGAACTTGAGTTTTCCGAATTTTCACCGGGAAAAAAATATACCCATTGATCCACTTTACTTTAAGCTGGAAAACTTCACGGAGTGGCAATCATCATTAGTATTTGAAACCCAATAGTGAACAGCAAAAAGCAAAAGGTGTCGAAAAACGTGAATAATTTCTAGTTTCAAAAATGAACTATTTTTTGAATTCTCAGTCGAATATAAAACTTGCCTATTAATCCAATTTCTCTGAATGGGCAAATTTACGAAAAAAAGTGGCAATTATAATCAGTATTTGAAGTGCAATGAGCTTCAACGTGACATATTTGTTTCTTCGAAAGTTGAAATTTTTTCAAGCATTTTTTTCTCGGGTTCTTGTTGTGCCAAAAGGATGTGCAAGTTCCTTGTTTGTTCCAATATGATGTACAAGTTCTGTTCGACTGATAGGGCAGTTGTTTCAGTCGGGAATACCCATGTTTCTTGTTTGCATGTCAGTCGCTTGAAGGTTGTAGTCAGCTACTTCGTCTTTTTTCTTCGTTTATTACTAGGTTTTGTTTCCTTTCCATTTTACCCCTGCGATTAGTAAGTGTGTTGCACGTTGTTTAACTTGCTTCACAATTTTACACGTTGTTTAACTTGCTTCACAATAAATTCAACTTCAATCAACCATTCAGCGCATGTAGCGTAGAGGTAACATACCTGAAAATGACAAAGACTTTGGTTTGACAAAGGCTTGTGGCTCGAAACTGTTTTGCAAACTAAACTCAGACGGACGATAGCAACCTACTTTTTTATGATTCGTTTTTGTCAAACTTTTGACTCCATCGATTAATTTGCACAGATTTTTATGCTTGCGATTAGCAAGCGTTATCAGCTCGGAGAAATCTTTTTCTGGTAAGCAACATGCAATAGATTTACGATTCATTTTCTCAAATCTGCTGTTCGCCAACCAACAGACTTGTTTTTTAATCGTCAACAATTTTGGTCTAATTTCCGCTTTTTTTTTTGTTTTTTTTTTGCTGGGCTTAAAAATTATTCGTTTTATACCTGATCGGCTCAGTGGCTTCATATTGCCTCACTGGATGAGCGAAACAAGTTTAAAGAGTAATGAACGTAATGAGTATTCTGATATAGGTCTTGGTTATTTTTTTTTGTTTTTTAGGGAAAAGTCAGGTTTGTTCACGCTCTATTTTGATTTTTCGGGGTTTGAATTTTGGTTTCACTTTAAGTTCACTTCAATCCATTTGTTGAAAGGAAAGCAAACTCCTCTACTGAGCACCAAAATTGTAAAGGTCACGAAAAACGTGATCGACTTCTAATTTTGAAAATGGAAATTAATGATCAGATTTCCGAACGAAATAAAACGTTTGCCTGTTGATCTAGATTTTTTTAAAACTGGCTTATTTTTTAAATCAAAAAAGCACCAAACATAAATTGTTTGTGAAATTCAAAGAGTTCTACGGGCAAATATTTAATTTTTAATAATCAAAATTAGAAGTTTTTTCAAAAAAAAACAAATCGGTTTTTTTTTTATTTCTTGCGTTCATTTATCTTTTCCAACTGTCATTTGGCTTTGTTTTATTCTTGTGTCTTATGAGAGGGTTTTTTAAAAGTTTGAATTTTTTTAATGTAAGCAACGGGTTATTGGTTGCTCAAAAGTCTTTTTGGCTCAATGACTATCTGCTTCAAATTTGTGGCTTTTGTTTTCGCTTCGTAAGTTTTGTCTAGATGCAAATTAATTTTTCAGATTTCTAATTCAAGACGAATTGAAACAAAGATATGAAACTTTTGGTAGGTCTAGCTTTTTCCAAAACTTTTTGAAATTGTTCGACATTCATTCGACTTAGCTGATTTGTGTAAATTTATGTTTGCTAGCTTATGCTTTGTTTCTGATGTATCGCTCTGCTACGCCTCTGTGTTAAAATTTTTTAGCCGTTCTTTGCTTGTTTGAGAAAAGGAGCTTTAAGGTGGAATCCCTCATACGCGATAGACCGAATGCGCGAAAATAAAAATCCGCCAATCAGATTTCAGTAATCTAAAATTTGGAAAGAAAGTAAACATTTCTAGGGACTTATTATTGATATTGGCCGAGTATAAACACGGCAGAAATATGCAAAATTTTTAAAATGTCACTGAGCGCCGCCGAATTGGGACGTATTTTATTATTTGAATTGAATGGTAATTGCTTCTTTTTAAAAATTGACTTTCGGCTAATTTTGTCTTCGGTTTTGGCCCACAAGTTTTCTCGGTCCGCGCATGAGAATAGTTCCCCGGCTTTAACTCGTCGTAAAAAGCTGAAATTTTATGAACTTTTTAAAAATATATTTCATAAGGAGTGTTTTAAGCTAATGTTTTTAGGTGTCAATAAACGTAGTGAAACCACTTTTATAGGCCTTGATTTGTTTTAGATTATTTGTTGATTAAGACAATTATTTTTAAATTTCAATTGAAGATTGTTTGCTAAAAGAAAGGCACAATACTTAGGGTTCGAAATTGGATTCTGATTTTAAGACTTGCCAGTCGAATAAAAAAATACATTTTGATACAGTTTTCTGTGATTGGGCTAGTTATATGAGAACATGTTGATCATAAAATTTGTTTGAATTTTTAAGAGCTTCAACATGATATTTTAACGAAAACTCAAAATTTCAAAATCGTTTTTATCCAGCTTTCAGTGACTCTTTTCCTACTGTCTGTGGATATGCTTTTTTCCCAAAGGGTTACGAATTAAGATTTTTCGGTAGCTTGGTTTTGGTTTCATTCAATCCAGCAAAGTTGTTTTTCCTAGCCTTAGTTTTAGTTGTGGGCGATAAAGTTTTACTGGAAAGAAAGTTTACCAGTGCTTGATACTGCTCGTGTTGAGGAACTTAGCGTACAAAAATCCGCGTGTAAAGAAAATGTAAAATTTTATTAAAGAGTCATGATTTAGGTCGTGGTGGTTTTTTGATGTTATTTTTTCATGATATAGGTTGTGGTAATTTTTTCACAAACTGAAAATTTCTCAAATTGGTTTAACTTAATCAAAAAATTGTCAATCATAAATTTTCAATTATAAAGAGCTTAAAGCCTTATATTTTTTCTTTGAAATTCCGAAGTCATTGTTTTTTGTTTCATTGATTTCATTGGCTCTTTTATACTCCACTGTTTATTGGCTATGTTTGTTCATTGTGCTTGTGAAGCTTTTTTCGAAAATGAACTTTGTTTTGTCCAAAAAAAACACTTTCAGCAGTAAAAAAAAGGTTTTTTGTCGATTCCTCTGTCGTTAAAATAATTTTGGGCGCAACTTCTGTCATTTCAACTAACTGATTTTCATGTCTATTAACTTAATGCATATGGGGAGCATATCGGTAAAATTTTCCACTACAATCTAGACTTCTCCGTTGGGTACTGTTTTTGGATGTTATTTCCTTCAGTGAAACATGGTGCTTTTGGGTAGATCGTAGATGGTCTTTCAGCCGTCTGCAGGGAAAATTAGTTGGGCTCCACTGTTTGTTTTTTGGTGACTTTCATTTTGTCAAAGGTTGTTTTGGAGTAGAAAGATAGCAAATATTTCACCAGAGCTCAAGAAATTTATTTTTTATTTTGCTTCTTGCTTACGCTTGCGATAAGCAAGCGTTATCTAATCAGAACATAGTATTTTTTCCTGGTAAACAACCTAGAGATTGTTTTCTCACATCTGTATTTCTGTCAATCAACCGACATATTTTGATCATGTCTCCATTTTAAATGGCCGTTCTGTTTTTTTTTAATGTTGATTGTAAATATAATTAATCAACTCCGCTTCGATATAAATTCTGCAAACAATTTTTCCGGCGCAAGGTGTTTATGCCCAGCAACTGTAGGCTCTGTTACAGCGTCGTTAGTTTTGTTTTGATTTTAATTCAACGTTAATATCTTTTGCTTGGCTTGTTTTCTTAAAAGATATTCTTTCCAAACAAAACGTCTCAAAGATAATAAATTTTTGGTAGATTTGTTTTTTGACATTTTTTGGTCGAAAATCGACTTAGTGGCTTTCGTCGTGTTTTCTGTCAGCGAGTTTGTCATACTATGCTTGTGTTGTATCGCAAGTGGTGCGAAGCGGGTCTTGGCCCCTGTTTACTATATTAAGCTTTGGTTGATAAGCTGGTATATATTACAAAAGGTGGTAATTTTGAGAAGACCGCATGTTTTTAATTTCAGAATCATAATGCATAATATTGTCATTTCTTTTTCCAAAAAATAGTACATGTTACAAAGATTGTTTTTGTGAATACATTACTTTGCCCGATAAAATTGTTTTCAAAATTCAATATTTACACTTCTTTTGCCAAAAAAATGGCTTTTGAAATAATTTTAGGTACTACTATGATAGAATGGTCCCTCGAAAAACCAACTATGATAGACACGTCCCGCATGCATTTTGCATGTCATAGTTTTGAAAACTAATTTGTGAGTAAATTATTCATGTCACAAGTTCGGTATAAATTCTGTATTTCTGTCAATCAACCGACATATTTTGATCATGTCTCCATTTTAAATGGCCGTTCTGTTTTTTTAAATGTTGATTGTAAATATAATTAATCAACTCCGCTTCGGTATAAATTCTGCAAACAATTTTTTTCCGGCGCAAGGTGTTTATGCTCAGGTGTTTATGCAAAACTCGCGAAATATGTTGAGTTAGAAAGTGTTCAGATTGATAATTGTAATTGCTATCTTGTTTATATCAAGAAATTAGCTCGATTCAACTTTTTTACGGCTCAAAAACCACCATCGGGTTGACTTGTTGTCATCAAAATTCAATGTTGACGATTTTTTAAGAGTAATGAACGTAGTTATATAGGTCATGCTGACTTTTTTTGTTTTTTTTTTCAGGAAAAAGTCCTAAAATATTGATGCGCTTAGGTATAATGCACTTCTTGATTTCAAATAAAACTCATTTGCTGAAAATGACGTAAATAGCACCCTCTAAATAAGAACGTGGAAATGGCGCGAAAAAAACGTGAACGTTTTCTAGTTTCGAAAGTAGAATTTATTTTTAAGATTTCCCAGCGGAATAAAAACTAAAAACTTTGCCTATTTATCCAGTTTTCTCAAGTTGGGTTCATGTTATCACAAAAGCGTCAATAATTAATTGTTCTAGAATTTCAAAGAGCTTGAAGGGCATCTTTTTTTTCTTTGAAATTCGAAAGCTGAGATTTTTTAAAGAAAGACTGTTTTTTTTATGTTTACTTGCGTTTATTACTGTTTCCAATCTTCGATTGGCTATGTTTTGAATTTTCCACCTTGTAATAGTGAGAGGTAGATTTTAAGAAGTAATAAACATAACATTTGTTGGAAAATAAACTGCGACATCTTTCTGAATGGCGAAATCATAATTATCAAGCAATTTGAGAGCTCTAGGTGTCGTACTCTCAAGGGACCTGGTTATTATCAAATGGTCATTCTATCATAGTATTTTCAAATTATAAATACTGTTCGAAGTAAAACTAAAAGCGATCCAGCTTTTTAACATGAGCTTTCCACCTTTTGTAATATATCACCAAGCTTTGCAAAGCTTGTATTCTATTAACTGTCAAATGTTGATTGATTCCGGCAGAATTGCTTTGAGCTGGGTGGTTTAGTGAACTAAACCGGTGTATGTTTCAAAACAGAGTGTTATAAAAACCTTTTTAGAACCCTCTGTTTTAAAACAAGGCCTTTTTTGCTGTGTTTTGAAACATCAGGACGGTAACATTTTTTAACAAGTGAGACGCTATCAAATTGTTTCTTTTGACCGGCAGATGAAAGGTTAGCAGCTAATTTTTTTGTTTCCGATATTCTGGAGTCAAAAATCGATCCAATCTGCAATGAAGAAGTTCATTACACCGAAGACTTTAGTCAAGGTGTTATGGTATCGTGTAACGGGTTTTTTTTTTTAATGTTGTCTGTTGTCAAGTGTCGACAAATAACGTCCACAGTTATCAATTATCATGTGGGCTGGACTATATCGCGCTATGTCACGTGATTGCGTATGTTTGTTTCTTTATTTGTTCATCTTTATTTATTTAATTATCTGTTCTTCTATTTATTTAATTATGTTTAGTTTGCTTATATTTATTTATAATTTATGTATGTACATATTTATTTTTGTTTATTTTTATCACGTGTTTTGTTTATTTATTTAATTATTCTTTCTTTCATTTAGTTTTGCTTTTATTATTTCTGCGTGTGTATTTATTTAATTTATTTATTTTCATTTATTTATATTATGGGTCTGTTTGTTTGGTTATTTGTTCATATATATTTTTTCATGTCTATTTAATTATTTGTACATTTCACTTTTGCTTTTATTTATTTATTTATTTATTTATTTATGTATTTATTTATGTATTTATTTATTTATTTATGTATTGATTTATTTTTTTATTGCTTATTTATTTATCAGGTGTGTTTTGTTTATTTGTTGATATTTATTTCTATATTTATTTAATTATTCTTTCTTTCATTTACTTTTGCTTTTATTATTTATGTATGTGTATTTATTTCATTTATTTATTTTCATTTATTCATATTATGGGTCTGTTGTTTCTCGAACTGTTATTTCATGATCTTTGTCAATATATCAAAATTTTATTGTATACATGTGTTAGTACCATTTTTAGTTCTCGAACTGTTATTCCATGATCTTTGTCAATATAGCAAAATTTTGGTGTATACATGTGTTAGTACGATTTTTAGCTCTAGAACTGTTATTCCATGATCTTTGTCAATATAGCAAAAATTTGACGTATACATGTGTTAGTACGATTTTTAGCTCTCGAACTGTTATTTCATGATCTTTGCCAATATAGCAAAATTTTGGTGTATACATGTGTTCGTACGATTTTTAGCTCACGAACTGTTATTTCAGGCTCTTTGTCAATATAGTAAAATTTTGGTGTATACATGTGTTAGTACGATTTTTAGTTCTAGAAGTGTTATTTTATGATCTTCGTTGATATATCCAAAAATTTAACCTATACATGTGTTAGTACGATTTTTAGTTCTAGAACTGTTATTTCAGGCTCTTTCTCGATATAGCAAAATTTTGGTGTATACATGTATTAGTACGATTTTTTGTTCTAGAACTGTTATTCTTCAATTATTAGTTGTTCAAGTTGTTTGGTTTTTGCTTCAGTTTCTATGCCTTCGGTGTATTGCGCGTAGCGCCTATGTTAGTAAAGTTTCTTTCAAAATTGTTCGAAATGAATTTGTTTCAATATTCAGCGGGTAAAAATACTTTAAAACGTTTCTTAACCAACACTGGAACCAATCATATTATGAAATATATTTCACGCAGCTCAATTAAACAATTATGGATTTGCAAGAGGCCATTTTGAATCCATATGTTTAAGATCTCGCACCCACCTCCAAAGAAAGACAAGAACTTCTTGGAAAACTTCTTATATTTTTTCAAAAAGGATTTTTACTTGGCAAAAGTTGATTTAGTTGAGAAATTATTCGCTAATCGCATAGCAACCGTCTACTCTCGTGCTTCTCAAATCACATTGGAATAACGCTATAAAATGTTTTTTTTTCTGTTCACAAAGCTTCTGTTCACTAAGGTGCTTAACACTTTTCAGCCATAGTCTAAAAATTATATAGCAGCATATGTTGGATCGTTATGACCGAAATCCTTGCTTGAAAGTAAGACTATCATCATAAACAGGCTCTCTTATGTAAATGAAGTGTCGTTAAGATGATTTTGCTTAAGGGCCGTCAGCCTCACCTGCAATTAACAACCAACACCCTTCGCCCGCAACAGCCACGCCCCCGCAAACTCATCCGCGTAAAGTGCATCCGCCCGCGGGACCACCGCCTACAAACTGTGCCCCTAATCCTCCGCGAAACAGCAGCAGCGGAGGAGGCGAGTGTTCAACTGGAAAGGAAAGATCTGCTGCAGAGTTGGAACAGGCTTCGAAGTTTTGCAAATTTGCACAAAGTTCTCTTATGTTTAACGACGTTGACACGGCCGTGAATTATTTGGAGCAGGCGCTGGCACTTCTCAAGTCATAATTTCTATTCCACTCTGTGGAATTTTTTAATTAAAATTCCGCCACCGATAGAAACTATTTTCATATTTTGCTAACAAATAACTGTACTTTCCATATCAAATAAATTGAAGCTTAGTTTGTATCTTGACGTAAAGAACTCATTCTATATTTTGCATTGAAATCAATAGAACAGGGCTGGGTTGTTACCACGCGTCTCGTTGTCTGAATAATTGATCTATTTCAGATTTCGTTCGCATGTTGTAATGGCAGATTAGAGTCTTTATTATCCTATCTCTAGTTTATTATCGCTACCTTATTGGCATACAGCTAACCGTTACTAGGTATAGCAGTACTATACATTAATTATATTGATGGTATTCAGCATTTGACATTGGCCCTACATAGACAGAGCAGTCCTTCTAAATTGCCAAGAAAGCCCATTGTGACTACAAATGCATTCTCTTCTACCATCTACAAAACTGTGCATGTAAGTCTCAAATTGTTCGTCAATAACTTTTTTGTTGTTTTCATCCAATTTTGAATTTCAAAGTTTCAGACCAGATAAACACCTAAAAATTTTTTTTTAAAAACGGCATAAAGATTGCTGTTAACCAGCAGGAAAATAAGATGTCTGAGAACACGTCTATAATGGGAAGGCTTAATGTGCGGAGAAAGGATGAGAAATATAAGCTCCATGGAAATGAATAAAATCTGTATCAAGGAAAAAACGTATGCTTTGTCAAAAAAGTGCTCTCAACGCCTATGAGGTGACAAATCGTCGCAACCAAAACGATAATTTGTCGCAGATGACTTTGCTTCTCGTTTTTATTTTCTTTTCTTAATTTTTTTTTCAATTGTACCGTTTTTTGGGCATAGTGTGACGAGAGTAACTAGATGAAAGCATAGACACTTGAAAAATGAATTACAAAAAGGGTCGTTTGCTTATAGAATAACTGAATGACTACAACAGCTGCACAGAACGTTTCGAAAGACAAATTGAGGCCAGCTCAGAAAAATGGAGCGGCCACTTCACTCGATGTGTTCTACACCAACCCTGTCACGTCCTCACTACCCTCTGCTGGTGGGGACCAGTTCGAGGGGTTCCAGCGCCAGCCACACCAACCAGCAGCAGTGGCATCCATATCTATGGTGCAGTCGCACCTTCAGCAAACGCCCAGTAATGCATCTCAACATCACGTGAAGTTGCACCGAGTGAATTCTGCCGCTTCGACTGACGATGATGGAGACCACAGTCTCTCACTGGCTCCCGATCATTCCATTATCTCTTCATCTCACTTGACTCACCCTCTAGCAGAGCAAGTAGCATCACTAGTGGACCAATGTGCCAAAGAGACAGTCTACAACTTCCTGTTCAATGCCAGTATTGAAAAGCCAAATCCAAATCCAAATGTTGTGTCACAAGCTAAAGTACCTTCGATTGTTTCTGGGTTCCAAAGTTTCGACCCTTTCGCACAATCGGTTGGATCAGTTTCGTCTAGTAAAAAAGAACCCCACGAATTTGCCGCAAACGGACACGTGTTCAAATCAACTCACCATAAAAAGCAATCGCCATCATTAAACAGTAGTACTAGTAGCAGCAAAGTTGTTCACACAAACAATTCCCAGTCTCGTAACTCGGATATTCCAGCCGATGTGTTCGACTTGGAATCAAGTAACAATATCAATACTCAGTTCAACTTCTCCGATCATCACGGAGCTATGAATTTAGATCTTTCAGCACCTATCCAAGTCAACATGAACACATCAAATTACGAAGCGGCACAGTCGCCGCGAGCTAAAGAGTCGCCCCCATATATCGATAACTGGGCGTTCAATTCAAGCCAGAATGGGGGAACTGGAATCAGCGTCCCCCCATCGCCGCCCATGTCCCGAAAGCACGCTGTGCATGCGGGCAGTCCGACTGTGATGGGAAACAACAACCATGAAAAGTATGTGGAGCTGCTGGCTCAACATAACAGCTACAAGAAACAGATTCTGGATCTAGAGGACAGTCTGAGGAAGAACAACGGACGTTCATTGACAGAATCGGAACTAAGTTCTATTCCAGAGTACCGGCAGTTGGCGTCTCAGATTGTGAAAATACGAACGCGTTTGAAAGAATGGAAAACCAGCGGTGACTCGTTTAACGGGGGTTCGGAAACGAAAGAAAACATGACGGATGGGTTTTCGAGTACGAAGGAGAAGTTGAGAAGTATGCGCCAGTGCATTCAAACTTCGATGAGCAAGCTAGCTGATAAAAGAAGAGAAGCTAATCGACCTTATGACATTGGAAAAATGACTGAAGTAGAAGCGAAGATTGAAAAGGAACAAACTCAAAAAGAATTGCTTGGTTTTGAGAAAATGTTCGGACGTGCCAAAACTGCGGAAGAGAGGCAAATTGTAACCGAGTTGTATGACAGATACAGGTCGCTTAAAAAGACGGTAAGACAAAGGCCAAGTAGAATATCGGCTACTGTAGAATCGGACATCACTGACATCAATTCTGACTTTGGGGAAAATTCGCTAGGTCTGCATTACAATTTGACTAACACATCAGCAGGTATGTCGCGGAACTCCTCGGCAGCCAGCGGGTCAACAGGAGGCGAGCGGGGGGAGAGATTTTCGCCCTCGTTTCAGAGTGAAAACTTGATGAAATCTTTGAAGGGAGTGTCCTATGCTGACCTGCAAGCCGAAAGATCTTCTCTGCTTGAAAAGAAGAGAAGGTTGAGTAAGAATTTGAACTCGATTAGTAGAAGTGCGAACGCATACAAACAACAGGCAGACGTGAATGAGCTTCGAAAGGTCAAGACAAGATTGAAGCAAGTTGAGATGTTTTTGCCGACTAATTTCACCTCGGAATCCTGAGTCTCGAAAGTATGTTCTAATGACGATGCTGCTTACATCTTAGTTAACATAATGATACTTCTGCAATACTTTTATTTCAATTCTTTGTATGATAGGCGTTTAGTTTTTGAACTGTGAATAGTGTTTTACGTCGGTTTAGTTTTGTTTTGACAACCAAGTTATTGAATGGTAATTGCATTCGCAACGCCGCCTTGAAGTTTAGTGGAAAGTCTATTGAAGATCCAGCTTTTAATTAACAATGCCTATACGTTACAAATTAATTAAATATACTTCATATCAGTTTTTACAAAGAGCAACTCCAGTGACGGTCAAATAGAAAGACGAGTATAAGTTGGTCCGAACAAACAAATTTTACTCAAAATTGAACCACCCAAGTTTAAAAAAAAACAATCTTCCTATGATTTGGTGCAAATCAAGTCTTTGTTCAAAATTAAATTTTTAAGGTAGGAAAATTAATTGTTTTTTTTTTGAAAAACAGCGAATTCTGGGTTGCATTCCAAAGTGGCCCAGACTGTACCGGTCACAATTATCAAACTAAAAAATATATAAATGAGTAAATAAATGTCATGTTTGTTCTTGCCTATCAGAAGAAGCAAAATTTTAAGCATTACGCACTGCATTATTTGAACACGTTTTTTTTCATATCATATTAAATTTTTCAACTTGTGAGGGAAGTGTTTAGCACACTCAATCTGGAGGTCTTTAATTCGAATATCATAGTCGACAAAGTTTTCCTTTTGTATTAAAAGATGTCTTTTAAGAGTATTTTTGGTTTCTTTAACGTTCACAGCCTCATTGTTCCGACCATTTGAAAAAGGGGGGAGAAACTTTGTATTCGGGTGTGTTTTAGTTTTTTTTTGTTTTCCACGAAAAAATCAGGTACCACAAATAATTTTTGGACCAAGTTGAGCGATATATCGCGTTAAAGCCCTTTCAGTCGTGATTCGAACCACATAAAAAATTCTCGAAACTTTTTTAGTGTCGAGACAAACAGGTTTGAAACTTTTGATTTTTCGTCTCATTTCGAGCAAATAAAGCGAGCGCGCAGTCTGATGTTAATGGCTTAAAAGCTTACAATAGCTTAATTTAAAACGTGAAAACTTAGTTTTACTCGAAAAACTTTTGTTTTTTCAAGAGTTATGAACGTAGTGGAGTACTCTTATAAAGGTCTTGGTGAATTTTTTCAAGAAAAGTCTTAAAATTTGTTCACGTTTAATTTTAAATTTTGCCGTTTGACTTGTGATTTTTTTTAAGTTCAGTGCATTTCAATTGTTAAAAGGAAGACAAACTCCACTTTAGAACAGCAAAATTGTAAAGGTCACGAAAAACGTGTAGACTTCTAATTTCGAAAATGGAAATTAATTATCAGATTTCCCAGCGAAATAAAAGTTTTACGTATTGATCCAGTTTTCTCAAATTGAGTTAATTTAAGCAAAAAAAAGTGTCCATCATAAATTGTTCTACAAATTCAAAGAGCTTTCAGGCCATCTATTTTCATTCGAAGTTCAAAAGTTGAATGTTTTTGAATAAACGTGTCGGTTTTTTTTTTCAGTTTCCTTGCGTTCATTACTCTCTTTCCAACTGTCAGTTGGCTATTTTATTCAAGTATCGCATATATGGTTTATATAATTTTCCTTGAACTTTCTGTTGGATATGTTTAGACGCTTTTGCGCTTGTGTTTGGGAAGTGAAGCTTTGCGATGTGCAGTCTATAGTTTTTTCGAAATTTATATCGAGATCTGCCGTCTCGCCGCACCTATTTACACTTGTTTTAAAATTTTGATTATATTGTCTAGTTGTCTTGAAAATGACGATGTGAGCTGAGTACCCACGTTTTATACCATTCAACTAAATTTGGTCTTCATGTCAGCCTTGTAAACCCTACGATTACACCGTAAATGGCTCTGTATGTCTGGCGTTTTATGATAGAAGAGCCTAAATTTGAACTACCAGCTGAGGTATTCACGGTTCTGGAACTCGAGTCTCCTCAAATTGAAACCACCTAACAATTCTATTCTGTAAATGCAAATCAATATATTGTGCATATGTAATTTCATGCCAATTTCTAGGGCTGTTTATTATTACTCATGGTTAGTTTTTGTAATTTTTTTTTTCGAAAATATTTGGGTTGATTTTTTTCTGATCAGCTTACACAGCAAGCAACCAGTTAAAAGGCAAATTTTTTGTAGACAAGTCAAGAAAAAAATCTTCAAGATATTTGACTTTTACAGATTGAATGTCAAGTAGTTTGGCTGAGTGGGATGAGCTCGGACGAAGAAGACTACATGTCTACCGACTTCCTGGAAAAACTGGAACAGTAAGGGCTCTTTAATGTTTATTATATATAATTATATTAGTTGGTTTTTGAAAAATTAATAGATATCAAAAGATGTTCCCATCTTCGTAAATTGCATTATTTTCTTTTTCGTTGATGATTTTGTTAGGTTTGATCTTCAGTGTGAGGAAATTGGAGGCCTTAAGCTATCATATACTCCAAAAAAAAAATTTGGATTTTCTGGATTTGAATGTGAAAAGCTATTGTTTATTTAATTGTGCTTCCTTCGATTTGAACGAAGGTATGAAATGCCTGAAGTTCTCAACTATAGACGCGTTTTTGAGTTCAGCTATCTATATATCGTGGCGATATTTTTTTAACATATCGTTATAATGTATGTGACCATAAAAAGAAGCGTTGTTTAAGATCTGATATTCGACCTGGACTTGTATTCAGTTCTAAAACAGCTAGACAAAAGGAGTTGCAGAAACGAAAACTTGAAGCAGATTCTTCAAACAATACCAAAAAAACTAGACCATCTCTGAAGGAATCCTTAGCGACGCCTATTGACAAGAATAATAAGGGATTTGCTCTGCTTTCTAAGATGGGTTTCAAAGAGGGCTCTGGACTTGGGAAAAGTGGGGACGGAATCAAAGATCCAGTTCCCATCAGCATGAAGGTAGACAGAAGTGGTCTGGGAACAGAAACAGTTCGAAATGAGAAGAAGAAGAAAGCGGAAAAAATGATAGAAGAAGTTCGAAGCATGAGAGACAGAGCCATGAGTATGCAGCGAGATCAGTTCAGGAGTGAAAAGCAGTCCCAGTTCTACGAGCGAAGACTGTTCGGAGTTTTAAGGAACAACCAAAGAGTCTGTTTCAAACTGGACTCTGAGAAGGTACTTTTAAGTGTTGAACCAATTCAATTACAGCATATCTGATCAGAGATGGATCTATGATGAAGTTGCGAGTGAGATAGTTTCTTAAGATTGAAACAGTTTATTTCTGCTCAGTCTTGGGACTTGGCTTTTGTACATCCACTCCTGACTTTCATCTATCTAACGTGTTTTCGATTTGTTATCAGCTCTTATTTTGGACAGAAATAATAGTTTTGGGCGGGGGCGGGGGCGGGGGGGGGGGGGGGTTGAGTTGTTAAGAAGTGATATGCAAGATTAAGCTCTCATGGTGAAATAAGTTCAAAAATAGGAGAAAAGAGCGCATGTGTTTTTCTTTTCATTATTCTGTTTACAGGGTTTAACTTGGCCTGTTGACATATTTTTCTGGCCTCCAAGTGAAATGAAATCAGATGACAGCGAAGATGAAGGTGCAGCGGAAGAAATTGAAGAAGAAACAAACATTAAAAGAGGCATTTCAGAGCCAGAATCGGACGGAGACGAGTATTTAGTGTCCTCGGGAAAAGTTCCCGAAATGGGGGAAGATAAAACGCTGAAGGTGCTAACCAGCCAAGAAGTAAGTTATACCGTCAACAAAGGTTAGATAAGTGTCCCATTTGTTTAGCTTGAGTCGTTTGGTTTTCATCAAACTTCAGCGTTTGATTTAAAAGTGCCTTTTATGTCGAATTTAAGGTGAGTTTAGACTATTTTTGTGTGAATAATGATGTGTCTTTTCAGATGACTTATCAGCTGGGACAGTTGGAAAGCTACCTTCGCAAGACCTACTTCTACTGTATTTGGTGCTCGTCTCTTTACAAAGGTAAAACTCAGGTTATGATAATGTTGTAATTAACCTGATGTGAGAGCTGTTTTTATGATGTTAGGAATATATTCTGGTTTATTGCAGTCTTTTTCCGTCCATCCAAAGTTTTTTCTGCAAGCGTGAACTGCAACTCACATTTTTTCTAACAATCTGGCCTTTTTTTGATTCTGTTGTTTCAAGGGGTTTTTCAGGTTTTAGCGAATAAGTTTCTTGGCAGATGTACAGGGGCGGATCTAGGATTATCTAGGGTGCGAATTTTCAAGAAAATGTTGTCGATCTTCTTTTAGATCGACCAAATTGATATTCCGAGCTCTCCCAAAGCACTAAAAAGACCCTGTTTTGGCCAAAATTTTTGCGTCGCAGGCAAAATTATGAAAAAAAATCAGTCCAAAAAGGCGCGGGGTAGAATCCCTGAGGGGGTGGGTGTCCGCTCCTACCCTAAATCCGCCCATGCAGATGTATACAATGCGCAGCACAAAATGCGCAGCTTCAATTAGCCACTCATGGTTTTATAGTAGTTGCTTGTTAGCAGTAAAAGATTTTTTTTTTTGCAACAATCATTTGCTTGTAAAATCGGCTGTAAACTCTGCAGGTTTATAAAATTGCCCTGAATGGTAGGAATTGCTTAGCAGTTTGGAATTAGCTGTCAAAACGTGCAATTTATTTAGACGAAGAGGAGCTGGACTGTGCTTGTCCGGGTGAGGGTCCAGCAGCTCACGGGGAGAATCTAGCCCCTTCATGACACCATCCACCTACAGTTCGTCTCTTAATCTGAAAGAGTTAGAAAGGAGAGAGCGTTGTTGACCTGTGTTCTGTAGCACTCAAAAACGACAGAGGTTCACCTGAGTTTGGAGGGAGTGCGGCGTAGATCAATAAGACCAGGACATAAAGAAGTCTGTGCGGCTGAAATGAGTGACAAATCATAAACTGAGTTCAAAACTATTGAAAATGTTTTTTGACGGCAGCTTAATTAGTTGAATGATTAATGAAAATTTTTGACAGGTTTTTTTATAGAGATCAAAAATATTGGTTGAGATCAAGGCTATTGTTGAAAGCATAAAGAAAACTAGTTGAAATGATTTGCTTGTTTAGAAAAATTTTCTAGCTAACAAATCATCTATTCATGAAAAATAGCTGGTTATTGTGCAAGAAGTATAGATTGTAAACTTGCGGAAAAAAAAATATTTAACAAAAAAAAAACAATTTTTGGATTTTTTTGGATTATGTTTCAGGGACAGGGACTCTGGGTTGGCGATATTTACAAAAGGTAGCTTAGTGTATTATTCCGAAAAAATATATATACCTTAGTCTCAAATAAAAGTGCTCATTTGGTGGCAATTTTGGTATATTTCAATTTAATCATTTAAGATTATTCAAGCATGAGCAATTTAAAAGCGTATGCTGCTGCTTCATTTTTGGCTAATGTTAGGTCCTGTTTGAATAAAAAACAGGTAACATGAAAATGTATCGGTTTTGTTGATTTTTGCAACGATCTTGAAAAAATTTTGCACTTCTAGAAGAAATTTCAATTTTTCTCCAAAACTTTTCTACTAATTTTCAAAAAAATGATACCAATGGAAAAACCGGCTTTTCTTCTATATTCCAGTAGAATTTGCCAGTGTTTTTCCTTCTTATCCCACGTTCTACGGCCTTCGAAAGTTTCAGTAGATGGATTTTTGACCTATTTGTATTGATTTTTTTTCATTTCCTCAATTAATAATTATTTTCATTTCCTCAATCACTATTTTTTAAATTTTGAGTGTTCTCAAAAACTGCACTGCAAAATTGTAGAATAGGAGTTGAATCGAAAGAAAAACAATCAGTTATGCCATTAATCTCTGCACAAGTGGCTATGCGTTCTGAAAAAAAAATGCGCCCTTAAAAGTTTTCCAATTTTCGCCCGTTTGTTGGAAATTTTTTCTGAAACAAACCTGCTGACTCTGAGCTTGATAATTCGTTCAAACTAACATGGTGCTTAGATTTTTCCTGCGCAATCTGTTTCATCCTAGTTATCTGTAGAAAAGCTGATATGGACTTCGGGAAAATCTTTTTTTTTAAGATTCTACCGTGTTTTTTTTTAGAAATTGCACCACTTTTCTCGAACACTTCAGCTAAATCTAATATGAAGGGTTCAACCTAAAAATCAGGGTGTTGACCTCTTTCCTGCGTAATAGTCTGTTCTCGCGCTTTACTGAAGAAAAATCATATTTTGATTTTGAAAACTACTTTCATTTGAATAGGCGACTAAACATCTACTTAACAGAGAAATCACTAAGTTTTTGCGTGAAGTCCTTTTTTTTCAAAAATTACGTGGTTCCGTATCAGTAAATCATGATTAAAATTTTAAAACAGGTGAATCTAGCATTAGCTGGGCCACTTGTTCACTTCCAAGCGACCGTGGTGCAGATGCTGGGATGTGAAGCTCCTAATCAATAGGTCGGAGGTTCGAGTCCGGAACACTGGAATGGTTTCCTTGGTCGATTTTTCGCGGTGTAGCATTGGCAGTTTAATAGAAACTGTAGCTGTTCTTTGTATCAAATGTAAATGCCTCTGATTTTCTCTGAGGCAGTTAAATCATGCAGAGGAAAAAACAAGCTAATATTCCGTTTTTCGAAAAAATAGCCTGTTTTTTTGTCACAGTCCCAATGTTTCCTTTAATTTCTAATGGGCAGTCATTCAAACATTTCCAGTCGCGGAAAACTTCAAATAAATCATTTAAACTGGTTGTTTCTACAAAAACGAGCTGTTGTTAAAGAAAATATTCAAAGAGATTCATTAATTTATCATTAACTTCAGATTTTAGCAATTGTTTATATGTGCATTTGACAAGAAGGTGAACATTTTATTATATCATAATTGTTTGAAAAAAAAATCAAAGGCAAACATAACCATTTTGTCATATAATTCAAGTATACAGATTTTTTTCTTATAACCATAACCACATTTAATAAAGATCGAAAGCCTAAAGTTGAACTGTTTTCTTAGCTTTAAGATGATTTTTTGTAAAAACTAACCCAACACGCTTGCTAAATGACCACCTTTTAAAATGCATGTATAGTTGCCACAACTAAGGCTCTTTGTTTTTGAAAATAAACCCCGCCCACATACTATTTTTATACTTTTTGAGTTGTTTAAACGGCTAATTTAGTTTTCGAAACTAAAATTCAATTATTGGGGCGAAATGAGTGGTAACGAGCAGAAAAAAAACACCAGGGATTTTAAATGTAATTAATAATGAATATGATTTGAACTTCGGGTTATTTTAACGTGCCTCCACTTGCGAAATTACAAAGCCAAGCTGTATATTTTCAAACTGCTCATGGATTCTTTTTTGAAGAATTTGCAACAAGGCTCTTTTTTATTTCAATTAAACTTCCGGCGGGGAGCAAACTAAAAACGGTGAACAAATTTTTTCATCATACTTTACGTTGTATCATCACGGATTTATCCGTTATAACACGTATTTCAACTATAACATTAGAAAATTTCTGCGCCTTCCCGCACTGGAGTTTCGTGGAAAATAATCCATTTTAATGGATTACATCGGGAAAAAACTCAAGCCATATAATCGATTCTCATGACCCAACCAACCATGAAAATGGGTTTTTAGGGGATTCTAATCGACTATTATCAATATTTACACTCTTGAAACATTTGGAAGCATTCTGCAATTTTACAACCCGATCAAAAAATTCATTCCTAACCTAGAAAACTCAAAAAAAAGTTTGTCCCCCCTCCTACCCCACCTCTTCCCTCCACGTCAAATTTACCAACCCAACACCTAATTTGTCCCTCCACATTTTAACCCACCACCTCCCCTACCCCCACCACCTACCCTACCACTACCACCTCATCTACGTACACCCAACTAGGGGGGAGAGATCCATTTACCCCCACCCCTCCCTCCGGCCTCAGACCATTAATTACCCCCCCCCTCATTCAAGCGAGAGGAGAGTGGTAGTGGACGGGGGAAAGGCAGTAGGTGGAGCGGGGGGGGGGGGGGGGGTAGTGGACGAATGATAATTTTTTTTACTATGGTGATGGTAAAAAAAAAATAACAGTTAAATAAAATGTTAAACTGCAAAATTGAAAAAGTAGAGAAATTTTGGCTCTTTTTCCTTTTCCCTCCCCCACCTCACGCCAGTTTCAACTTATTAGTGTAACGAGTGGTTTTACGAGGTTGAATATGAAGACCAAATATGTTTGCCGTGGCCTTATTAGTCTGCATGTAAATTTTCATAACAATCGGACAATGTGGTCAAAAAATTTACATGTAAAAATTTGCAGGTGGGGGGAAAAGGAAAAAGAGCCGAAATTTTAATGTATAAAATCTTATGTGAAAAATTCAAGTTTACTAAACGTAATCCTTAGCAACTGCACTAAACAGGAAGTAAGATAACTTGCAAAGTTTGCTAAATTCACCAATAATCTCTCAAAAAATCCATTATAATCGATTATACTCGAATATAATGGATTATATTGATGTATAAGTATTTTGTTTATAATCTATTTTTAATGAATTATAATCGACTATAATCAATTATAATGGATTTTTTTGATATAAAAAATCTTAGGATTATACTTCATTTTTAATGGATTCTAATAGATTACTCTAAAAGTTTACTAGCATGAAGACAAATTTAGAATTTCCAATTTTTTTTTAAAGATTATTGTCAGGGGGATTTAATTTGGTCTTCATAATTAACCTCGTAAAACCACTCGTTAGACCATAAAATTGATGGTCGTGTGAGGGGGGGGGGGAGGAAAAAGCCCTGTTGGCTAAATGAAACTGGGTGAACAAGGAGTCCCTGCGAGCAAGCGATTCGAGCAACAGCGTGAGTATTGATAACAGAAAAGAGCCAAAAAATGTACACAACAGACACGTGCTAAAATTTGCTCAGACTTCGTTCGCGTTTTAAAAAATCAAGATGGCGAAGTATTTGTTGTTACTCGATACCTGATTATTATAGTGGGTACATCAAAAGGGCATCAGCTTTGAAAAATGTGGGGCTGAATTGAAATCAAAAAACATTGTTTTAACGGCTCTTTTCCACTCCCACCGCAGATTGCAAATTTAAGAAATTACTCACATTGTCATAATGCAGTGAAATTTTGCATGGTGAACAAACAAAAAATTATGAACAGATTTGTTCTTCATACCTTACATCGTAATATCACGTGTTTAGCCATAAGAACACGTAAAACATAAATAAAAAATACAAATTTGAAAGGCGGGAGGGGGAGAAAAGAGCCGCTTTAGCTGGCAAATTCATAGTAAATTTTATGCAGATGTAATTTTTTCGCTTACAATATGGTTCGTGTTGAAATGCTAGTGAAACTTGAAGATGATGCCCTTAAGAGCAGATACTCGCAAATGGCGTCCAAGTGTTGAATCCTACAGTTCCTTTTCCTTGACTTACAGTTGGGTTGACAACTGCTGGCCAACGCGACAACACAGGGCACGTGGATCGACACTTCAGCATGAGTCCGGCAAGATCAGCCTCGCCGGGTGGTTCTAAAAACGCCAAGTATAGTCATTTTCGCAGCAATTTGATTTGATATGTTCATATAAACTATTAAATGCAAAGGAGTCATCTTTCAAGTAGCCGCCTAATAAAATGGTCCAAAAACTATCAGTTTTCGCAAAACTGTGGAAAAACAAATCGCCGAAATGTTTTGCTTGAGAGCATCAATAGTGGCTCTTGTTAAATCTCCTTTTTTGAAGTTCGAATCACAAAAGCCCTTTTAAAATGGCTTTTGACGTTCTAAAATTCGTTAAAACGCATCATGACGAACAAAAATCTAGATTTTTTTCTTCTTGTAAATTAGTGTGTGAATGATTATCAGACTACTTTTTGTTTGTTTTGAGTTGAAGAAGGATGTGAGGCGAGAAACTGGAACAGAACTTCTTCGGGCTCTTTTCCAGTTACCCCCTTTCAAAATACCGAGTTTTATGTTTGTTTTACATGTTATTATGGCTAAACGCGTGATGTTACGCTGTAAAGTATGAAGAACAAATCTGTTCACAGTTGTCGATTTGGTCACCACGCCAAATTTCATTGCATTATGACAACGTTAAATAGACTTTTTAAAATTGAATTTGAAAGGGGGGAAACTGGAACAGAACTTCTTCGCTTAGTTTCCCATATACATGTAAAATTACCATCCCGAGTTGAGGTCCCACACACATGAGCAGACTTTGTGGGGCGCCTTATCCGGATTCAGACACACAAATTGCATATCGCACCGAAAGTCTGAGTCTGGAAATTCTGGGGCTCTTTTCCATTTCCCCTTCCCCACATTTGAATTTCAGTTTTTAAAAACTAACTTTATGTTGTCATAATGCAATGGAAATTTGGGCGTTTTTTCTTTTTCCCTCTACCTGCAAACTAATTTTTCTGTTCTCATTATCGGATTGTTACATCAAAATTTGGCATACGGAAAAATTAGGCCCTAAAAAATAGATTTGGCCTTCATACTTAACCTTGCAAAACCACTCGTTACATCATAAAGTTGAGGATTATTCGAGTTAGGGGAAGGAAAACAACCAAAATTTGCATGGTAAACAAAATAACTATTGTGATCACATTTGTTCTTCATATCTTCTATCGTAAGAGCTTGCATTCAGCATAATAACTCGTGAGACAACTAAAAATTGAAAATCTGAAATGTAGAAGTGAAATTGGAATTGAGCCAAGTCTGCGCATGAATGGCGCCCTGGGTCTCGAAAGTCTAAAAACACCAAAATTTGGTTGCGAAAGTCTGGACATGCGTCGCGAAAGTCGGAGGTATCATGATTTGGTTGCGAAAATCTGGACATGAAGCTCTTTCCAGACTTTCGCGACTCAATGTCCAGAGTTACGCGAACCAATTTTGGTATATCCAGACTTTTGCGACCCTTGTCCAGCTTTTTAAAACTTCAAGACCTTATATCCGGGCTTTCCAGACTCAAATTCTCAGCTATGCAATTTGTGTCTGGACTCAGATCTGGCGCGACGCACTGCGTAATTTTATTACCAGATTTTCCAGACTCAAATTCTCAGCTCGACTATGCAATTTGTGTCTGGATCCTGATCCGGCGCGACGCACTGCGTAATTTTATGACCAGATTTTCAAGACTCAAACTTCGGGCGCGACTATGTATTTTGGGTCTGGATGCGGATGCCGCGCGACGCACGGCGCGACTTTATGTCCAGACTTTCCAGACTCAAAAGTCTGGACATAAAATCTAGACCAAACTCTGGGCGCGACTATGCTATGTGGGTCTGGATCCGGATCCGTTACGACACACGGCGCGATTCTATGTCCAAATTTTCCGGACTGAAACTCGTCGTGCGACTTTCGTGACCAAAGCGGAGACGTCGCAACCAATAAACAGCTCCTCGCGGCCGAGGTGGATATGGCGCGACTTCCGTGACCAAGGCAGAGACGGTAAAAAACCACGCGAGTCACGCCGTCTCCACCTCGGTCTCGATAGTCGCGCCGTCTCCAGGTTGGTTGTTAAAGCCTGGAAATGGATAAGTTTGGTCGCGCTGGTCGCCTGAGTCGCGAAAGTCGCGGCTGAGTTTTTTGGTAGCAAAAGTCTGGAAATGGCAAATCTTGGTCGCGAAATTCTGTACATACCAAATATGGGTTGCGATATTTCGGTCGCGCCATTTCCTTTTTGGTCGCAAAAGTCGCGATAGATCCTTATGTTGCGAAAATCTAGAAAAGCCAAGTTTTGGTCGCCAAAACTTTGACATACCTCATTTCGTTCGCGAAAGTCCGGACATGCCAAAAAGTTGTCGCAAAGTTCTGGACATGATTCTGGGACATCGACCCCGGATATCAAATTGTCTAGAAATTTGCTAATTTTTCCTTTTCTTTAACCTGTGAATTTTCGAAAAAACTTTTTCGTTCACATCGTCCAATTGTAACACAAATTGGCATGAGGACTAATTAGGCTATGACGAAACTATTTTTCTTCATACCCAATCTTGTAGAAACTCATGGTTACACCATAAAATTGTTTTTTAAGTGAGGTGGGGGAAGAGTAAAAAAATTGGAACCCTAATCTCATTTAATATGATTGAGTGACGCGGATTTTTCACAGCAGCACTGCACTTGATGGACTTTTTTACTCTTTTTTACTCCCCTCGACTGTTTTCTTTTTTATTTTTTCATAGTTGTTTTAGGTTTCATTATGGCTAAATGTGTGAAGTTACGATGTACAGAATAAAGTAAAATCGTTTGACAAGAGTTAGATTGCTTACCATGCAAAGTTTCAATTTAATAAGACGATGTTGTAACAGTTTTTAAAAGTTGAAATTCATTATAAATTAGGAGTAACAAACTTTTTTCAGATAGTTATTTTTTCGGCTTGTTGAACTTAAAATCATTAGGTCATTATAAAGTTAATTTTTTTGGGATTTCAGTGGTGAGGTGGGAGGGGCATTGGGAAAAATGCCTAACATAAGAAAAGCTAGAAAAGCTTTAAAAAAAGCCTAAAATAAGTACATATGTCACTCTAAACAGTATAAAATTAACAGAAAAAGCTATTATGAATTTCAATGTCAATAAAATCCAAAAAAAAATGAAAAACTCGAAAAAAAAACCAGATTTGTAACAATTCTGGAAAAATTATTAAATTACAGCTTCTGTTATGAGATAAGAAAATTAAACGATCTTCCGAGCTTTAAACAGTTCTCGTATAATTTAGAGCAAGGTCTAACTAGCCCATGGTTTTTTCCATACAAATGCAAAGAAATACCTAATTCATGGAAACAAGGAAAAATGTCCAGGGAATGAACTTTTTTCTACTTTAAAATCCATTTTCCGTGAAAGCGAAGTCTGTTTTCCACTTTTGAATTTTAGTTTTGAAAAACTATTTTATCGTTGTCATTAACTATTGAAAATTTTTTCATCACTCGTCTGACCTTAATTACACGTATTACAACTAAATAAAAAAAATTAGAGATGTGGGGAGAGGGAAAGAGCCAAAATTAAAAATTTCACCAGAAGGTCGCAGATTTTTACAAAGATTTCTGAAAGTTTTGCAAAGCAACGCCAATATTTCAAAAAATCTTACTTACTTAAGACTTTTGTTCAAAGAAGTAGCTATTTAGATGCAATTAAAATCTCTAAGAACTGCTGTTCTTTTTTATTTTGGCTCTATTTTCCTCACCCGTGAAGTTTTATATGTAAATTTTCTGTTCACATTGTCCGAATGTTACCTTAATTGGCCATGTTAAAAAAACCATGACAGACATATTTCGTCTGCTTATATTACTTAGCAAAACACCTCGCAACAAATAAAAAGTTCGTTCTGAAATTTCGGCTGATTTCCACTTTGCTACACCCTTTTAAAATGACAAAATCAAGACGCTTTGTCAAAATTTTTGTTGCTTTCTTTTGTCAAAAGGTTTGTTGCATTATCACAATGTTGCTCTTTTTTCTTTCCCTTCCCACCTCGCACAATTATCGTTTTCATGGTGTAATGAGTGGATTAACAAGGTTTAATTTAAAGACCAAATTTGTTTGTCATGGCTTAATTAGTCCGCGTGTCAGTTTTCATAACAATCGGACAATTTGAAAAAAAAATTAGTTGTAAAAGTTCGCAAGTGGGGTGTGTGTATGGTGGGAGGGGGGGGGGTGAAAGAGGCAACAATTTTATTTTAGTTTTTCATTAGCTTATATTGACATGCAAGAAATTTTGTAAATTATTGTTCAGTTGTTTTTGGGGAAACGTTTTATTGCGCTTAAGAATATCAAAAATCATTATATATAGGCTTTCGTAAATTGAAATTAGAAAAACCAAAAAAGGGAACTGGAAAAAAGCCATTAATTCTTCTGTCAGGAAAACATATCTCCTCAAATGAGCGTTTCTGGTTTGCATTTTCCGACGGAATTCTTTTCTGAGCTGATTTTTGTTTGCTTAGTTAAAGAACACCTTCAAATTTAAAGTCAAAGAATCCCTTCAAACTGCCTACTTTTTGACTGTGCTGGACTGCGCTCGACTGTGTTGAATGTGCTTTAAAAAACGTCTATGTTTTGTTAGTGGTTGACCTATGTTTTGATGTATAAAATTTTCTCCACTCTTCGCCTACATTTCGAACAATTGATTTAACGTTGTAATGTAATGAAAATTGGCGTGGTGGTGAACAAACGCTTCATTGTGAACAGATTTGTGTTCCATACACCATACTTTACATTGTATTTAGTCATTATGACATAAAAAAAACAACTAAGAAACTTGAAAATTTGAAAAATGGGGGGGGGAGGGGGTTGTGGAAAAGAACCTATATATGTCACTCAAGCAGCAAAAAGTGATTTGGAAAAGCTATTATGAATTTTAACCTCATTAGGACTGCAAATGTGTTCAAAACTCAAAAGAACTACCCTTGTAAAAATACTGGAAAAATTATTGAATTATATATTTTGTTATATGATAGGAAAAGCAAAAGAGTCCTCCAAAAATGCCTAACTTTTTGAAACAAGGAAATTTTTCCAGGAAATAACTTTTCTTAATTTAAAATCCATTTTCCTTAAAAATGAAGAAGTTCACGAGGAGGGTCACGGAAAAAAACACAAGGTTTTTGAAAATTCTGGTAAATAAAGCCACTTTTTAAAAAAACTATTCACGAAAATTTGTGCTCAAAGAATTAGCTATTTAAACGGAAATACAATTTCTTAAAACTGCTCTTCTTTCTATTTTTGGCTGTTTTCCCTTTTAGAAACAATATAAGTAATTTATCTGTTCACATTTTCCGATTGTTACCAAAATGGGCCATGATTATGAAGCCATGACAAACATATTTGATCTTCTTATATAACTTTGTAAAACACCTCGTTACACCATAAAATTGATGCTTCTGGGTGAGGAAAAATAAAAAAGCCTTAACTTTTGTTATATATTTGGCTAGTAAAAAGTGTTCAGGTAGAGAATTTAAAAAAAAAACATGCTTCGACTAATGTTCCAACCCCTAAATGAGGAAAAATTTTATTTTCACGTGTTTTATTCTGTTAAAATGTTTGTCACGAGAAATAATAAACTTTGATTTTAATTTCTTCCCAATACCAGACTTAAAACATGGATGCACAGTGAAAACTTCTTCTAAGAATCAAAGAAAGTTTTGTCCTCACCTTTTTTAACCAAACGTCAACCCAGTTTGACATAAACGCGTTTAATGTCTCAAGTTATGCGTGTTTTCCGGATAATTTAAATCAGCACTGTATTAAGTTCCATCATTCAATCATGTTTAAGGCAAGGCGTTTTAAAAATCTAACATTGGAAAAAGGAAGTAAATTGAAACATAGCCAAAAATGCCAGTCCTCTAAGACTTTTTTTTAGTTTATTGCACATAAACAACTTTCACTTATTCTTCAGCTCCAAACATGGTTTTCAGACATCCAAAAAGACTGCATTGAACAATTTGTCATCTTTGACGCCAAAAAGAAGACCAGCAAATCGGTCAAAACTTGACAAAAATTACTGAATACTTTTTGATGAAAATTACTGCATAATTTTGTATGAAATTTTGGAAATCAAATTGCTGCGTTTAAAGACCCGTGAAGATAATTTCGAGGCGAGAAGCAAACATGAGATGTGAGTTTATATAGGGTCCATATCAGCTAAAGTTGACTTTGACTTTCTCATAAAGGAAAACCATGCAAACGATATAGCATATTGTTTCGCAAGAAAAAAAAGGTAAAACAGTTAAGTCGTAGTCGCAAAATTGAACGCTCTCATTCCTTTTCTAAAACCAGTTGATAAAATGTAACTGAAATTTAATTCAAATTGCTGCATGTAAAAAAGGCCAGGTTCTCTTTCGAGAAACGAAGCAAACGCGAAGTGTAAGTTCAATATATTGCATAGAATTGAGTAGGCGGGCTTTTTTCTCATGACTGAAGATTGGAAAGCCCAAACACGAAACCATTATTAAGACTCCATTTCGACAAAAATTTTCTGCACCGCAGGCCAGACAAATTTTTGATAAAGCAGACCAAAAAAATTGTTTTTAGGCACTTTTTGGAAATTTTTGCCCAAAAATTGCGTTTTTCGGCGCACTCCCCTCAAAATTAGCATATATTGGCGCAAAATGCCCCTTTAGAAAAATTTTAGGGTCAGTCAGCCAAAATTATATCTCCTAAAATAGTACCAAAGGGGATCTTTTCTGTTTTAAATTTTCTTGATGATATAACTGTTTATTCTTGATTGGTTATTTTTAACCATCAATTAGTTGACACAAATGGGTTTTTATTTTTTTAGTTGTTGGTTCATATTTTTCAATTATAGCCAAATATTTTTAGACGGTTTTATGTAAGGATTTATCTGTTTCTTGTCTCAATTGAAGAATTTATTTGTCTTAAAATTTTCAATTGAATTGTTAACTTAGATTATTGTCAATTTATTCGCCAAAAATCATATCAACTTTCTATTATGACAATTATTCGACAAAAAAATGTTGGCAAACAAATTTAATCTACTTTTTCTTTGACGCTAACATATGAGTTTTGTCCGATAACTTGCACTGGTCATTTAATTACCAGGGAAAACCAAGAAATAATGAACATTACCCTAAAATTGTTACTTTTTTGTTAATTTGCCTGACCAAAATTTGCGACAATTATATCGTCGGACTTAGTTTGGATCAATTGTATACAAAGTATTTCAAGGCCTTAATAGAAGGAACCTTTCTTGCCAAAGGAGATCTTGCACGATAAGCAGGGGTGGATTTAGAGGGAGGGGGCGGGGGATTCGAACCACTGCCGACACAAAGAGTCCCCCTTTGGCACTATTTTAAGACTGGAAATTTGGATAACTGGCCCTAAAGTTTTTATAGAGGCGCCTTTTGCGCCAATATATAATAAATTAAGCGCACCGAAAAATGCAATTCCTTGGGCGAAATTTGACAGGAAGTGCCCAAAATTAATTTTTCGGCCAGCATTTACAAAAATCCGCCTGCCGTCTAGAAAATTTTGTTCAGATGCGGGTCTTTATAGCATTCTAGGAGCGCTAGGAAAATCAATTAAGCCGAACCAACCAAACCCCCCCCCACTCGCGAAAACCCGAAAATCCTAGATCCGCCCCTGATTTTTTGTATTATTTTTGTATGATTCTTTTGTATGAGTTTCTGATTCAAATTGGCTCAGGTTATTTATGGCCAGGGGCGGATTTAGGGGGCGGGGCGGGGGGGGGGGGGCGGACGCTCCCTTTCTTAGGGATTCGACCCCCTGCCGACCCAAAGGGTCCCCCTTTGATACTTTTTAAGAAATCCATTTTTGGCCGACCGACCCTAAAAATTTTCTAAAGGCGCCTTCGGCGCCAATATATACTAATTTTGGCTCTTTTTCCTTCCCCCCCCCCCCCCCCCACCTCACACCAACATGAATTTTATTGTCTAACGAGTGGTGTTACCAGGTTTATTATGAAGACCAAATATATTTCTCATGGCCTAATCAGTCTGCATGTCGATTTTCGTGACAATTGGACAAGTTGAACAGTAGTTTAAAAATTTGCAGGTGGGAGGGAAAAGGAAAAAGAGCCCTAATTTTGAGGGGGGAGCGCGCGCCGAAAAAACGCAATTTTTCGGTCAAAATTTTCCAAAAAGTGCCTAAAAACGCCTTTTTTGACCTGTTTTTTCAAAATTTTGCCTGCGGCGCCAAAAATTTGGCCAAAATAGGGACAAAACCGTGCTTTGGGAGAGCTCGAAAAATCAATTTGGTCGACCTAAAAAAAAAAGGTCGTCAAAATTTTCGAAATTTTTTTGAAAATCCGCCCCCCCCCCCCCTCGAGAAAATCCTAGATCCGCCCCTGTTTATGGCATTGCTTCAAATGGCTACTGCAGGATTCTTTTTGCACAAGTTTTTGCACGAGGAGTTTTCACACACTTGACATTTTTTGCAAAAAATTAACTTGGCTTAACACAAACACTACCAGAAAACAGTGAAATTTTTCGGAAGACACTTCAAGAAAAGCTGACCGTTGAAATCATTTGCCGTGGTTACGGTCTTCTCAGCCAAATATTTCTTATAAAAAACACGTAATACGACAACTCGCAACAAAAGACAACTAGCAATAAAAGCTTTTGATGTAACAAAAGACTCGCAACAAAAGCAGGCGCGGATCTAGGAATTTCTCGAGTTTTGAAAATTTTGTCGACCTTTTTTTTTGTCGACCAAAAAGTTTTTCTGAGCTCTCCCAAACCACTATAAAACCTTAATTTGACCACATTTTCTGCGCCGCTGGAAAGTTTTTGAAAAAAGCCGTTTTTAGGCACTTTTTGGAGAATTTTGAGCAAAAATTGCCCTTTTTTCGGAGCCCGCTCCCCCCACAAAATTAGTATAGATTGGCGCCAAAGGCGCCTTAGAAAAATTTTAAGGCCAGTCAGCCAAAAATGGATATCTCAAAATAGTACAAATGGGGGACCCTTTGGGTCGGCAGGGGGTCGAATCCCTGAGAGGGGAGGTCGTCCGCCCCCTCGCCCCCATAAAGTCGCTACTGAACAAAAGACAGCTCGCACTAAAAGTTAACTCGCATTAAAAGACAAATGCGTGTTACGAACTTGCCACAGAGGGTAGGACTCTTACGAAATTTGGAGCCGGTTATCGCCGCGCCAACATAGCGGGCCAACCGGCGACCTTAAACCAAAATTGCTTCTAAATATTTTTCGCTTTCCTTAAATGGTTGTTTTTTGTTATGAGTTTTTGCGGTTACCGAAAAAAAAACAGCAAAATATAAATAATTGAAGGCACTCTCTGCCGTGTCTCGAGCAGAGTGAAAAGTTTGTGATTTGACTTAATCAATTCCTGATGTTTGAATTATTCTTTCTTTTTTGATAGTTTTGCAGTTTCTGCACAGAGCCAGGCAAGAGTTTGAGAAGAAGTGGAACAACAAAATCGAGGTGAGTATCGTGAAAATTACCCCCAATGGGATCAACTAGCACAAACATATGAAAAGTCAAGAATAATATTTCATAATTTCATCAGACATTTTGTTCCCACCACAACTTGGTAGAGAATTTTGTGTTTTTCTGTTTTCAAATTTTGTCCATGCTTTGAAAGATAATTAAAATTGAAAATTTTTGAGTCAATATTGAAACATTTTCAAAAAAAAAAAATTGTTTTGAGAAAAATCGACTTACAATTTTTTAGTGAAGCGATAAAATGGAGAAAAAATTGCCCATTAAGTTATAAAAAAATAAGCATTTTACTGTACAAAACTGGTTCATTTAGTAATTTATTGGCACCACTAGTTCAAAAATTCTTTAAACTTTAAAAAACATAGATATTTGAAAAAAAGAGAAAACGAAAAAATTGTTTTCGTTTTTGTTAATCTATTTTGCAAAAATAACTGTAACCAATTAAGCTCATTTAGGTTTAGTCGCTCTCCCAGCGCGCAAAAAACTCGGCACTAACTTGAAGAAATTACAAAAAACAACTTTTTTCTTTATCTGTGGTTGGAACCTCTTAATATACTTGCACAGTAATCAACCATTCATGTTCTCTTCATGTTTTTGCCATAGTTTATGACTCAATTGTTTTGTCGTTGTAGACAGATGTTCAGTGGTCTGACTTTGATGTGAAGCGTACGTTAGGCACTGGCTCCTTTGGTCGAGTGATGTTAGCCAGATACAAACCAACCAAGAGCAAAAAGTTCTACGCAATCAAAGTACTCGACAAAAAACAGGTCATCGATAAAATTCATTTGCTTCCATTTCAAGATTTGGTTACTTTTTCTTAGATTTTTTTTTGCCGAAAATGTAAAGTTAATAAATAATTTTAATAAATAAATAAATGCATTTGCTTCCATTTCAAGATTTGTTAATTTTATCTTGGTAAATATTTTTGCCAAAAATGTAAAGTTAACAAGTAATTTTAATAACTAAATAAAAAGCATTTGCTTTTGTTTCAACTTTTTCTTTACTCTATACAAAACTTAGAGTCGGTTATCGCCGCAAAGCGGCGACGCGCGCGTAGCGCGCCTACCGGCGACCTTAAACAGAGGAGAAATAACTCCAATTCCGATTTTTGTCTTTCGAATCTAGCTTTTGTGAAACTGGCTGAAATGTCTCAGGCTGAATTGCCTGTATATTTCTGGCTGAATTGTTTGAATTTTAAATTGGCTGAATTGTTTGTAGCCGAATTGTCTGCGCGCCTTCTAAAGTACGTCGTGCAGGGGTAATCGTGTCCAGACATTTGGGAGCAGGCAACAACAGAGAACTTTCGGAAATTGGCAGAGTCAATTTAATGAACAATTGGTTTAATACATATTTTGCGAGTTTGTCAACAGAGTGTAGGACTCTATACACAAGTTAAAGCCGGTTATTGCCGCATAGCTTGCCCACCGGTGATCTTAAGACCAGAATTTTTGATCCGAGTTGCCGCTTGGTTCCAGTTGTCGCGACGCCGGTGGTAATTAGAGATGAAAAAACACAATTTTTGGTTAAATTTTTCCAAAAATGAGCAAGAACGATATTTTTTGTCCAAAAATTGCCTCCTGCGCAAAACCTTTTTTTCTAGTATATTGTCATTTTAGCCTTCAGCAGAGCACAAAAAATTCGAAAAAGCACTCCTAAAAAATTGACAAAAAAATGCCTGCGAATGATGCTGATGCAAAACTTTTTCGACAGTTTTGCCTAGTACGATCGCATGCAGAGTCACTGGTCACCCCAACTTATTGTCAAGTAAAATTGTGTTCTGTTTCAGATCATCAAGCAGAAACAAGTTCCCCATTTACTGAACGAGAAGAAAATTCTAGAATGTGTCCAATTCCCATTTCTCGTCAGACAATCATTCGCGTTTAAGGTACGCAATTTCGAAAAACAAACTAGTTTTGAAGCAAATGATGATCATTTTATGATGTATCCGGTTCAGCTTAAGATAAAATGACTGGGATTTAAATTTGGTGAATCGAGATTACCGTTACAAATATCGGCCTTCGCTACCTTTTTGGCAAGTTGAAACTTCGCGCATCTAAATTGAAGACTTTGACCCGCGTTGCCATCTGGTTAAGACTTACTTATGCCGAATTCTTGCGCACTCGAAAAATTCAAAGTTTAAATTTTTGTTAATTTGAGTAAAATGTGATTTGTTTTGGTTTTTGGCAGAAAAAAAGCTTCTGCTAAAATGAGTAGGAGTGTGCCTAAAACAATTCAACGGTAGGCTTTTTCAGTCGAACCAGAAGTCAAACACCTTAGGTTGGGTTAAGCAAAAAACTATACCGTGGATGTTCCATACAAAATGTTCATTAAAAGTAGAAGTTACAAAACCCAGGGTATTGATAACTCTAGCTCATAAATTTAGACAGATGTCAGAGTGATTGCAGGTCATTGTGGAATAATTTGAGAGAATTCGTGAATTCCTTTGATTGTTCACGTGTATTCCGTTGGTTGTTCACTGTTCTAGGACAACAGCTATTGTTACATTGGTCTGGAGTTTGTGGCAGGAGGCGAAATGTTTCACCATTTGCAGGAAGCCAAGAAATTCGAGTGAGTGTATCTACACTAGTGGACAAAATTAAGTGCAAATTTAGGATTTTACTCTATAAAATGCTTGTTTTTTTAGTCAATTTTGGACTACATTAACTTCGATTTTCATTGAATTTTTTAAAAAAGACTAAGAGCAGATGATCAAAGCTACCCTCTTTGAAATTATCAAAATTTGATTTCAATGATTTACCAATGCAATCCGGGTCTGAAAATGCCAGTTTTCCTCATTTTCAACAAACTTTTCACTTCGCGTGAAACAGTAAGTAACAGGCAATTTTATTAAAGTTTTCACAGGAATGTTTCATTTTTCTCGCATTTGAGCTGAAGCTATTTGTTTCAATTTGATTGCCTAGAATTAGCCAATCAAATTTTCATTTTTTTGTTCACAATTTCAATATTTTTTGTTCGCAATTTTAAGTTGACTTTTAAATAAGCCGCATTAGCCAAAAAAGTTAATTAGTTTGAAAATATTTCAATTTTGATTAAAAAAGCCTGCAGTGTTTTACGCAGACTAGAAAAATACACAAAAAATAACTACAGGATTTTTGCCGAAAATCTGCTCAAAATTCGACCTTGTTAGAAATCGGCTGAAAACTAAAGTGATCGCATTTGTATTAACCAAACGAATCAGTGAAATCATTGTTTTGTTCACGGTATTTTTACATTGAATACAACAAAACTGCAAAAATTAGAAATTGGGACGGAATAAGTAAAAATATCCCATGTTTCTACCATCACACCCCGACTTGATAAAAACGGAAAAATATTTTGAAAAATCCAGAACGAAAAAGTCTTCAGCCAATTTGAATTTATTTTTTTTCTGACACAATTTATGCCTAATAATTCTATTAAAAATCAAAACTTTCCTAATGTTCTTTTTTAGTTTCTATATTGCTTTATTGTGTTTCTTTTAACTAATTTGTGCGTTTTTTTCAAACGTTCTCTATGAGACACTTTTTGAAATACAGAAAAAATCTAAAAAATTTGTTTTTCCCTCATGTGATCATTTTTCCCATTGTTTTTGTAAGTTTGAAAGTTGCCATTCTAGCAGTTTTCTGTTTTTCCCTCATTAGATCATTTTTCCCAATGTTTTTGTAAGTTTGAAAGTTGCCATTCTTGCGAGTTTGAAAGTTGCCATTCTAGCAGTTTTCTGAACGAATGTACGTGGGCTCTGAATTTTTTAACTAATTATATTGAGATGGAAGCGTGAGCACCACGTTTTTGAGCGTCCGGAAATCATTCTAAGTTGTGTTGTTGTCAGCTAATTGTTCGTGGAATGTCCCTACATATCTCAAACTGTAACATGTAAAATTTGCTATTTTGCTTGTTTGGGAAGAAAAACAGACAAGTTCAAAATTGATGGACTATCAAAAAAAAAACTGAAACAAAAATCCCTCGGACTAGCTAATTAGCAGTCAGAACACTGAGGATTTGGCCCTAACACATGTAGTGTGTTACCTTCTTACCTTCTGACCTTACAAACCTTCAATGACAAAAAAGAATAGGATCTTTTTTGTAAAAAAAAATTGATTAAGCAAAAAACTATGGATTTGCTTGGATTGCAAATCAACTAAAACTGTTGTAATTTTGAAAATAACATAGCAGAATCAAATGGATTATAATTAAATAGAAACTTTTTTCTTTTGCCGTCTCATTTTCTGACCATTTATCATATAATTAATATTATTTATTGATTCAATTCCAATCTTTGTTAGTTTTTTTGAGATTTTTTGAAAAAATTTCGAAACAATTTGTTTGCATTTAATCTAAGTGTCATCCAAATTGATTTGACCCAAAAAACATTAATCACGGTGACTGCTAAAACTGTTTGATCACTCTTCTTATTTTTTCATCAGAGCTTAGTCATTGCGTCAATTTCAATTCAGATTGACAAAAACGTATATTCTCGCAGAAACTAAAGAAATAATTAAGTTTAAATCTTTTTAACCAATACTTTCCTCGTTCACCAAATCTTCGCAATGAAATCAGACCAAAAAAAACCTGTTTCTAGTTATTTCCTAGTTTTCCTCAACATCCAGTTAAAAAATGTTTTCAATTGAAAAACAGTAAAAGGCATCTACAAAAAGTTAAAATTCATGGTTCCGATGGGAAAATAACCCTTAATAACCCAATAATCCTTGACGTTTAAATTAAGTTTACCAAAAACTTGAAATAGATCGATTGTTTTTTCACTCAGTTTTTTCTAACAATTTTACGATTTTTAAACCTGAAATTTGGCATTTTTTCTACCAATTTCACGATTTTTAAACCTAAATTTTGGCATAGAAGTTTGTTTCCTTTGATAATTTTTTATCGCTTGATTGCATACTTTTTTATCGCTTGATTTTGTGCAACAACTTTGATTTCTTTTTTACAATTGTCTTGAATTTTACTACGCAAATTCAGCCAAAAACATGATTCAAATTAATGGTTTTAAGGCTTCCTGTCGATCAACTTCATAATTGTCTATGGTTTCTGTTGAAGATTTCGGGTTCAGTAAAATTTCACGTTTCTTATAACAAAAATGTGTGTTCCAACTATCAATGTTTTACTCGGCATGCCTATTTTTGTGAAAACTGAAAATAAATTTACACATTGATTAGTTTCTAGCAAAACTCGCCCGAGTTTTTGTATGAATTGGGAAATGGCTGGCTAGAATCTAACGCTCATATGATACGAAGCGTTTGAAATTAGGTTTCAATGGTATTAAATACAATTTAAAAAATTTAAATCGATTTGGGCGAGTTTAGAATGAACTTAAGAAGCTACCATAATCCATCCATATCAATTTAAACCAATTTTAGGCATTCTGAATTACATCAGGAAATTTTGAATTACATCGTTTTAAATTCCATTTCAGTTTCTAAATTGTGCATGCTTAGTTGGTTTGGATTTACCGAAAATTAATTTGAACTGTGTTTAAAATGATCAACAAACTTTTTTTGTCGGTGCTGCTAGTACCACTGAAATAGATTTTAAAGATCTGTTGAGGAGCGCTTTTTAAAAGATATTTGAATGGTTTTCAGGAACTTTCAAGAAGATTTCGGCGAGAAATCGATTTCGATGAGGTTTGTATCGTAGTAACTACCAAAACCCACATAGATCTAGTTAAGTAGTTTTGTTAGGCAGTAAATTGATTCTATTTTTTTGGATAATTGGTTTAAAGCTTTTTAAAATCCATCTTAGTTCCCCAATTGTAAATTTCAACCAATTTGGATTGATCCCGATTCAGTTCGAAATGGATTTAAACCGATGCACATTGAATTAATGAACTCAATTTTTAGACATTTCCTGTTTGATAAAAGAAATGTATTATAAAAAAATACGGTTTGATGAAAACAGGTATTAAGAAAACACTCCTGTTTGATCAAAACAAACTCTATGAAAATGTATTGGATCAAATTTTTTATAATTTCTTTGAGAACCTTTAAAATTTTTTTTCTTTTTTCAAAAATTTTGTTATTCTCACAAATTACTCTACAGATTTTCAAAAAAGGTACCAAAAAATGGTACCAATGGTATCAACTGCGAAAAAGTGTGTGGGGGAAATTTGACCCATGTTTTTTTTTGTATTTTTCACATTTTCTTAAAAGTTCTGGGATAAAACAGGTTGTGGGAAGTATCCATGCATTGGCGGCTCCACTTTTTTTTTACTTATAAAACTATGACCCTCATCAATGTGAATTTTTTGACTTTTTGACCGATGTTTCAAATTCTAATTTTTTTTCTTTACTCGAAAACTAGTCTCCTCTGAAATCTGGGATTTCGGTTTCATTGTATAAAACGGGTTGTGGGAAGCTTCTTTGCATAAGCGGTTACGCCAAAACTTTTTTAAACAAAAAGATATGCCCTTCGGAGAAGTCGTAAATTCAATTTTTGAACGTTTTTTGAACTTTTTGACTTTTCTCGGAAGATACCCTTCAAAATTTGAGATTTTGATTTCAATGTGTAGAATGGGTTGTGGAAAGCTTCTCTGCATGAGCAGTCACGCTCAAAATTTTTACACAAAAAAAATATAACCCTCGAAAAAGTCATGCTTTTGATTTTTTGACCGTTTTTTGAAACTTTAAGTCTTTTCTCAAAAACTACCCTTCCGACTCTGAGATATCAATGGGTTCCGAATCTGTTTTCAATTGGTAGAACGAGTTGTGACTGTGGGAAGATCATCTGCGTAAATGATTGTTCCCATTTTTTTCACACAAAAAAATATGACTCTCGGAAATCTTAGTTTCAATGGGTAGAACGGGTTGTGGACAATTCGGTTGCACATACGGTTACGTCCAAACATTTTTACTCAACTAATTTTGATAATGGATTTTTGAAGTTTTTTCAAACATTTGTCTTGAAAACTACCTTCCCAAATCTAAGATTTTGGTTTGAATAGCAGATACGCCTAAATTTTGTTACTAAAAAGGATACGCTCTTGGAAAAAATTTAAATTAAAAATATTTTTTGGCTGTTTGCAATTTTTTTACTTGTCTCAAAAATTACCATCTCAAATCTGAGATTTTAGGTTCAATAAAAAAAACGTTTATCGAAGCTCTCCTGTGAAAAGATTTAACGTCGTAATTTTTTAACTAAAAATTTATGCTCATCAGAGAAGTCAAGGTTTTGCCTTCTTGTCTGGTTTTTCAAGCTTGACTCTTCTCGAAAACATCCCAATCTGACAGCAAAGTTTTAATCGAGGCAACAGGTTGTGGGAAGCCTCCGTCCGTGAATATGTCTCTGAGAAATTTCCAAAATCACAAAATATTTCATTGATACTTATATAAATCAACAAATAAGGTTTTTGGTGAAGCCCAATTTTTAAATTTTTGAAGTTACCTTTTTCATCCCACTTTAGTACAAAATAACCAAATAGGTACCTCCAGCTTTAGCTGGTCCTCTAGTTTTTTTTGATCTGATGACGAGCGCTTTTTAAGGGGAATTTAAATAGTTTTAAAGAACATTCGGATGATTTTGAGTTAATTTCGGTGAGTCTCAGATTGGATTTAATAACTTCGAAAATCCATCCAAATTGCTTTAAATAGATTTTGCAGGCACTAAAATTGATCCTAAATTTTCAGAAACGATTGATTGAAAATCCATACCAGTTCCTGCAGTGTGCATGTTTAACTATTTGAATCGACCGAAAATTGATTTAAACTAGATTTAAATCGATATGATAACTGATTTGAACTAAATTTAAATCAATTTTGTCAATGCGGAAAAATTCGCCCCTAGTATCGGATACACAAATTACTATAATGATATTGGGGCGAAATGTGTGAGAAGCGAAAGGCGAGAGGGGCGAAATGGACCGCCCAATTTAAGAGGCGTGAAATGGTAAGTTATGAAAGGTGCCACAGTTGTTTCGACTGTGACAAAGAACTATTTGCAATGTCTGTAGAGTTCACATCCAAAATTGGAACTGGCAATATAGTTAAGGCAGCTTGCAAAGATCGCAGAAGTTTTGTTGAAGCCGGTTTAAAAACAACACAAACTGGTTGCTGCTCAAGTCGCGATTCTTTTCTGGCCGAACTCTATTATCTACGGTATATGGGGTAAAACACGGTATACACTAAACGTCAAACCGTTTTATGATGTCAAAAAGTTCAGAATTAACTTCAGAAAAACTTCAGAAAATATTTTAATGCAGCTCGAATCGAGACCCAAGTAGATTCAAAATGATATATCGCTCGACCCCCGCCGGAAGTTGATTTGTGATACCTGGATTTTTTCAAACAAACATGCCGAAGTCTAAATTCCAGGTCGTTGAGCTAATAATGTTAAAAAGTCGAATAATATTTCAGCGAACCACAGACACGCTTCTACGCGTCTCAAGTTCTGTTGGCGTTCGAATACATGCACTACATGGATCTAATCTACCGAGACTTGAAGCCAGAAAACCTCTTGATTGACCACAAGGGCTATGTAAAGGTCACCGACTTCGGATTCTGCAAACGGGTGACCGGGAGGGCGTGGACCATGTGTGGAACCCCTGCCTATCTGGCGCCAGAAATTATTCTCAGCAAGGTTACACTTCACACTATTCAATCAGAAGATCACGCTTTTTTGCGTTCTTCCCAAACACACCACTCGATAAATAGCAAACCGGAAATTTGATGTTCTTCCAGGACGGATAATGTTTTTGCAATAAATTTTGAAATTTATACATAAATTGTTACCCTCCTGGAAAAAAATTTTTTTTATTATAATTCAGGAACATTCTTCTTTGAGAGATCTATTAATATATTCTTCATTTAATGCTTAACTACTTATTTTAGCTTGAGGTGTCTTGAAATTATGCAAAGAGAATTCAAGTGAATTTAGTTACAGTTATTGTTTGCTTGTAAGCATATTTTTTTGCTTTCAAATGGGATTTGCTGTTAGCTTTTATGCACGTCTGCGTATGGTCAACCGTTTTCATACCCATAAGGCAAGCAAAAACTCGTTCGAATCCCGGGTTGACCAAAACTTTCAGCCATACAATTTCTAGTCATACAGGAAAAAATGTCTTCTCATACAGTTCTTTAGTTCCATAGATACAGACAACTATACAAAATCTCTATGATATTTTGATGAGAAGTTTCATGCATGAAAATTGAACGGCTAGCGTTTTCTCATAGATTCAAGGTATGATACGCTTTTTTCTTAGATGAAATTATAAATGAGTAGTTTTCGGGTTGGGATGTGTGTAAAATGTTCTTTTGTAACAGCAACAATTCTATTTATTTTAATTTACTAAAAGAATAGAAAGTGAAGAGTGAACTTGAAAAAGTCGGAGAGACATTCTCTCTGTCGGAGAAAATGCTTAAGTCACGGTCAAACACGAAAGACCGGTTAACACAATTAAGTCATTGTAACACAAAACCTAAAAGTGACAGTGGCAACAGGATGTCATCATGAGCTGTTCAGCCGGTGTTCAATTAGGCTGTTGTTTTTGTTGTTGTGATTCAGGGCTACTCCAAGGCGGTAGACTGGTGGTCCTACGGGGTGCTGTGCTACGAGATGGCAGCCGGTCACCCTCCCTTCATGGCCAAGAAACACATGGACATGTATGAGAAAATAGTGCAGGGAGATGTGAGTTGAACAGTTTCAAGATCTGGTGCAACCAGGCAAATAGTAGGTGTTTGGAGAGGCCACAATCTGGGGGGGGGGGGGGTTGAGCAGGGCGTGGGTTTGAGCGAAGAGCAGAGTCTTAAAAAAGTAAATTGATAATTAAGTATTGATAAAATTAGCATCAATTAGTCTTTTGCCCGTTGCCAATCAGTCCAAAATTAAATTTCAAAGCTTTCCTCTTTGCTCTTACTCGCACCCTGCTCAAACCCCCTCCCCTCCCCTACCACACCAATTGTGGTTTCTCCAAGCACCTACTACTCAGCCACTACGAGTAAATGCCAGAGGGGCTTAACATTACCGAAAACTTCCTGAGCTTGTGCATGATTCCAAAAAATGGTTCAAAATTTTGATAAATTGTTTAATTGTATGTATATATTGTCAGAAGTCGGCGCAGGTTTAGCAAAAATATTTTTCAAAATGATGACTAAAAAAATTTTTGATCTATTTTTTGAGCAGATAATTTTGCTCGCAGATAATTTTGCCAAAATAGGGTCTTTATACCGTTTGGGAGAACGCGCAAAAAGGTTTGTCAATCTAGAAACAAGCCTAAGACCCCAAGTGTCATTGAACGCAGTGAAAACATTGATATCGGTCATGATGATGTTTTTTCAGGAAAAAATCTTGGAATTGGTTCACGCCAAATTTAATCTTTTGCGGTTTGACTTTCGATTTTTCAAGTTCAATTTCAAATAAAGTGCTAAAAGAAGGGCGCAAAAAATGTGAACGACTTCTAAATTTCCAGTTTTCTCAATTTGGGTTAATTTTATGTTCATGAATTTCAAAGACCATTTGAAAAAGCACACACGCCAGATTCGCCTACTGTCTCTGCATAACAGAGTGCGTGCAATGGGGAGTTTGTTCCATTTCAGTACCAGTGTCCGGACCACTTCTCGAAGGAGTTGCGTGACCTGGTCACTAATCTGCTGCAGGTGGATGTCACCAGGAGGTTTGGCGCCCTCAGGCGGGGAGTGCAGGACATCAAAAACCACATGTTCTTCGCCCCAGTAGACTACATCGCCACATATCAGAAAAAGGCACAGTAGTTATATCTAGAGATTAGTAGAAGCAAAACGAATTAGTCTATAACTAATGTACCAAACATAAAAAAAAGTAAAACTGAAAAACACAGTGGCTTTAAAAGACACTGAAATCATAGAAACGAAGTATTCCTAGACAAACTCGCCCGCCATTGATATTTAGCCCAGACTCCAGATAAGGACGAAATTTATCTCGTATGGTGTTTCTCATCTAACTTAGAAACTGTCAAACATTTTCTCAAAATCGAGTTTGAATTTTTGCTTCTGAGATATAGTTTGAAAAACTTAAATTTACCCTAGCTATTGATACTCAGAGAATAAGTTTGAATTCGCAGCTTCCATAACAACAAGGACATGCAAAACACAATTTTAAACTTGCAGCAAAACCAATAAAAATGTTGCAACTAAATTGGCTCAGCTTGAATTTATCATTCAAAGACTCCAGTTCAAACTATTGTTATTTTAAGCGTTATCCATGTTTTGTAATTTTTTGGCCTCTTCTCACGAAAAGTTGTCAAACCTGCGTACGCTTAAGTTTTAATGTTAGCGGTTTGAAATGTGCAAGAACTCTCAACAACACTGCTCGTGTCAGTGAAGCCATGAAAGTTTTGAATGAATTTTAGGGTCTATAATGTTGTTTTCTCTCTGAAAACAGAATGAAATTTTCAAAAAAAAAAATTTTTTATTTTAAAATGTTTTCGAGAACTGTTTTTGAAAATCATTCCCCAACACGCAGGTGATACGATACGAAGTGATACAAAAGTGCTCGTATGAACCTCTAGCCCTGAACATTCCGACTGCGTTTTCAGAACTATGAAGTTGTGTTCGCTTTAAGCAATTATATGAAATTTCAACAAAAATGAAAAAAGATTTAAAATTTTATCAGCTTTTTTTGAATATCGACACCCCACACGCTTGTTGAGAAATTCATTTAGGGATCTTTTCGAAAATCAAATGTAAATGAAAACAAGCATAGCTGGTTACTGTGCAAATAACACAGAATGATCAGAACATAGTCCTAAAAATATCAAAAAAAAATATTTTAAAAAAACAAGAAACTTTTTTGCCGCCCACATGAAGCTAAGAAAAACTCCAAAAACTAACTTCAATTGCGTAAAATTAGAAGGATTTAAATCGAGCAAAAATAAGCTATTGTAAGCCTGCTCGTTTGCTTCATTCGCGCGGAATTGAACAACAAGTCAAAATTTGAAAACAGTTTTCTTCAAAACAGAGGAGAATTTTTTAAGGTCGTCTGTATCACTACTGAAAGGGCTCCAATTTGGTATATTCTTTCATTTGATCCATTCCGACGATTATTTGTGGTACCTGAAATTGCGTGAAAATAATAAATAATAATAAATTAGTTTCCAAGTATATGCAGAACAAATACACTTGGGAGAACGTCAAAAGCGTTTAGTCTGTCGAGTGAAAAAAAAAGAAAACTACACACAGCCGAATGCAATAATCCTCTCTATTTTTGGTCGGAAGAACAAGACTGCTCGTATATCACGGCAAAGCCGTGAATGATCCGACGGCGTTCTATTGTCGAGCTTAAGCTTTTTGTGTTTAAAACTCTTATAAATTGTACAAAAAATGTGAAAAATTAAAAAAAAATTTCATCACCCTTAAGCTAGGTAAATTACAAAAAGATGTATTGAGCGTCTGGTAACCTACCTACTAATAAGAACCAATTGTGTGCCTCAGTTTAATTTGAAAGGATTTAAATAGCCTTCTAAGCTTTGATTGAATCGTTAATCATTATAATCGCGCGTTAGTTATCCCAATTGTAACTACGGTCATCAAAGTTGTCCCAGTTTCAAAGCATTATAACCTTGTAAGAACCACCAGTAGCTTTCAGATGCTGAAAAACTTTTCTCAAAAATGCCTAATTAAAAGGAAGTATATTGACTAAATATAAAGTCATCTCAAGCATAAGTATTCCGCAATTTCTTCGAAAGTTAAAACAAACATGAGAACCTTCTAAGTTCTTTGGGCATCTTAAGCTTTGTTTAATCAGAGAGTTCAAATTGAGGGTAGCAATTGGGCTTTTATTCAGATTGGGCTTTTATTCTAAAAATTAAATTGTCTTCAGCAGAACTTTGAATATATGCATTAAAAAATATTCGGAAAAATGTGTAACAAAAATCTGAAAACAATCTGAAAATCATTTGCCTGAAACACTCATTAAAAATATGCAAAAATTCGTGCGACTGACTTAAGAACTTCATTCATTTGAGTTTCTCTAATGAGCACAAAATTTTGCTTTGATCTGGATCTCCAATGGTCCCTAAAACTTCATTTTTATCAGTTTCAAAGAAAAAAAATTGAACTTTTCAAAGTCAACTTTTGCGCAGCAATCTGTTTCTCCCATTGCCCCGGTAAGTTTTTTCTAATACTAGCAACATGTTGATTGAAAATTTTTTTAGCCAGAAAAGTTTTACTTTGCAAAGCCCCATGATCTTTTAAAATACACCCAAGTTTGGTTCAGATGAGGTCCATGCTCGATATAAAAAACTTAACGGTTAAGTTACTCTAATGATGGATTTTCTTCATTGCTCATTCAAATGATTTCATATCAAATTTTTTATAAAAATTAATTGATGAAAGCTTATTGGAAAAAATGACGTTAAAATGCCGTGTAGTAATTATTTTATAACCAAATAAAAAAATTAATTCGGTAAATTCGTATTTTGCTTTAGTAAAAGGAAGGGCTTTAAATCATTTCAAAACATTATCAAGTGTAATATTTTTCTGTCACGCTACTCCGCAACACCTTGAGTTTTCCGGGTAACAGTATGAAAAATCATTACTGTTCTCAATGTGGTGAAGTTTTGTTGGATCATTAGCACTTAATAATGCTTCACGAAGCCCTTGAAACCCGGTCTAAGACTCAGAACAAAAAAACGCACGCAACTTGACTATGATTGGCTTGTTTTAATTTTCAAAACAAAAGATAGTAAGTCGAAGATCAAAAGTCGAAATAAGCTACAGATTTCAAATCTAAGATTGGCTACTCTAATATGTGATAAATTTTAGGTGGGAAAATGCCCCGTTGAAATATTGTTTTGCGTCAAAAAATTTGATTTGACTTGATTTACTTATAGATGATCCATTTTCTATCATGTCTTGTTTTCATTCCTGTAATTAAATATCCGAAACTTTCCTAAATACAAAATTTTTTATATAGATAATCCATTTTCGATCAAGTCTTATTTTGATTTCTGTAATTAAATATCAGGAAATTTCCTAAATACAAAACTTTTGTATAGAGTGTAGCTACTGTACAATCTCTAGAAAAATGACGTTCTGTAGGGTTAATTTCCTCCCTAGCTGAACTCTGCCAATTATTGAGCGTTGCAGTCGATTTTGCATTGACACATTTGAACGCAATCGAAATAATTTTGCTTCAAGGCGTTCATTTTAAAGATTCCACTTTTACTGATCAAATTGTACTCGCTGCCTTTCTTATATTATTTATACCCCATGCTGGTAGACACTCAAAAATAAAAATTCTTGTTTAATTAATTTTCCTGCACCACCCCAACTTGATTCGTCTATAGATAGATTGTCTTTTTGTTAATAATATTATTTGTCATTTTGTAAATCTCCAGATGCGTCAATTTTTATTTGAGCTGAATTAAGACTTTCGGGCTGAATTGTTGAAAATTTTAGAAAGCAGAAAATCGTAGCTGCTATCGCTAATTTCATCAAAGATTGCTCATAGTTCTACAATTTCACACAGTGGCGAAGCTTCGCTTCGCAAACATTAGCGAAAACACGACAAAAAGCAGCTTCATAAAATGAACTGATAAAAAATAGATATTAGCCGGGAAGTAGTGAATCTTTGCTACATAGTGGCTTCGAACCTGCGACCTCAAAAATTTGAGTATCATTCGCTGCCCTCTCGGCCACGAACCCTCTCGGCCACTATATTTGCTAATAATTTGCCAATGCAAGGCAGCAAAAAGTGGTACCATACAGAAATAGACACAGTTTTGAAAGTAATAGTTTGGAATATAAGAAACTGAAACTGAAGGCATTCACTTTAACTTTGCATGTAAAAAAATTGAAAATCTTAAGCAAAATTATGTTTAAACTATGCATTTCAAAAAATTGCGAGATATATTCAGTAAAAAAAATTTCTGAATTCAAGTTTTCATGATTGTTATGTTGTTTGAAACAAATAGCTTTTTTCGGTTCATTTGATGAATTAAAAATGCATCAACTGTGTTAACTTCTTACTATTCGAATGTCAAATCACAAGCTATCAAACAGCCTTAAAAGTGCCAACAAATATTGCGACTTAGGTTAGAAAAAAGAATAGTCGTACTATCACACTATCGCTCACTAAAGTTTGCTAGTGTATTAAAATATGCCCTCTTTTTGTCAATATGCTTATCTTTTCAGTAGTATTTGTCTTTTTGTAAATTCGGTCAAAAATAATTCTATTTTTAAAGTGAACCATTACGAAGTCAAAATTTTGCCGGAACGATCAAAGAAAATGAAAGAACAGAAGAAGGACAAATGGAGCGTCCTTATTGCAGAATCCGTTTACATTTCACAAAATGCACAGTTCGTCCTCGTAATGACTTTCTGAGACTGTCACCTTGATAAATAATATAAATCGTTGATGGCAATAACTTAACTCGTAAAAAACACTTCTTTTTCAAGCAAACAATTCAATACGGAAATAGATTTTGCAGTAAATAATTCTGCTCATTTTAGCATTGCATTTTAAACATTTTCAAGATTTTTAAAAAATCCTTCAAAAAGTGAAAAACATGGCTATTTTCGTTTTCAAATGTTTATTTTGATTACAAAACAAATCAAATTATAATTTTCCTGACTCACTGAAGTTTAAGTTGGGATATTAGGTGTAGCGTGTTATGTTCACAAATTTGATCAATCCGTTCGTTTTTTGTTCAGCTGAAGGCTCCATTAGTACCGGAAGTGAAGGGCGAAGGAGATGACGGAAACTTTGAGAAGTATGACGAAGACCCACTGCCAATGGACAAGAAGTGCTTATACGAAGAGGAGTTCAAAGACTTCTGATCCAAATCCCAGCCGGAGACATCAATTATTGTCAACCCTTAATTGCACTTAATAAATTACTAATCGACTCTTTTCCAGAACACCTTCTTCCTATTTCGTAGCAGATTTGTGTCATTGCGAAGAGAAAAAAATCTAACTTGACACGCACAACTATACAACTATCTGCTTAATATTTAGAAAAGACATTCAGCACAGACTGTTGCAAATCAAACTATTTGGAAGATGAAAGCAATTTCAAAAAACGACAGACAAAATAACTAGTGGAGGTTATTTGAAACTGTCACTGGTTTTTGAAAAGAGTCACCAAACCATTTAGAGAAGTCTAAATGAAGTATGCAATTTGATACCAGAGTTTAATTTTAAAACTATTGTCAGATTTGTGTAAGTTTAATCATCCGAATATACATTCTAGTCAACGTTTTACCCTAATCATTCTAAAAATCGCATTATTCAACACATAAAAATAAAATTTTAAGAGCTCGATAACAACTTCGTTATCTGATTTTAAAAAAATTTATCTAAAAAAAAGAAATTCTAGGAAAACATGCCAAGCAATACATTTGAAATTCTAATTAGCAACTGGACAAAACTTACGAAGCGGAAACAAGGCCGACAATCTTTGAGACACCTTAAATTTGAATTTAGATGAAATTGAGCATGTCAGTCGAAGAGCATGGCAGGTGAAGAGGACTGAACTTGTCAAGTGATTCAACTGTTTTTGTTAAACTAGTTAACTAGAAAAAAGTCTATAATCCAGTTTGATAACGCTTGCGTAATAAAATCAACCCAATTGGAGAAGACTTTGGTAAAAATTTGCTATTTCGCTGGGGAATTCGATAATTGAATTCCATTTTCGAACTCAGAAGTCGATCACGTTCATTGTGACTTTTAAAATTTGACTGTCCGATAGAGGAAATTGCCTTGCTTTCAAGGAAGGAAATGAACTAAAACTTTTTTAAATGTCAAACCGCGAAAAAGTAAATTTGAGCCAGAATAAATTTTAGAACTTTTCCTGGGAAAAAAACGTTTAAAAATCATCAAAAATTTTCCTAAAAAAGGACAACCATCGCGACCTATATAAGAGTCTAAACTACTTTTATCGACTGTTAGCGAAGTGGAGATTTGCACCAATTGCGATACCACATTAAATTTATTTTAGGTCAGGCAGTAGAATGATTAATTCGATTTTGTTTAAGAAAATTTTCCCCCGAGAAAGGCTACATCCCAATTTGATATCGATTGCTTATCTTAAGCGTACTAAATCATTGCGTTAATTTGTTGCGTAGTCCATTGCTTTCTTCGACACAACTTCAAGTCAAAAAGTTTGACTAAAATTTTATTTACTATAATGATGATCGCACAAACAATTAAACCAAACTGCTACGGATATGCGAATTCTTCAAATCAGTTGGTTAGTTTCACTATGTTGAGTTCACGATTCACATCGAAAAAACTCAAAATAAATCTAAATTTAATAACTAAAATATGTGCATTCAAACAGCCCGCTAGCAGGCAACTATTTTTATATTTCATATTATATAAAGTATTTACAACTATTTTTCTCTGAGAAAAACACTGCGATCCAGCTAAACAATTTGTACTTGCAAGCTAATTAACATGGACATGATTAAATTGCACCGCATTGAATGAAAAATAAATTTTCTTTCAGTTTTTAATTTAGAGTTTAGAAAAGTGCATTCGAAAGCTTCTCTTGGAATATTTCTATACTGTTGTTGTCAGTGAAGAGTAGAAAAGATCAAGGCTATCGGGATAAAAAAGGAGGACAATGGATAGAACAATTTCCACTGCGAAGATTGTAAATTATGTTCTCTTTGTGCATGTTTCTTCAATCGATGCGGCTGGTTGTTCGGCCGTTTGGGTGAGTGAATAGAACAGACAGGCGAAGTGGAGGTGAGCATGAGGGCAGGCGCCTACCCCCCGCATCCGCCGCATCCTCCTCCACACCCACCACAACCTCCACAGCCTGAAATAAAGGTGACTCAATAACTGCAGGCAGACTACAACTGACAACTAAGTGGCTTCACTTGATCAAAGAAGACCAAAGTGAAAAAAATCATGATGATCATCTAATCATGATAGCTTAAAAAACCAGCTGAACTAATCTAATTGAAACTATTGAACATAGCTACGAACTGTTGAAACCGGAAAAAAAACAAATGTCGTTTCGCATCCATTTTAAGGTTATAAGCGAACCGGAGGTATCCATGAGTATCTAGAAACTAATGCCACTGTGCTATTTCAAGGTTGATAAATAAACGAAAACTTAATCAAAAAGAAAAACGCGGTTGCCAAGGAACAAGCATCAACTCAGCGGTTGTGAAAAAACTCTAATTAGTTTTCTAATAAAATTTCAGTTTTTTGATACTTAAATTTTCTGAGAAGCTCTTATTTACCCTGATTTGGCTTTTTTTAAAGCAAACTGATCGTTCATGTTTTTTCCCGCAACTTCCTATTTCCTCATTGGAGAGCGAAACTTAACTTACTTTTAGCAAATGATTTTGAATTAAACCTAACTAATCAAACTGACTAAACAAATTGAAGTAAAGCTGAATTTCGCAGACTCAAGCAAAAACCAGAAACAAGCAGGCCTAAAAAGGTCAAAAAGTGAAAAAAAAGGAAAGACAATGTAAAAATACAAAACTCTGGTACGTGCCGGAGATGAAGAGTCAAAAAATAAATAGATGTAATGGCAAAGTGCCATCAAATGAAAGTGTCATCTTATATTTGCAACTTGGGTTAGAAAACAGCGGACTTCATAATACGAAAAAACGCCCCATTGTGTACATACTCGTAACAATCGAAAAAAAAAACAATAACGATTACATAGGTGTCTTGGTTCAAAGAATGGATGCCTCTACGCGGCTGGACCACGCATCATCCAGCAAGGTGGTGCCCGAATTCCATTTATACTACATCGGTCTCGTGTCGAGAGCCAAAGAGAGAAAAGGAGAGAGAGAGTGTTGCGAGAGAGAGAAAGAGAGAGAGAGAGAGAGAGAGAGAGAGAAGGGGAAGCGAAACGGAGGGAAGACGAAGAAACAGGAGAGAAAACGAAAGAACAAAGAGAAGAAACAAGACACGTGATTCTGAGCATTGAGCAGCCAAAACCAGCCTACCTGCTCATGTACTTTTTACTGACTGGACTTCTAGTTCTCACGATTATTCCGCAGCGGAATCGAACAAAACCCAGTCCCATATAACTGTAATATCTGTCAGACTAAGTTTACCCCTAATCAATACAGTGTCTTGTGCCACTTTGGAGAGTGGATACACCTAAATTGCTCCACACTTAAAATATCAATCAATGGTCACGCAGTTTTTATTGTGGGAATTGTGACTTCTGCATAATCAACCTCATCGAAGCCCTTAATAGACAACAACAACCTCCACCACCAAAACATCAACACCAACTTCGGATACTACAAATTAATGCAAACCGTCTTAGACCAAAATTAGATAACATCATCCACCACATGGCTACAACAAACACAAAGGTTGCAGCAATCCAAGAAACTTTCCTTACAAATGAACTTGAGTCCCCTAATGGATACCAAATCGTCGCACAAAACCGACCCACGAGTCGCGGCAAAGGAGGCGGACTAGCATTCATCATTAAGGACGACATAAAACATCAGACACTAAAACTATCACATAACGACCCCCACAGAGAACAACAAGCAATCAAAATAGTTACCAGCACGTCATCCTTAACAATCCTTAATATCTAAATCCCACCACATTCAAGCTGTAGTCCTGGATACACTGCATCAACCCAACACCTACTAGTGAACACAGATGCACTAATGTTAGGCGATGCCAACGCACATACCGCTCTGTGGTTCTCCGAAATACAACCTGACTCGCGTGGTCTAAAAATTGTAGATGATCTAGACGCGTCTGATTTTGTTGTTCTAAACGAACATACACCAACAAGGAAAACAAATAACACTAAGTTCCGTACTGAGCGCGAAAAAGCGTTTCAAAAATTAGCTCTACCCAAATCAACCAATGACCGTCACAAAATTTTCAGTAAAATAAATTGCGGCACGGTATCTAGACATACCTCAAGGATGCATTAAAGAGATGAAGCTGAAATTTCCAACGGAAGCTCTTAAACTCTCAAAAATAAGGGTCAATCTCTAACAAACGCACAAAATTAATGAACTAAACAAAAAAATCTATTCATTGGAAAACAAGCCATCAAATACCTCCAAGCTGATAAACCTCTCATTGATAAACCTCTCATTGATAAGCCTCTCCTTGAGCAACAATACCCGAAAACTGGAGATAGGGAAGAGTAATACCCCTGGCAAAGCTCGGTAAAGACCCCGAACAAGCTAAGAGCTTCCAATTGCACTGCTCTCTCCAGTGGCAAAACTCATAGAGCGTTAACTTCTACCCGAATTCAATTTTAAGGTAAATTTTCAGGAACACCAACACGGGCTTAGAAAAGAAAGATCGACAACTACTGCCCTTATTTGTATCTCAATTTACATAAAAGCTGGCTTGAACCAGGCCAAATCGCGTCACAGAACATTGACTGCAGCCTTTGATACTGTTGACCACCACCATCTGCGCAACGACATCGCCAGCTCGAATCTTTCCAATAACACAAAAAGTTGGATTCTTGCCTACCTACGAGGTAGACATACATATGCAGAACTCAGAGACACTAAATCTAAACGCAGGAACGTGAAACAAGGTGTCCCACAAGGTGGTGTGCTATCCCCGGTCCTATTTATTCTCTATATGTCAAAATGCCTCTACCAAAGAGTGATAACATCAAAGTGACTACTTATGCAGATGACATAACCCTCACAACACCAGGGCCCAATAATGATACTTTAGCAGATAACATGAATCCTTACATTAACAGCCTCAACACCTGGCTACCAGTCACAAATCTTTCATTATCAAAAGATAAGTCTACAACATCAATTTTTTCAACATGGACAGAATGGTTGACGCAACTAACCTGCCCACTAGTCGCAACCCCAAAATTCTTGGAGTAACATTTGACAACCGATTGAATTTTAACAAACACTGCAATAAGACCTGTGCAAACTACAAAAAAGGAATGGAACACTGCAATAAGACCTGTGTCAAACTACAAAAAAGGAATAATGTACTAAAAAAACTTGCCGGCACTTCTTGGGTTTGCTCCAAAGAAACACTCAGCGTTACTTAAAAGGCAATAGGATGGAGTGTTCTGAACTACGCAGCTCCAAGTTGGACCCCCACACTTAGCTACACCAACTGGCAACGTTTACAAGTAAAGCAAAACAACGCCTTAAGAACAACTACGGGATGACTAAGAATGAGTGACATAACACACTTGCATGATGAAAATAAAATTCTACGAGCTAAAAAAAACACAATGAAATGCTGTCTAAACATTTTCTTCTCGTGAGCTACCACGAGCACAGAGCTGACCACCACACTGTTAACTACAAAGGTTTTAATCGGAATATTAGGCCAACCCTCGAACGTAAGTTTAAACCTCACATTGAACATTCGCTAAACGAAAACCAGGAGAACATCTCAAAGCTTGAATATGTTAAAGCTTAACGAAAAGTCTAAGCTACTTGGTAGAATACCTCCTATTTTATATCTAATTGAAAGCAAACTTGACCGGAAAACTCGATGCACACTGTCACAGCTGCGATCCGGATACTCAATTCACCTCACCAGCTACCACCACAGGCTTAACAACAACATACCCGATGTCTGCCCAAGTTGCCACATAGGACCACACACCACCGATCATCTGTTTAACTGCCGGGTACACTCAACCTCACTTACCATCGAGAGCTTATGGGAGAATCCCGAAAAGCTGCCAAACATCTACAGCTCATCAAATAACCCCACGTAACGGGAGTTTTTCTCGGTCCTCCCCACTAACTAAAAACTGCCCGCTTGAACCGGGCATGGAGTTTCACTCGGTTCTCCGCACGCCGAAAAACTTGGCCCCTAGAACGGGTTTCAATACCACATCGAATCCTCCCTCTTGAGTGTGCTATAGAGAGGGAAGGTGCCGACACCAGCACAGAGACGCTATCACTGGAAAAGTTGGTTCCCATTCTACGTCGGTTTTGCCGCTAGAGACCCTGTGGGAGCTGCAATGATAGATTGAACGAGACGAAACCAACATGACCAGACAGGAACGAAATTTCCCTAACTCTCTCTCTCTCTCTCTCTCGATCTCTCAAACATAAACTATCTCTCTAATTCAATCAGAAGCTCGAAGCAGAGATCGATGTAGCTACAACAACAACACAGGTGTCTTCACTGCGTTAATTGACACTTTAAAACAAAGAAAAAAAGTTATCTAGCTTAAAAACTAACAACTTACCTCCGCAGCCGCCACAACCCCCGCACCCACCACATCCTCCGCACCCACCACACCCGCCCGAGTACTGGTTGATCTTGGTGTTGTGGGGCACTCCCGCGTAGTAGCCAGCCGCCACCACCATCTCCAAGGAGTCGACGTCGATCGAGTTCGGGTACTGGGCCCTGTCCGCTCCATCGGGGGGTCTTGGCTGGCATAACACGTGCATCATGGCGATGGAGAAGGCTAAGGTCACTTTCATGCCCAGCTCAGCATCCACAGCTCCGTCCGCTATTTCGACATGACCATTACGCAGATTGACAGACACGTAACCTACACAGGTTCAAAAATAAGACTGACGGCCCAGCAAAACTTCACCGCTGAACAGAAATCAAGAGATTAGGCATATTCGACAGTCATAGAAAAACCAGATAACTGAAAAACATTTTATGTAGAAAATAACTAGAAAATCGAAAAAAAAATTTTTTGCAGTTTTTCCGAAAAATCTCAAAAAAACTTGTCACTCGACTAAAATTAAGTTTTTACGTTTTAAAAATTAAGCTATTGTAAGCTTTTAAACCATTAAAATAAGCATGCTCGCTCGCTTTAGTCGCTCGAATTAAGACGAAAAACCAAAAATTTCAAACAGGTTATTCTCGACACTGGGAAAATTTTGAAACTTTTTAATGTCCTTCGAATCATGACTGTTAAAACTTTAATATTTTATATCACTCGACTCTCTCCGATGATTATTTGTGGTAGCTGATTTTGCGAGAAAAACAAAAAACTAAAACACACCCGAATACAAAGTTCATCCCTATTTATCAAATGGTCAGAAGAAATATATGGCTTTACAAATCTTCGAATTTCGAGAACAAATTATGATTGTTACTTTTCAAATAAATTAACTCAGTTTGAGAATATAGCCAACAGACAGTGGGAAATGAGTTAAGCAACGCAAATAAACAAACAACACACTTGTTTTTTACGCTTTGGATTAGTAAGCGTTATCAAATCAAACCGAAATGAAGACTTTCGGCCCAAGTGGTGCCTGCTCAGAGATTGTCGGCCTTGTTTCGTAAGTTTTGTTCAGTTGCTAACTTGAATTCAAAATGTCTGGCTTTGAATGTTTGCCTAGAATTCTTTTTGATAAAAACTGGTATTATAGAAATGTATGGGATTGCGTTTGTTTTATTATATTCTTTTTTTTGATACGCTTTGGAAAACTGTATCACTTTTTTTTGCAAAAAATTCAATTTTCTCTCAAAAACCCTTTTACCGATTTTCAAAATAGAGTATTCACAGAAAGACCGCCAACATTCTTTAGCGCGTGCATACTCCTCTGGTCTCTTTTTGCTTCACCCCTGTCTACAGCCTACGAAAAAAGTCTCTGGGTGAACATTTGACCGATTTTTTTTCGTTTTCAATAACTAGCCAAATCAAAACCCTTCTTGGTTTCAATGAATACACAGAAAAAATTTGAAAATCTCCCCTTCATAAGCCGCTAGCCCAATTTTTTAACCTACATAATTATGGCTCTCGGAAAATTCAAATTTTTGATTTTTTTAACAGTTTTTGGAATCTTTTTAACTTTTCTCGATAACTAACCTCCCAAAACTGAGGTTGTGGGTTCAATGGGGATAGCAGGTAGTGGGAAGCTGCCCTACATCAGCGGCCACTAACAATTCTCGAACAAAAAAAATAATCGTTCCACGGAAAAGTCAATTTTTTGAACCTTTTTTTCTAAGTTTTATGAGTTTTACTTCAATCCATAGAACGGGTTGTATGGATCTCCTCTGAATACTCGACTTTGCCCAAATTCTTTGACACAAAAATGATGGCCCTCGGAAAAGTCAAATTTTTCACCGTTTTTTTGAAACTCGAGAACTACCCAGCCAAACCTGGGTTTTGGGTTCAATTGAAATTACAGGTTGAGCTACCCACAAATTTTTTCAAACAAAAAGCTATGATTCTCGGAAATGTCAACTATCCGACTTGATGACCGTTTTTTCGACTTTTCTCGATTACTATCATGGCAAGTCTGATATCATAGGCTTAATCGACAGAAGAGGTGGTCGGAGGCTTACCTTTATACGCCCAGTTTTTTCAGAAAAAAAGTTTTGGCCTTCAAACAAGTGAAAGTTTTAAAATTTCGACCATTTTTTGAAATTTTCATCAACCTAATCGAAAATTACCGTGCCAATTCTTAGGTTAGGTAGATGTCCTTTAAGTTCTTGGAAATGAAGAACAATTTTTGTTGACTATGTTTAGATAAAACTGACCCATTTTGAGCAAACTGGATCAATAGGTAAGACTTTTATTTCGCTGGGAAATCTGATATTCAAATTCCATTTTCAAAATTACATGTCGATCACGTTTTTCGTGACCTTTACACTTTTGCTGTTCGATAGTGGGGTTTGTCTCCCTTTTAACAAAGGAAATCAAGTGACCTTAAAAAATCAAAAGTCAAACCGCGAAAACGTAAGTTAGAGACTGAAAAATTTTTAAAACTTTTCCTGAAAAAAAAATTATCAAGACCTATACAAGAGCTTGAACTACGTTCATCAACACTCAATCACCAGCAAAAAGCGGCAAGATAGCTTGGAACATGCAAGAAAGGACAAGAAAACAAGCCTGTGAAAAAAGCAGGCTTCGAAAAATTTTCTGATTACGGGACTCGTAAATTTCATATTCCGCATCGAATTCCAAAAATTCAAATCCATATTCGAATTTAAAATTTTTTGGCGCCATTTCTACTTGCGTAACTTGACAGCGCAATTTGCTTACCCTGTAGGAAATCAACTTGAACTGAACTCGATTAGAGCATATATAAAATATTGAACAAACTTTCCATAAACAAATTTCAAGACTTTCCTGGAAAAAATCACCACGATATATATTGTGAGATATCAAAAACGTAACAGCAAAAATTTGATGATGCAAAAACTCTTTTTTGAGATTTGCATTAATTATTGGCTTGCTTTGATAGATGACATTAAAAATTGATGATTTGCCTGAAAATTAATTTTTTGTGCAAAATAACATGTAAGAAATGATCTGTGTATTAACTCAATCATTTCACAGAGCTAAACTATACCTAGTTTCACTCGCAGAACTAGATAAACATCGCCTTTTTGTTGAAAGAACACTGCGGATTAAGTTATAAACATTCATGTTTCATTTAGATCAAAACTAGGTTTTCCTGGTTATTTTCAGGCATTATTTTCATCCAAGCTTTCCAAACTCAATTTTAGGCAGAGACGCGAAGCGGAGCATGACATCACTAGCGATCGAGTGAAATCAAAAAGAGACGACAAAAAGGAAAATCGCAAAAAAAAATAATAATTTGAGAAAAACATAATTATCACCATTAAATAAACTATGAGTATTCGCCAAGCGGCAACTAAGCCATCACCAAGTCGGCAGACGCCCAACCAGCAAAACAAAAAAATAAGCAATACATTTTCAAACTTTTAGTTATGGAATGCAAACTGCATGAATTTTAGAAAAAAAATATCAATCATTTTTGCCAGTGAAACGACTTATCCAATAAAACATCAGCAAAAACAATATAGGCCGAAAAAAATTTAAGCAAAATAAATTTAAAGCTTATTTAAAGAGAAAACTACTACTATCTCATTCAAGTAGAATCTTTCTCTCAGATTTGGCTGGGTAGTTTTCGAAACAAGAAGAATAATCCAAACTAGGATCAAAAATTCAAAATTTGACTTTTTCCTAAAACCGTAAACTTTTCTCGACTTAAGCATGGGAGTAGCCTCTTATGCAGGGAAAATTTTTCCGAAGTCCATATCGACTTTTCTAAAAACAAGTACGATACACAGATTACGCAAGCAAAATCTAAGCACCATGTTAGTTTGATAAACTATCGACCTCAGAATCGGCAGGTTAGTTTTTGGAGAAAATAGCTTCCAAAAAAAACAGGCTACATTTCGAAAAATGGACCTTTACTAATGCCAAACTTTTTTTAAAAAAAAAACTTACGGCATTTACTCTTTGCTTTCTTTTTTTTTGCTTTCGGTTAAAACCTTTATCATCAATTTCGCAGGGTAGTTTTTGAGAAACGTCAAAAAAAAATTAAAAATTAACCAAAATGTCAAAAAATGGGTATGCTGAGGACATGATTTTTTAACCAAATTTGCGGAATGGCCGCTTGAGAAGCCAAGATCCCCATGATTGAAAATTTGATCTCAGATTTGCGCTTTAAATATTTGAGAAAAAGAAAAAAAACAATTAGCTCAAAAATCCCCCTACTGAAAATTAGCTCAGAAATCCCCCTACTGAAGGCCGTAGTACGTGGGGTAAAAGAAAAGAGACTAGCAAAACATACAGGCACATAGAAGAGCAGCCGATTTTTCTATTGGTCCTATTTTTTTACAATCAGTACATTAATTTCTGAAAAAAAAATTGAGATTTCTGGGGAAGTGCAAAAATTTTCCACTGCATCGCAAAAAAAAACAACGAATCCCATACATTTTCATAATACCTGTTTTTTTTTTTCAAACAGGACCACCTAACACTAACCAAAAACAAAGCAGCAACATATGCTATTAAATTGCCTCTGCTTAAATACGATTAAATACGACTAGCCAAAAATAGAGCAGCAACATATGCTGTTAAATTGCCTCTGCTGAAATACGATAAAATCTTAAATTCGTTAGGTTGCAAGGCTGCGGCTGGCCTGTATCGCAAGTGATCGAAGCTCCGAGTTTTGAACACAGAGGCTAAGCTGTGCTTCGCAAACACTTGCGAGAACACAACCAAAAAGCTCTATCAAGTGAAATAAGAAAAAGTAGAAAAAAAGCCTCGAATTAGCAAAAACTCGGCTACCTGTAGGATTCGAATCCGCGACCTACTGCAATCAACGAACTTACTGCATGAATCTGCGACCTACTGGATGAATCTGCGACTTACTGCCTTTTGAGTCTCACGCACTATCCACTCAGCCACGCAACCTTAACAACTGACAAACACTAGTCACGAATAAAGCAGCTACATATGCTAATAAATTGCAAATGCCATTCAGCAAAAGTGGCACCAAATACAAATAGGCTCAATTATGCAATAACTTATTTTGAATATAACAAACTGAAGGCACCCACACTAACTTTGCACGTAACAAATCGCAAAGCATAAAACCACATTATGTATAAATTAAGCATTTCAAAAAAATTGCGAGATATATTGAGTTAGAAAATTTCTGAAACCAGTTTTCATTATTGTAATGATGTTTAAAACAAACCTCTATTTTCTGTTCATTTGATGATTTAAAAATGCATCAACTGTGTTAACTTATTACTATTCGAACGTCAAAGCACACGCTATGAAACAGTTGTAAAGGTGTCCCAAAAGTAGCACCAATATTTGTGACTTAGGTTGGAAAAATAAGAAGGTTCGTACTAACACACTCGCTTCGCAAGTGAAATGAACCCAGCCTAATGGCACACATTATCGATCACTAATTATTGTAGTGGGATGCTTTAGTTGTGAAAAAATTGAATCCTGATCTTCTGTGAATTCAAAAAAGACAAAAACTATTCTACCTGGGATGGTGAATTTGAACTCATTTCTGGCCGCGTACAAGCAATGAATGACCTCCGAAGACCCATCAAAGTTCTTGAGATTGTAGAACCGACAGTATAGATATCCAGGGTTGCCTGGGGACCCCTTGACTCCTCTTTTCCCTCTCCTCTTTGAGCCCCTGTCGCCCGGGACCCCTGGGATGCCCCTTTGACCTTGTTTGAACCCGGTCCAGCCCCCAATCAGGATTCCCCAGTCACCTCCATTGGGACCTTTGAGGAGCAGAGCTCTCTCGCCGGCATCTTTGTCCAAAAAACATCGACTGTTCGCATCTTTAGTGGAAAGCTGAAAAGCAACAAACATTTCTAACTCATCTTTCTTGCGAAATTCAACAAAAAATTATAATGATCAGTTTATAACAATTCAGCCACGCACGCTTAACATATCAAACACTAGCCACAAATAACGCAGAGAATAGATGATATGAAACTTCCAATGCTACAGAGCGTGATTATAGCAGTGCCACCAAATAAGAGAACACTTTTAATGAACACTTCTATTTGCGAGTTAGGTTAGAAAAAAAGAAGTTTCGTACTAATACACTACGCTCTCAAGCTTGCTAGTGTGATAAGGGTCATTTCGCTAAAAGTGTGGTCACCTGTGATTGTGCGGGCAGGGTGTCCAGTCCGATGAGGTGTGAGATGGCGAGCAGTTTGGAGTTGTCGTCGAACACGAGGAGGGAAGAGAGCATGAGACTGGTGGAGTGGACTGTGGTGATGCGGAACGACACCTCCCCCCACGTATTCAGCAGACTGCATCAACAACAACAACAAAAGACAATACAACACAACTCAATTGTAAATTATTCCATGCTCGTTATTCTACTTGACTAAAATCGAAAATTCCGAAGAACGTCTCACGAGAATTCTCAAAAAATTAAAATTACAAGCAGCGAAATATTTTCTTAAAAGCGAAACAGACTAAAACACGCTAAACTGGCGGCCTGGATAACAGACTGATCCGATTTATGAAAAAAGCTTTGATTTCTGTAAGTTAGAAACGCGAGTGAAAATAAAGCTGTCAGATCGAAGGATGACTTGAAAATGAGTTATAATAATTAAACTGACACATTGGAAGCAGTGTCCATGTCAATTGAAGTCTGCTCCTGGCACGTATGCGTAGGATGCTTGAAGTAGCTCAGCAATCCACTGCCATCTGACCTCTCGTATTGGCCAGCCGACAGAGCAAACTTCGCACTGGAGCAGACAGGTGGATCGAACTTAATTGTCACCTGCAGACTAACGCCCGAGGTTCTGTCCGCTTTGGCGGCACTGGTCGAGCTAAAACAAAGTCAGAAAACAGTTGGAAAATGTCAATGAACTCAACCAGCACGAAAAACGCCCATATATGTTTTTGAAAAAGTTCAACGTTTCAGTTTGACAACAATCAATCTACAGCTCTTTGAATTTAAAGAATCTTCAATTATTGACACTTACGAAAAAGGCACCGCGACAACTCGATACAATAGACATCTCTTTACAAAAAGACATCCCTCAAAACCAAAACTCGAACAGTTATAAATTAATTTAAATATTCGGTTTAAGGTCGCCTTTTTTTGTGTCGCTATTAGCCCGTTGTTTGGGGAGCGTCCGGCATGTCCTTGCCGAGTTCTGGAACATTGTGACGTCCGTCGGTCAAAGCCACAATCCTAATGGGTCAGTTTTGTTGTTTTAGGGACAGTCAAATTAGTGAAATACAGTAAAGGGAGCAGGGCAGAAGAGACAGTTTGGAGGGACATTTAGGTCTATCCTATTAATATAAGTATTTAAGTAGGGGCTGTATCCTGATCTTATTTGGGCCAGGGTAAGCCTAGTCGAGCGAGGGAGGGTCTGTTCAGTTTTTGAAACTTCTGGGAGTCTTGAGAAAAACTTTTGGCGGGGGAGGCTGTCTATAACTTTCTGGACTCGGTTTATGTTTATATTCTTCATAAGTGTTTTAAGATTGCAGTTTTAGGTGGCTAAACTCATTAAAAGGGTCACACCCGTTTGCTTCTAGTATTATTTGTTCAAGTTCCTCTTTATAAGAGTCTTAAGATGTTCACGCGTTGCTGGTGGGACGGTCGAGTATGGTAAAAATTGAGGGGGTTGATTGGCAAGTAGGTCCTGAGGACGAATTGTTAGGCAAGAGTTTGTGGTGACTTTTGACGTTGAGTAGTTTCCACTCTGAATGTAGGTGACCATTGGGAGTCATCTTTGTACAACCAGTCAATCTCCTTACTGCTGCATTTTGCAGTATTTGGATTTTACTTATGGAGGTATCACTCGCGGCGTGAGACCAAGCTGTACAGGCATACTCCAGGATTGGTCTGATTAAAGTTTTCTGAAAAAAAAAACATTTATATTCTCACTCGACTGACCCCAGTTTGAACCAGACAGCGCCTTCAGGACCGATATCCTGCGCATGGCTTTGCTTGCTGTACGTTTGTAATGTTCAGCAAAATTTAGTGAAGTGTCAAAAAAGACACCAAGAACTTTGGGGCGCTTTACGACCGGCAATAGTGTTTCGCATATTGTAACTTGAGAGTCAGAGTTAAAATCTTTATTAAGCGTCGTTAACAATTTACAGAGCCCTTTGTAGAGGAAAACTCAAGCGATCTACTTGTTAATAATAGTCGTGCAGTGTGTTAAGATAATTACTTAAAGTGTTAGAGGCATGTTTTATGTCGCGTGATTGGACGAAGGGGTGAAAGTTATTGGCATATGACTGAAGTTTGATTTCTGGAGAGGAAATGGGTGAATCATGCAAGTAAAAATTTGAACGAGTGGGCGAGGACAGAACTTTGGGGGACGCCTGCACGTACGATACTGGATGAAGACAAGGCGCCCCTAAATTACGTTTTGGCTTGCTGCCGCTCAGATAAATCGAAAGCCATTTAGTTAAACTATCTGGTACAAAAGTGCCATTAATAAGTTCTAATAATGTGCGATGGCAGACCATGTCAAATGCCTTGGATAGATCTAAGGTGGCTAGCACAGTTCTTTCAGGTGATTGTAACCGTACAACCAGCCATACTTTGGGGGACGCCTGCACGTACGATACTGGATGAAGACAAGGCGCCCCTAAATTACGTTTTGGCTTGCTGCCGCTCAGATAATTCGAAAGCCATTTAGTTAAACTATCTGGTACAATAGTGCCATTAATAAGTTCTAATAATGTGCGATGGCAGACCATGTCAAATGCCTTGGATTGATCTAAGGTGGCTAGCACAGTTCTTTCAGGTGATTGTAACCGTTGCTAATAAAAGAGTCTGGACATAAGTGCTATGGTGGGGGAGTGGAAGAAAACCGTGCTGATGGTCAGCTTCAGGGATATTCTTTGTAAAAGTAGGATGGATTGAAATTTTCACTGCTGGGCTTAAAATCAAGACTGAGCGGTAAGAGTTCGATAACTTAACTTCTTTGGTTGGTTTTGGAACGGGAGTACTTTTGAGTTCTTCCATATTTGAGGTATTTTGTTATGTATTAAGGACAGGTTAAAAGTATGTGTTAAAAAAATTGATGGCAGTTTGTCCCAGATGTTTCAGTTGTACCTTGCAAAGCCGTCTGGGCCCAAGGCTTTTGACGGTTTAGCTGCTTTAATCGCCTCTTCAATTTCACAGGAGAGAAAATTAAGTGGATCGCTAAGCGTTCGTTTCAGTATCATTTTTCTTTTGGTTTTTCTCTGCTGTTTGTTAGATTTATGGGTTCTGAGTTAAGTGAATCGAGTGTTAAAAGGGTTTGCTAATTGTTGAGCCACTGAAAAATTTCATTTTAGGAGCGAATTACTTTGCAGAACTGAAAGGAGGACGTGTGGTGATTTAACTTCCGGAGAATTTTCTGTCGTTTCTTCTCTTTTCCTTTTTTTTACGGTGGGCGCGCAGTGGCAATAACGCAGTTTGAAACGGTCTCCAGCAATGTAATAGGGATTTCAGCAGTTACAGCTGACTAATTTGGCAACTTCTTGTAATCTTTGTTCGTTCTAGTAACAATAATAGGAAATTTGTCGAAAAATTAGACACCCTACTCAGCAAATAAGCATTTGCAATGTCAATTTGTGGCGATTTTAATATCGATATCAATGATAACATCGATATGTTTCAATTTTTCAATAAGTTCCAATTTTTCAGAAGATAACATTACAAAAAAAATATTATAGTTTCTCTTTCACAACCAACAAACAGTTGAGGAAATTTACACAGAGGCAAAGCTGAGCTTCTCACCACTTGCGATACAAAAATGAATAACTATGAGTAAAATCAAATGAAAGAAAAACTTCGAAATTCGTTTTGGTCAATAAATTTACAAAAATAGCAAAAGCCCAAGAGGTCCGGAACAAAATCAACTGCACCATTAAAAACATTACAAGAAGCTTTAGACAAAAATCTAAATTACCCGAAAATTCAAGTTGTTGGAGACATCGACGAAATTGAGTCTTGCATTCGATTTGTCACGAATATGGTTCTGCCACAGAAAGGCGCATATCTACAGAACCAACTAATGTTGAAAAAAATTAAGTCCAGCTAGAATCGAATTCCCGGGCTTTGCCTTCGAGCATGGGTGTTACAGCAATGTAGAAGAAAGCCGAACCTTAAAAAAAGCGGGTTGCTGGAACTAAGCCGACAAATATAAACAAACGGAGGATTGTCCGAAAAAGCACAAACAGGTCCTGACCGGATTTGAACCACAAGACTTTGACTTCTCAAGCAGATGTGTTACTTCTACGCCAGATGCGCCAAATGGTTGACTGAATTTATGAGCAAAATCCCTTGCTTATCGCAAGGGCAAAAAAAGAAGCAAATGAGTACGTCCAGCCTCTAGGAGATGAGTCCTGTGAACAAATTCATTTACTGGAACAAAAGACAAGTAACTGATTGCAATACTCATGTTTAAGGTTTTGTATCCTGCATACAAAATCACTTTTCTTTTACACTTTAAAAAATCAACTATTCAATGTGCCCTTTGTGTGTCCTTTCATCAGGAGGTGGCTTTTTTTCCTATTCCCCCAAATTTGTATAGTTAAAATTACTATTCACATAGCCCGATTGCCAGGAAAATTGACCTGTAGACTAATTACGCAATTACAAACATATGTGGTCTTCATAATCAACCTTGTACAACCACCCGTAAGACCACAAAATTGAACTTAGTGTGAGGTGGGGGAAAAGGAAAAAAGCCGTAGTCATGTATTAAAAACAACCAAAAATGCCAAAAAAAATTGATGTTGATGATTTCATCCCCCTCTTCAATTTTACATTGTAAATAGTTGTATTAAAAACAAATTTTTTAAAATTCCACAAATGGGCTCCCCCCATCCTGTAGAACCCATCTCCTCCTCATCGTGGTGCAGGGGTGTACCTGCACTGCTGCCAGCAGTGTGGGGCTAACGGAGCTCTGGCATCCCAGGGAGTGGCGAACCCTCGGATGTATTCAGCCATGTACCCATATGAAAACTCGATCAAACAATTCACTGTCAGCTACGGTTCCCGCGGTACCTGGGGCCCCCAACTCAGCCGCATTGGGGAGCAAAGCCAAGTCGGTCAATCATTCCAAATCTCAAATCAATCTAGCTACTTGGAACACACGCACACTCCTTCCACCGGAAAGCCTCGCACTAATGGCTTCAACGCTAAAATCACTGAATATTCAAGTGGCCTGCATCCAAGAAACCCGATTCCAAGGATCCCCCTCCATCAACATCAACGATGTTGCAGACACTCCCTCCTATAAATTTTATTGCTCCGGATACGATGACAAGCAGGGGCTCCATGGTGTTGGTATAGCCGTTGAAACAAAACTAGCCAACAACATTATGGAGTGGAGACCAATGGTACCACGCCTATGCTACATCCGCATCCATGCCAAACCAGCCCCCCTCTCAATTATCTGTAGTTATGCCCCAACTGAAGACAAAGCAAACGAAATCAAAGATGAGTTCTATGATGACCTCTCCAAGCTGACGGGCTTGGTCCCAAAAAAGGATCTGATGATCGTTGCAGGCGACTTCAACGCAAAAATTGGAAGTAGATGCAACTCCGAAGCAGCCAACATTGGAAAATTCACCATTGGCGATCGCAACAGCAATGGTGATCGACTCATCAGCTACGCAATGAACAACAACCTCGTCTTATCGAACACCACGTTTCAAAAATCGGTGCACAAACTCCCAACATGGATATCCAACGATGGAAGAACGCAAAACCAGATTGACTTCATCCTGATATCCAGACGATGGAGATCTGGCATAGATGATGTCCGCACGGTGGGCCAAAAAAACTGCCTAATTCAGTCTGACCACAAGATGCTCAAAGCCAAGCTGAAGGTCAAATTGAAGGTATACACAAAAGCCCCCAAATCTTTCCGACATGATGTCAACACACTTAGAAACCCAAAAGTCTCCGACGCCTTTCGCAAGGATCTAAACCGCACATTGGGTAGCCTGCAAAACGAAAGCGACGTCAATGGCTACTGGACGGGCATCAAAGACGCGCTGACAAAATCAACGGAAAAGAACATTCCCAAAAAGAAGTCAATCCGGAACCCCTGGATCTCGCCAACGACCCTACAACTGGTGGAAAAACGAACCAGGGCCAGGACAGCAAAATCCAAAAAAAAAAACATTTCCAGGGACATCAAACGGTCGGTCAGGGTAGATAAAAAGAACTTCTACGAGACCATCGCTGATGATCTCATTGCGGCAGATGCAAACGGAAACTCGAGAAGAATACACAATGCTGTAAGGAAACTAACCGGAACAAAAGCCCCAAACATCGATACAGTGAAAGACAAGAATGGAAAACTTATCACTGATACAAATGGCAAAATTAAACAATGGGCCAACCATTTCGAACTACTAAACCGGCCAACAAAAAATCTAGCGACCCCTCAAATTCGCAGCCAAGCCCTCTTACAAATCAACACTGATACACCCAGTTTGGACGAAATCTCGCTCGCAATAATAAAATTGAAGACAAACAAAGCAGCAGGAAATGATAATATCCCCCGGAACTTTTTATTCATGGCCAACATGAACTTCTTCCCCACTTGCAACGCCTTCTCTCACTTATTTGGAAAGAGGAGAAGATTCCAAATGACTGGAAGACAGCAGTCATAGTCCCCATCCACAAAAAAGACGACAAAGCCAAATGCTCAAACTATCGTGGCATCTCACTCTTGAATATCGCTTTCAAGATCTTAGAGGCGATCCTTAAAAACAGGCTCGAACCAGCCTATGATACAATTGCTAGAGACAACCAGGCTGGCTTCAAAAAGAAGCGCGGATGTCGCGATCAAATATTTGCAATCAGACAAATAGTAGAACAAAGACACGAATACAATAGACAGACTGCTCTCGTATTTATTGACTTTAAAGCTGCGTTTGACAGCGTCAACCGCGAGACAATCTGGTGCATCCTCGAGAGTCACGGCCTCCCATCCAAAATCCTCCAAATCCTAAGAGCCATGTACACAGAAACGTTTAGTACAGTCAGGGTTTACAACTCACTATCTAACCCATTTGCCATTGTCTCAGGGGTCAGACAAGGTTCGATACTTGCACCATTCTTGTTCAACCTTGTAATCGACTGGGCATTGCTCGAAGCAACGGAAAACCAACCCCTTGGCATCGCCCTTGACGATATGGTAATTACAGATCTAGACTTCGCTGATGATATCTGTTTACTTGAAGACAATATCAAAGACGCACAGACACTTCTTGATCTAGTCACTCGCGCCGCTGCAAAAGGCGGTCTTGAAATAAACACATCCAAAACGAAATTCTGCTCTGCTTATCCTGGAGACCAAATGACCTGCAATGACGCCCCCATCGATAGGGTGAATACTTTCACCTATCTAGGCAGCAACCTGCAACTCGATGGTGACGTGTCACACGAAATCCAGATCCGCCTCGGAAAAGCAACAGGACGCTTCAAACAATTAGACAAGCTCTGGAAACAAAGATCAGTCCCGACCAGAATCAAATCGAAAGTATACAAAGCATGTGTCGAAAGCGTGCTCCTGTACGGATGTGAATCCTGGCCAGTCAAGGCATCCGATACTCAACGCCTCGATTCCTTCAACTGCAGATGCCTGAGAAACCTTGGTGCTCCGACAGACACCATGAGTTCCACCGTACAACAAAGACGCCTCAAATGGCTAGGGCACACCCTACGCATGGAACCCAACATGATACCCAACGCATGCCTGGAATTTGAGAAAGCCGACAACTGGAAGAGACCCCCCGGTGGAGTAAAGAACTCGTGGAGACGGTTAGTGAAGAAGGAACTCCGCCCATTCTTGAAACCCCAAAAAATGACCCACAAGAACTGGGAGGCAAGCTGGTTCGATTTGGCCAAAGATACTGCACTGAACAGGCCGCAGTGGAAAGCAATTGTGAGAGATATACATATGGCGGGCAATGGGCAGTAATGCTCGAAAACGCCCTACGAAGACGAAGACGAAGACGATGTTGATGATTTCATCCCCCTCTTCAATTTTACATTGTAAATAGTTGTATTAAAAACAAATTTTTTTGAAAATTCCACAAATGGGCTCCCCCCCCCCCCCCCACCTCACACGAACGAGTGATTTTACAAGGTTAAATATGACGACCAAAAATGTTTGTTATGACCTGAGGAGTCTGTATGTCAATTTTCATGACAATTGGACAATAGGAACAGTAATTTTAGCTATAGAAATTTGCAGGTGTGGGGGGGGGGGGAGGAAAAGGAGCCTTGGTGGTTTCATATTTTGCCTAAATTCACCCGATGTATGAGCTGGTTTTGTTATATGTAGGAACCGGGGATGGAACGTTGTTCCTTAAATAGTGGATGGGAGAGGACGGTTTAAAATGTGTGTTTCGTTTGAATGTGGAATGTGGTTTTGCACCCTACTCACCCGCCGGAGGAGGCTGCCTTCTTCTTCATGAGATAGACTGTGGTCGAGTAGGTGTTCTCCTCCGTGGTGGGATTGTGGTGTGTGATCTCCCTCAAGTCCAGCCCACTTTCGCCCAGTGTCTCCGAGATACAGTTCAGCAGCTTGGGCCTCTCCAGGGACTACACAGCCAGACAAACAATCCATATTATTTGAACAGAACCGACACTACTCTCGTTTTTTGTTCTAGGAGAGCTTTTCTTCAGAAATACACGCACCACAAGGTACTTCGAACCAAACCGCCACCCGCATGCTGATTTTATTCAATAGTCAACATATACAAAAGTGCCACACAGATTGTATACAAAAAGTGCAATAAGAAAGAGACCAGAAAATGGTTGGTCACCATTTGCCTTCTGAACATTTTCGACAAGCAGATGTTTTATGCTGGCAAATTTCCTTTTGAAAACAACTTCCTAGCATCAAATTGGCGCATTGGTCAGATTAAAGAATAACCTCACCCAATTTAAAAAACACAACTCATCACACTCATGAAAACAATCTATGCAACCAATAGTCCATCGGTCACTAAAAATCTTAAGCACATGTTTTGAAGCAGACTACTGCTGACGTCAGAAGTAAAAACTATTATTAAATCTCATCTTCGAGGAAGGGCAACCTCTATCCCAAGGGATTAGACGTGCCATTAAATTTAATTATATTAACGCCTTCTTAAATTCGATGGTTCAACGAAACAAATTAACTAACTCATTTTAAAAGCAATTTTCGGATTCAAGGGTACTGTTTAGGTCCACACAAATATTCATGGCATATAATTTGAAACAATTTTCATGTTGGTATTTGAAAACAATGGAATCGACCTGACTGCCGTTGATTTTCAAACTCTTTGAAATTCAGTCGCAGTGAAGATCGATTTAGGTTAAAGATTGGAAATTTTGTTACTATTTTCAGGAAAAAAAACTAATGGATCTCGTTAACATTTTGCCTGTTAATAAACAGATGAAATTCGTGACTGAATTCAAAACTTGCGCAAGCCTAATGTGCCTATTCACGAGATGAGTTCATTTTTGGGGCGGATATTCGTTAATCCGTTGCATGTGGGAACTGTTGAACTAAGTGAACAATATGACCCCCCCCCCCCCCTAAATCAATTTTCATTTTTCAGCCAATCAGATACGACTATAGTAAATGCAGGCCTTACGGCTTGAGTTTGCCAATTTATTTTAAGTGGGAGATTGTTCACTTGGTCTCTTCAGTGGGGAGATTGTTCAATTGTTCAATATTAAACTGTTCTTAATGAGATTAGACTTACTATATCGAGTTTGTGAATGAGGGAGGAGTCCAGAACGAACTGGTTGCTTCCAGAGTTCACATTGAGTCCCTCATCCCACGAGTTTTGCCAGGGAGCCAAATTGACCGCCATCTTACGGCTACCGTACTTGATCACTATCTTCAGCTTCTTTCTATCATAATGCACATCGCTGCCCATAGTAAGCTTCAGCTGAGTTATCTTGAAAGGGGTCTGAGAAAAGCCGACTTTGAGTAGCTGTTCTTTAGACATAGTTCCCATTCCAGAAGGAATGTCACCTCTGAACATCGCTCCGTTGATGTTGAAAAACTCGTTGAATACCTGCGAAAGAGGACTAATTAAAATATTGAGCTACATTGTCAGTTATGAAATCATTTCATTTTTACGCTTAAAAGGCTCTTTACCGAATTTTTTCTTGTACACTACCTTGCTTTTACCTTGTTTCATATTCTCGAGCTTCACTTTTAAAAAGTTAATGGGCCAAGTTGTTTTCTGTAACGAAATAAGGCGCGGAATGATAGACTTTTCCGATAAAATTAACCCAATTTAAGGAAACTGTATAGAAAAGTTATTTAAGCAAAAAAAAAAAACGAAATTCTACAAGCTCAGAGTTGGTAGTTTAATTAATACAGAATGAATTTGAGTAAGTGGATCGCTATCGCAAGTGTAAAAAACAAAGGAATAACAACCCTATTATAAACAGAGCTGTAGCCGAGCTTCGAATTTCCAATATATGTCACTTTTAGGGCTAGGCAATGTCACTTTTAGGCAATTCTTTATTACACTTATGATTCACTTATGAACTAGTTTTCTAAGAAAAGATATTTTTTGAGAACCAGATAAAACGTTACATATGGAAAACTACCAAAATTGATCAGTCTTCTTTGAGGGCAATATTTGCAATCCTTGACAGTACTCTGACAGCACACAAATACAAGGTTGGGAATTTCAATTTTGTGAATTATTCTGTAATTTGAGTTTTCTGAAAATTACTGAAAAAATTGTCGCATCTAGTGAACTTAAAGATTTGGAGGCCCAATTTGTAACCCCTGAGATTATTCTGAAAGCCCCCATACAGGTTAGGAATTTCAAACTATGAAAAAAGAGTTTTAACTTAAGCTTCAACTTAAAATAAGTTTAACTTGAGTTTTAACTTAAATCACCAAAAACGTCATATCTGAAAAACTGCAGAGATTTGAGAATTGAAATTTGGAGGCAAGATTTGGAACTCCTGAGAAAACCCTGACAGAAGCTCAATATAGAGATGAGTTTCAAATGTTGTGAAATCTTTTATATCCAAGTTCTCTGAAAAATTTTTTTTAAAATCCTAAAAAACGTCATATCTCGAAAAGTACAAGGATTTGAGCAGTTATATTCAGAGGCAAGACTCGCAACCCCTGACAGTACCATCACAATTTCCAAAAACAGGATTGAGATCTTCAAAGTTTTGGAATTTTTTAAAATCTAAGTTAAAAGGAAACTTTTGAAATTTTTTTTTTGAAATACACTTTGACAGCACCCAATTACAGGGTGAGAATTTCAAAAACTGAGAAATTATTTGAAATTAAATTTTCTAGAAATTTATGAAAAATCTCAAAAATTTCCGTATCTCGTAAACTAAAAGGATTGGTTATTCATAATTGGAGCCAGAATCACAAAAGCTGGGAGAACCCTGACAGCATCACACTATTGAGTTGCTAATTTCAAACTTGATGAAATAAACACTTGAATTTAAACTCGGAAATCCAAAAAAAGTCTTGACCATTGCAATGTACGATATAGATTTAACATTAAAAAATTCTTTTGTTAAATATGCAAAAATAATACGTTGAAAAAGCTTAAACATGGCGAGATAGTGAAGCCCGTATTTAAATATATAATAGATTTTCGATATGCATACTTAACACATCATTACTTAATTTTCAGAATTATTACATGCTTCGGGCTGAAATTCTACGGCAGGGCACTTTTAGGGGGAGTTGAACGGTTGATCCATAAAACCTCTGTCGTCTCAGTTCACCACTAAAAAAAAGATTTACAGGCAAAAAGCGAAGAACTAAGATCTATTTTTCTCGACACAGAAAATAATTGTTGAAAGTAATTGAGTGTTACCTTTGACCATAACTCCCTTGTGAGAGCGTCAGCTTGCATCAACTTCGACCCATCGTGGCGTTCATTCACTGAGTCATCGTGATTCAGCATTTTGCCAAGTATCCTTTCCGTGTCTTCTTTATACTTAAACGGATGTGCTTGATGCGCGTGCCAAACAACGTCAAAATCATAACATGGAACCAAGAAAGTGTTTTTATTGTGACTTTTCAGAAATAAGTATTTTTTGTACCGCTCGATGGCTTTCTCGAGGAAAACTTTGTCCAAGTAGTGGGGCAAACTGCACTGATAGAAGAACGTTTTCTGTCTCGACGACGCTGTGGCAATATCGTATGTTATCTTCGAAACAAAAGACTCGGGCGGTTTTGATATTTTAGTGCCACTTGAGTCGCTTTTCAAATCTATTTCAAATGGCTCCTGCGGGTACGTTTGTTCCCATGCCTTCTTCGCAGCAGCCATTGCTTTCGAGTAATCTTTCGACGATTTCAGTTCATGGTCAACTACACAACCCACTATTTCTTTGCAGTCTTTTTCGTAGTAAAGCGGAGCTAACATATGCACATGCCATGCCCATTGAATGTCCAGAGGAGCCGCCCACTTGGCTGAACCACTCGAAGTGAACTTCGAAGCGAGGGGCAACCAAAACGTTTCGTAACGGTAGATCGCATAGTTGATCAAAGGCTCGTCGTATAGACTCGGAGTTTTGTTCACGAGTCGTAGGAAGTCGATGCTGTTTCGGGATGCTTCCAGCAGGTTGACAGAGAACTTGAAGGCTTTCTCGTTGAACTTGGCCGTGATCACTTTACTGCTTTCACTGTACGCGGGCGGGGGCGTCTCCGAAGTCTGTTGTGGGCCATCCCCACTCCCGCCTTCAGCCATATTCTCTTAAAATGCATGTCAAATCAAGAATACAAAAATAAAAAACAGGCAGAGTTGGAAAGACGTACGTAATGTCACACTTTTTCTTCTTTTGTAGATCATAGCTCCTTTATCTCACAAAGAGTTCTTTGATGAACTTTTTTGTTATCTAAAACAAACCCAATTAGAGATAGCCGAATTACACAAAGGCTATTTAGTACGCTGGGACTTCTAAAACCATATCGAATTTCAAAACTTTGATTTCTGAGGAGCGTAACTTAAGGAGAGAATTATCAAAAGAAATTGAAAGTCAAACGACAAAAGAGGAAACATAAGCATGGTTTTTCAAGAAAAACAAACCACATGAATTATCGACACTGAAACCAGATTCAAAGCGGAACCTCGCGCCATTTTGATTGATCACAAACAGCATAACAGCATTTAGCTGACAGAAAAATTAGACGAAAGCCTTTAAATAAAAAAAAATTATTAATCTTTTTCGTGCATTTGTCTCGAATCAATTTGACTAGAGGAGTATGCAGGCACACAGGGTAGTGGGCAGACTTCCCATTGGACTTCCCAAAGCGTCTCAAAAAAATGAAACCTGATTCCATACACTTTCATAATATCTGTTTTTATCAAACAAGAACAAAAGAAACTGAACTTCGAGACTCGTGTTCAAACCATCAGAGGGTAATAATTATCTGGCCTAATAGAAAAAAAACTGCATAATGGAGATCTTAATTTGAAACTTATTCTGCTTTGTCTTAAACTGCCCTGCCTTGCCTAACTCTGCCCTTCCTTGATCTGCCTGCCCTGCCTTGTTTTGCGCTGCGCTTCCCTGCTATGCTTCTTGCCCTGTCCTGCCCTGCCCTATCTTCAGCTGCCTTTCTTTGCGCTGTCCTGCTCTGCTCTGCTTTGCCTTGCGCTCCCCTACCTTGCCTTGCCATGTGTTGCTCTGAACTGCGTTGCGCTATCCTGTCTTGTTTTGCGATGCTCCACCTTGCTTTGCGCTGCCCTGCCATGCTCCTTCTGCTTCCCAGCGCGGTCATCCTCTAACCCACTTTACCTTGCGCTCCCCTGCCTTGTTCTGCGATGAGTAGCTCTGCCTTGCTTTGCGCTGCCCTACCAAGCTCCTTGTCAAGCTCTGCCCTAAATGGCCCTGTGCTGCGCTGCCCTGTTTTGCCTTGCGCTACATCGCACTGGGCTGCTCTGCTTAACATGCCCTGCCCCTACTTCCACTGATTTGCTCTAATTTACCTGCCCTGCACCTAGCTGTTTTGCCCTGTCATGACTTGCGCTGCCGTGCCTTGCTCTGCCTCACATGACGCTGCCCTACTTTGTTTTGCGCTGCGCTGTCTTGCTTTACGCTGCCATACTCTTCCTTGCGTTGCCCTGCATTGCCCCTCCTTCCGCTGCCCTGCTTTGTTTTGTGTTGCGCTGTTCTGCCTTTCCTTGCCTTGAGCTGCACCGCCTCTCCTTCACTTGCCTTAAACTGCCCTCCTTGCGTACCCTTCTTGCCCAGCCTGCCTTAAGGTGCCCTGTACCTCCTGGCATTGCGCTGCCTTTCTTTTTGCTGCCCTGTCCCTCCTTGCCTTGCGCTGCCCTGCCCCAACTTGACTTGCGCTGTTCTACCTCTCGCAGCCCTGCCTTGCGCTGCCCTGCCATGTGCTGTCCTGCCCCTCCTTGCCTTGCGCTGCCTTGTCCATCCTTGCCTTGCGCTGCTCTCAACCTCCTTGCTTTGCGCTGCCCTTTCCCTCCTTGCCTTGCGCTGCCCTGACCTGCGCTCATAACTTCATAACAATCTGTTTAAACATTTGACCTTGACCTTCGCAAGCTTGCTTTATCTTAAAATTTTTAATTGTTAGCTCAAAACAATTCAAACGTTACGAGTGGTAAGCTCTTAAACATGTCGCCCACGGCAATTGAAAACAACTTACAATTAAATATAATATTTTGAAGACAACGAGCCGAGAAAGACAATTGCACACAAAAAGCTTAGAAACAAAACTTAACAATACCCTTTCTCATCGCAACGGTATTGAATCACAATATAAGCTGACAATCTAGTGTAGACGTATGATGGGTCGAGAAAAAAATTTAAAAATTGCGCTGCAAAAATTTTCAACTCGATGTGTTTAAGATCCGAATACACCCGTGAATAAAAATTCTTATCGCCCATCAAACCACACCCCTTTTGTCGCCTAAGCCAATAAAAGATTACCCAAAAAAATCCCAGCTGAATAAAGAGTTTCAGTAAAAAAAAAAGAAAATTATATAAATTCTGAGTTGTTTTATAACCAACATAAATACAAAATTCTGAGTAAATCGAAAATTTGAAGTGCAGAAATTCTCAAAATATGTCACTGAAGTACCCCTCACATAATATATAAACTATTACACTTTTACTTGTAAAAAAAATGTATTATGGGAAAAAATCTAGTTCACGCATCCAAGACGAAGTCTCTCGCGAGGTTACCAGCGTATCGAACATTTATCAAGTTTGTGAGCCTACAATTCGTAGCAAGCAAAAAATAGCCAATCTCTACAATGAATAAACTATAGAAAGTAGAAGCTCAAGTATTAATAAAATATTGGACAAAAAACACATAGCCATTTAGCTCATGTATCAAAGAAAAACTGAAAAATATTTAAAAAGTAAAATATCTCATGGTTGAGTCTCATATTTATACTTCACGGCAGAAAATGGCCGCCCAAAAAACTTAGTGCAAGTTTGAAATGCAAACCTATGAGAAAATTTGGGAAAAAAGTATTTCGAATACTGTGATTTTCATGGATCTCAAATTTTCAGAGCAAATTTGGCAAGCACAAATTTGAGGATATTTACTGAAAAAAAATCATCACGGTATATAAAAAAGTTTTCATAACGTTCATTGATAATTAAAAACTATTTATAAAAAAAGTAAGAAAGCTACATCAACAAAAAATTCATAATATGAACTGGCATTGTGTTCAATTTGAGAGAAACATAACAAAACATAATCGACAGAGCTAAAATTTCAGAATTTGAACAATCGTCAAGTAATACTACTGTACAATTGTATAATGGAAAAGGAAACATTCATGAAAAACCAGGATAGCTGTCTACTGTGCAAACCACACAGAATGTTCCGACCATAGTCTTAAAAAAACTTTTATCTTCAAATTAGTGGCGTTTTTCTGAGTGATGTGATAAAAAATATGAAGTAAAAAAATTAAGCATATTCAACGGTATTAGTAAAAAAAATAGCCAACTGGTAGATGGAAAAGAGCAATGAACGCAAGGAAACTGAAAAAACCTGACTTGTTTTTTTTTCAAAATCCTTCAATTTTTGAATGTCAAAGAAAAAAATAGATATTTTAGTTTATAGAACAATTTATGATTGACTCTTTTTTAAAGACTAACCCAAGTTGAGAAAACTGGATCAATAGGCAAAACTTTTAATTCGCTCGGAAATCTGATAATTAATTTCCATTTTCGAAAATAGAAGTCGATCGCGTTTTTCGGTGACCTTTACACTGTTGCTGTTCGATAGTCGAGTTTGCCTTTATTTTCACAATGAAAATGCACTGAAATTGAAAAGAAATCAAAGTCAAACCACGAAAAATCAAAATTGGGCGTGAACAAATTTTAAGACTTTCCTGAAACAGAAAAAAAATCAGCAAGACCTATATAAGAGTACTCACTAGGTTTATTACTCTTAATAGTTCGATATGAAAACAAAATTTGTGGTAACGACAAAAAAAAACTAAAAAAAAATCGTGAAAATCACACATTATTTTTCTGATTGTTTTCGCTGAATTAAATTGAATTTTGAAAAATTTTGATTCCCAAAAACTTTGCTTGAGTAAAATTAAGTTTTCAAGGCGTAAATTAAGCTTAAATAAGACATTGTAAGCCTGCGCGCTAATCTTATTAGCTCGAAATTAAACCAAAAATCAAGAAATTTGAACCGGTTTCTTTTCTCGATCGTATTAAGCAGTTTCCCTTTTAAATGAAGCATTGAAAGATTAATAAGCCAAAACAACAGCAACTGAATAAAACTTTTGGGGAAAAAAAGAACAAAAAAATTTTATCATGACAGACGTAAATATTAACTTAACTAACAGAAATCTCAAGAAATTACGCATGTCAGCCAATAAAACCTATGTGAAAATTCGGTTCGCAAGGTTGGTTAGTTGAAATTTTCTGGTACCCGGTTACGTTTTTCGTGAACTTTGCACTATTGCTGTTCGATAGTGGATTCTGCCTTTCTTTTATCAAAGGAAATGAACTGAACTTAAAAAGAAATCAAAAGTCAAGGCGCGTGCGTAATAACAAACTTGAGCGAAATAATGAAAAATGAAAAAATAATCACGTCCTATCTGAGAGTCTTAACTACGTTGATCAACTCTTGGAAAAGCATCTGGCTCAAATGTTCACAACAATTATATCGAACTCAACACTTTGACATATCCTACTTCTGCTTTTCGCTTCCTTTTAGGCGAATAATTGACGATGATTCTCAAAACCTCTCCCGAAAAATCAGCTCACATTGAGTGGGAATTAAAAATCAAGTACAAAAACGCTTCCAGTTAATCTCTTAACGACTCGCCTCTTTATCTTCTTTACACTCTAATACCTCTTGAACTTTAAATCTAAAATAATTTAGAAAAAACTAAGACGAGATTGTTGTATTAGCGTTCAAGCTTTTATATTTTTTTACACTTTTTTATTTGTTTCGTTTTATAAGTTTCAACACGCGGAATGTCCAATATGTGCCTGCTTACTTTTTGAATCAAAACTGAATTTTCAATTTCTATTTGATGTCCTTGACTGGAAAAACTATTCAATCACACATGAAAATACAATTTATTTGTTAGCATTTGAACTACTGCTAATTAACTTTCAAATATCATAACTTCCAGGAATCATAATTGTTCCCGAAACATAACTTTTGAACATCATATATCTCCCAGAAGTTATATTGAAGTCACTACAAATTGACAATGGGCGACAAAAAGTGCAGATTTGGGTGATGGAATTTCAAGTGGCTCAGCTGAGTTTCGATTTTCAATTTTTTTTTGCTCAGCTGAGCTTAACAAGTTGAATCTGCAACCTATTGTACTATATTACCGAAAATTGAAACTTTATGTACTTGAACTTAAAAACTTCTTTCTGACACCAGACAAAAAACATAGCCAACAGACACTTGGAAAAGAGTAATGAACGCAAGTAAACAGGAAAAAACACTGACTTTGTTGAAAAACCTCAATTTGCAAGTTTCAAAGAAAAAAAGCTGGATGCCCTTTAAAATTTTTGAATTTCTAGAACAATTTATGATTGGAGCGTTTTTGATAATATTAACCCAACTTGAGAAAACTGGATCCATAGGTAAAATTTATATTCCGCTGGGAAATCTTAAAAATAAATTCCACTTTCGAAACTAGGAATCGTTCACATTTTTTCGCGCCATTTCCACTTTCGTATTTGGAGAGTGCAATTTAGCGCAGATTTTTTTCAATTGAACTTAAAAATTGCATTTTACCTAAGTATATCAATATTTTAAGACTTTTTCCTCAAAAAAAAAACATAAAAAAATCAGGAAGACCTATATAAGAGTCTTCACTAAGTTCATTACTTACGTCACTTTCAACTTCCGTGTTTAAATTTCTGAAATGTTAACGCTCTAAAGGAAAAAAATATTGCTGTGAAACGGCTGTCCCTGCTTCTGGCGGGCATTTTTCCTAAGAAAAGTCGGAGATTAATCACGCGTCGTTGTTTTTCGGGGTTTGATTAAAACAATTTCCGTGTTTCAACTTCTGAAATGTTAACGTTCTAAAGGAAAAAATGTTGCTGCGAAACTGTTGTTCCTGCTTCTGGCGGGCATTTTTTGTGTTTTTCCTTAAAAAAAGTCCGAAATTGTAATGAAGTAGTGAAGACTCTTATATAGATTTTTTGTTTTTTTTTCAGGAAAAAGTCTAAAATATTGATACACTTAAGTATAATGCACTTTTTAAGTTCAATTGAAATTAATCTGCTGAAAGTGACGTAAATAGCACCCCGAAAAACAAAGACGCGTGATCTCCGACTTTTTTAAAGGAAAAACACAAAAAATGCCCGCCAGAAGCAGGGACGGCAGTTTCGCAGCAACACTTTTTGCTTTAGAACGTTAACATTTCAGAAATTGAAACACGGACCGATACTGTTTCTATGGGACGAGACACAAATTAGCACTTATGAAGCAGCGAAAACTAACAAGTAATTGAATTGGGACTGCAGCTGAGACAAAATCCTGATAGAGACATTTAGCAAGTGGCATTTCATTGAATGTGAACAAAACCGAAAAAGAGAACTATATTTATCAGAACGAACAGAACAACTTAGATACAAACATAGCCAACAGAGTTGAAAAAAGTCAATAATGGCAATTAAACTGAAAAAAAAAGATTTGTTTCAACTTTCGAAATTCAAAGAAAAAATTAGATGGCCGTAAAGCTCTTTGAATTTTTAGAACAACGTATGATTTAACACTTTTCCTGATGAAATCAACTCAATTTGAGAAAACTGGATCAATAGTTTAAAATGTTTATTCAGCTGGGAAATCTGAAAATTTACATCCTCTTTTGAAACTAGAAGTCGATCACGTTTATATTGCGTGACCTTTACACTTTCGTTGTTCGATAGTGGAGCTTGTCTTTCTTTTAGCAAAGCAAAAGAGTTGAGCTTAAAAAGAAACCAAACGTCGAGCCGAGAACAAAAACAAACAAACAAAAACCACCAAGGAATTTCTAAGAGTGAGTACTCACCACATTCATGACTCTTACTGAGTACTTTTTACACCGCAAAATTCTTTTTTACCGTTCATTGATCTTCTCTTTGTTCATAAACTTAAAAAGATCTTGAAAAAAGCAAAACCATTAGGACACTGAAGCTGGGTTAAAATATTTAATAGATCTATTTGTTGAAATTTTAACAAATAAATGTCCATGATTCCGCAGGTGACTGCTTTAAATAGAATAATTTAGAGAGCTACAATGTCATTTATCTCGATGTAAATGCGTCGCGACGAATAGTTTTTTCGTCCCGATCTCACTTTATTTTTGGACCAATTGTCGCTTTTCACAGATGTACTTGTAGTTTTCAGCCAATAGGCTTTTTCTACGACTTAATCCCGGGTAACAATTAAAATCCAGCACCACTTCTCTTCTGAATAACAAAAAACTTCAGGATGATCTGTTAACAGTCAGATTATAGAAATGCGAATTTGGGTTGGTCTTATTGATGACCCCAATCGTACTGTACGGCCCCACAAATTTTGCCAGGTAAAAGAGACGAATTATTATAACAAAACTTGTTCATCACATAGCAAATTAAGTAAATCTCAAGGTCACAGTAAACACTATAAATAGTGTTTAGCGTTTGCAATGTCATAAAAATAAATAAGAAACAGGAAACTAAATATTGGGTAAAAATTTTAAAATGAACAGCTGCTCTGAAGCGAAAATCAGCCGCTCGATTAAAATTTAATTGGACCTACCACTTATCTCAACGTAGAAGCGACGCCTGATCTGTGAATATATATTTGAAGAAAAAGTGAAAATCTTCCAAATGTTGGGCCTAAAATAAAGCGGGATGCATAATTGATGGAGGCAAAAAGCCTTTCAGTTTGGAAATATTTTACCAACACGCAGCTGAAAAAACGGATGAAGTTGAGATGAAAGCTCTCTCTTCGAAGTAGAAAGGCGTTGAATGGATGCCGGTAGGCATACGGCTTTGTTTCGATTTGGGTTCTTTCATGTGCTCCAATGTCAGAGATTATATTTTGCTCATTTAAATTTCCTTTAAAACGACTCCATTTATGCAGCCAAAAAGATAACTATATCACATGTAGCTCCGAGACTAAAGATTAACAGCTACACTACCGTAGCTTTGATACTGACATAAAGTTGCGATTGAATAATGAATAGTTACAACCATTTACAACCAGTTACTACCACTTAAACATCGTCAAATTCTGCCCCAGATTTTGTCATATTCGCCTGTGCAGCCTTTCCTACGTCATCACTCTGCAGCATGGACAAATTCCATGTTCGCTGAAACATTCAACCTTCAACTACACTGCAAAGATTGAATTGAACTGCCTGCCGTAGAATTTGTTGCTATATTTTTTGGTCGACTTATTATTTAACCAATTTTGACTGAACTTTTTATAGTCTGAAAGATATTCTTAATTTAAAGTCAAACTTAAAAAAAACAGTTCACCTTCAATCTTTTTAAAGATATCGAGTAAACAATTGGAAAAGTGTAAAGGAAACAGAAAAGTGAAAAAAAATGTTTATTAAAACTTTCGAAAACAAATATATCACGTTGTAGCTCTGATAATTTCAACTACTGTTTATGATTGGCAAATTATTTGTTAATTCATTCAATTTAGACAGAGCCGGATCAATAGGTGATTTTTTTGTTCCATTGTCAGTTCAGAAGATTTTTGAAACACAGAAACTATTTAAGTTTTTCGTGACCTTTTCAAATTTGCTGGTCTATAGTGGAATTTGCCTTCCTTTTAACAAATGAAATGAAGTGAATTTAAAAAGAAATCATAAAACCAAATAAAACGCGCTCCCTCAGTATTAATATAATTTGGCATGGCGCCAAAGGCGCCTTTAGAAAAATTTTAGGGTCAGTCAGCTAAGAATGGATGTCTCAAAATAGCACAAGGGTGACCCAATCCGCTGGTGGTGGTTTGATAACTGTCATTGAAGGCTATTTGGGATAAATATTACGTGCAATATATAAATAAAGGAGTAGTGTAAGCAACCAATTACTTCGGCTCAGAAATCATTCCTAACTGAAATCTGAATTGAGGCAAATTAAATGACCCTCCAAACAACGCTTCAGAGGTTAGAAAAGTATTATTTTGTTATCAACATGCTTCGGGAGAAAGATTTATTAACACAGAGGCGAAGTTGCACTTCGCATACACAAGCACAAATATGACCGACCACGCTACTGGGGAAAAATGAATGATTAAAACTTTGAGTCTACGAAACTTCTTAAGTGACGCACGTCAATTATGAGTCTACATAATTGCTAAGTGACGCAAGCCAATTATGACGCATTAGCAGTAACAATCAATTAGAAAAAAAAAATTACCAATTAACATGCCTCAATTTTTAATGAGCGGACGCATTTTAACTAGTATAAGAAAAATTTCATTAAAAACATCCAACCCTGCCTATTTTCGAACCCGCTTATTTTGTTGCAGGGCTCCTTCCCTACCTGTACGCTACAGATCCATGACACCTTGAAGCTTAAGTGCTATTTGTACTATAATAGTCTGGGTTAATATCCTTAGCATTGGCTGTACTTAATAGCTGGTAATTGATCGAAATGGACACTTCCAAAATGAACACAATTTGTCGCAACAATATTTGCGTCGCAACAAAATTTGTAACGAAAATTGGAAAAAAGAGAGTTCATACTATAACACACGATTTGCTTGTAAAAACAAAATTACCAAAAAAGACCATTTTCGAGTCTATAACGTAATATTTGGATCAATTCACAGAAGGATGTTCGAGCCGGCCTAATTCGCTGCCTACTCCATGCGTTAAAATAAAACGCCAAACTAAACGCATTTTAAGTATCCAAAAAGGCCAAATTAGCAACCTTCAAAGCCCCATAAGTTTATGCAGATTATATATCTTTTTATTTTGAGCTAAGGACATCAATACTTTTCAGAAAGTCGATATGATAGTCCAAATTTTTCGGAGAAAAACCCGATCACAAACATTCCGTCTTTGTCACGGAAAGTATGAAAACAACCAACAGACTAATTTGCAGTATCAACGTCATACAAAGAGGACAAGACTCTTAGTACTCGCCCTTCCGTAAAAATCAAATTTTATTGATAATATTAAAACTTATATAATAGTGGAAATGAGTCCAAGAACCCATGAAAAAGTCGCTGATTCAATATAAGCCCCTGTTCAAATTTTTAATCAACTGTTTCGAAACTATTTTCAAGGCGCGTTGCGCGCAAATAAATACCAATTTCGAAGAAGACCATGCACTAAAAAAAGCACAACCAGCCCCAAACTTCTTTTTTGCGGTACTTCTTTATAAAATTTGCCTGAAGCGCAGAAGTATTTGGCAACAAAGACACTTGCCATTAAAGGGCAGCTCAAAAAAACTACAAACTTCTCGTGAAAAAAAATTCGACAAACCTTTATGAAGACAAAATTGATATCACAAATTGAAGTTTGGCACACATAAGCCGCAAAAAACTTATGCTGCTTACATAAAAACGGAAACATTTTTTGTACAAAGCTATGCAAACAAATGTGCGAGTTCACTTGCAACAAGACTCCTCGTATATCAGGGCCAAGCCCTGAATGTTCCGACTGTCCCTTAATTCGTATCGAATAGTTTTTGGGAAAAGAAAATACTGAAAACCTATAAATTTTGGACACTATCAAAGTGTAAAATTTTGAAACGTACGAAATTACTACGACCAATTAGCTAGCCTCAACTCATTTTGGAACGATTTTGTTGTGCGGGATAATTCTTCACGCATAAATCATTCGTTACGCTCTCAGCTTATGAATAAACTCTTCAAAGCGTGCATAATTTAGTCCACAACATGGCCAATTTGGCAATTTTCAAACCCCCAGAACTTAACAAAAAAATATCTTTTTAAATTTGAACTCAGGAAGTCGATATCTTCAATGGGGTATAAAAAATTTTGTTGAAAACTATCATTTCAATCGGCGAAAATTTACCGAATAAAAAATACCACACCCAGTATAAATATTGCGTTTTCTTTGAAAGTCAGAACAAAAAATGAAATCGTATATCAGCACAAATTCAGATTGTGTAAACATTAGGAGATAACAAATAGTTGAAGGTGGAACAAAACTGGTACTGAAAATCGTTCAAGCGCTTCACCATATGTTATCTCTACAATAGCAACATAAATTTACTCGTTATAGCAAAATGAGAGCCATTAGAACCAAAGCGCTCATTCGTCGCATAAAACCCAAAAATTCCATTGAATCCGATTAATAAAAAGCACCACAAATTAAACGGTTAAGCGCGACAACAGCTGCGAACTAATGGCAATATGTAACATGGTACCCTTCTCTTCATAGCAAAATATAAAATAAATCAGTAATACATTCCTCGAGTCAATAATCTTAAGAATAAATTCGAGAGTTCCGTAAAACCATTTGATAACTGCTCATTACAAGCGCAACATGGTTTATTCAAAAAAAGTTTGGTACCGTTGGAGTTTCTCAAGGAATATGCAGAACAAGGAATATATCATTTTTGTCTTTCAAGAACAAGAATAATTGACTCAATTTGATAAAATTAGATCAATTGAGTTTTATATTCAGCTAGACATTCTTAACTTTAGGCCCATTTTTGATCGCGAAATGAAAGAACAGTTGTAGTGGGACACTTCACACTTTTGCTATCGGAAAGCATGAATTGAAAGTTGATGATGAAATGGAGTTCAAAATAGCGACCAAAACAAAATGACGGCCAAAAGTTAGGAAACAAAAGAACTATACATACACCACGCTTGAAACAAAAAACTGGTCTTATTCACAAATTATCAAAATAATTTGAGGCCTTAAGCCTCAAAATTGCGTGAATATTCAAACTAATTCAAATAAACGAAAAATTAAGGTACTAATTATTCAAACTAAGCTTTAGTTCTATTTTTATTTGAACCGGATTCATAATGAACCTGGTGAAAACTAGATTTTATATTAAGTTGTTATTGGAATGGAGTTAACTAAGCGTGTTTGAACTCCTATAAGAGGCAACTATCACGAAGAGTTTATTGTAGGAACAAAATAATTGTATTAACAAACAAAACCACAGCTATGCTAATCAGAAAATCAACACCCTAATTAAAGCCAAAACTGAAAGTCAATAAATCTAGTACCCGATTAGTGATAACGCCCAGCAACTATATGATTGCGGGTTCAAATAGCATGTGCGCTGCAATTTGCAAGGCAAGCTCTTGCAAGTAAGCCATAGTTTAATGGCTCCAGTTAAGTGAGCTCTTCTCAACTTAAATAAACTAACCGCTTAGGCCTCTGGCTGGTTGACTGAAAAAAAAAGATTAACAATCAATACATTACACATATCCTTGTTTGAAAAAACTGATTAAATCAGAGAATACTCCTCCCACGGTTTCAAGAGACTATTTTATAGCTCTAAACTAAAAAGAGTTTGACCAAATCTCAGAGATTTGCCGAGAAAAAAAGCGCCGAGATGATCTCGAGGCCTCAGTTAGTGAAAATGCACATCCAAAAGTTACTACACAGAATTTGAATAACTCCTAGAAACTATATTCACAAAATTATCCAGGATGTACAAAAATAACCAAAAAAGTAGGTTCTAATTAAGGGTCACAACAGTGGTTCTCAGTTAGCAGCTGAACATCTCGTCTTGGTCTTTTCTCACGTGAATGAATCGTCTTAGTTTAACTTAACTCGCATGTGCCTATTCTCGGGACTTCTACTTTATTTTGCAGAACAATTATTAAGGATGCTCACCGTAAAAAAACCCTGACTTAATATAAGCTGCGAGCGAACTGCACAATTACCAAACATATTGACTGAAAAAAAAGATTAACCATCAATACATTACACATATGCGTTAAAAAAACTGATAAAATCAGCGAATACTCCTCCCACGATTTCGAGAGACTATTTTATAGCTCTAAAATAAAAAAGAGTATGACCAAATCTCAGAGGTTTGCTGAGAAAAAAAGCGCCGAGATGATCGCGAGGCCTAAATTAGTGAAAATGCACATCCAAAAGTTACTATACAGATTTTGAATACCCTTAAAAACTATATTCACAAAATTATCCAGATGTACGAAAATAACAGTTAAAAAGTAGGTCCTAATTAAGGGTCACAACAGTGGTTCTCCTTTAGGAGCTGAACATCTCATGTTGGTCTTTTCTCTCGTGAATGAATCGTCTTAGTTTAACTTAACTCGCATGTGCCTATTTTCGGGACTTATACTATATTTTGCAGAACAATTATTAAGGATGCTCACCATAAAAAACCCTGACTTACTATAAGCTGCGAGCGAACTGAACATTCACCAAACATAGTCAACTGACAGTTACAAAAGAGTCAATGAACGCAAGAAAACAGAAAACCTGACTTGAAAAAAACCAAGAAAAAATAGATGGCCTGAAAGCTCTTTGAATTTCTAAACAATTTATGATTGACATTTTTTCATATAATAAACCTAATTAGAGAAAACAGGATCAATAGGTAAATCTTTTATTAAGCTGTAAAGGTGCCCCAAAAGAAACACCAATATTTGCGACTTAGGTTAGAAAAAAAGAATAGTCGTACCATAGCAGTACCTCACTAAAGATCGAAGTGTAAACAATGGAAATAAATTGAAGTTGAAAAGAAGTCACAAGGAAAACTGTAATAAAAACAAAATTAAGTATATTTTAATGTCTTCACTAGGTTCATTACTACTCTTAGAAACAATATATATATATTTTTATCAAGTCTGGAAAAAGTCAATAAAATGCGCAATTTTCTTAGCCTACAGAAAACACAAATATAGACAACAGAAAACTGAAAAAGGGTACACAGAGGCAAAGCTGCGTTTCGCAAAAAAGCGATATAACAAAATGCAGCTCTAAAAAAATATGAAAAGGTAGAAATGAGCCTCAAATTAAAAAATATATATTTTTGAAATAAGTCGGAATCAAACTTGCTAGCTCAAGATCTGGAAGGTCACGTTCTCGCAACTGCGCCACGAGCCATTGATACTACCGTAACACTAACCACGAATAAAAACAGCTGCAGATGCTAATAAATTGCCAATGCTATACCGCAAAAATACCACCAAATAAAACTAAATTTAAGCTCTTTGCGCATCGAGCCTCCGACCTGTGCATAGGAGTTTCATTCCCTTCCATCTGTGCTATGATCGCTTGAAAATTTTCCAGCACTAGCCACCAATAAAGCCGAAAACAGTCGCTATGAAACTTACACAGCTACAGATCGTAATTATAGTGAAAGTGTCACCGAATTAGCAATTTTATTTGCGACTTAGGTTGGACAAATATAGATTCACATTATTACACTACGCTCGCTAGCTCGTTGTGTAGGAAAACTTATAGAAACTCAAAAATGTTTTGAATATATCTAAAATTTCAAAGAAAACAAATAAACCACGTTAAAACTCCTTAAATTTCAATAACTGTTCATGGTGGGCGCTTTTTTGACAACGCTAACCCAATTAAAAAAACACTGGATCAACGCGTAAATTTTTTATTCTGTTGCAAAATCTGAAAACAAAATTCAGTATCGAAACTAGAAACTGTTCACGTCTTTTCGCACATCTTGATAGTTCGAATTATCACATAGAAGCCTGAAGCGAATCGGAGCTTAACACTACTATGGACACAGGGAGATAAAATTACACAGGCTCGAAGCTATTTTTCACGAGCACCCGCAAAAAGCGGGAAAAAAGTTTTGAATATGCAAAAAAAAAACACAAAATCAAGTCTGTGAAAAAGTAGGCTACGAAAAAATGAAAAACTTCCTGACTACGAAATTCGTAAATTTTATATTCCGCTTTGAAATTTAGAAATTGAAACCCATTTTCGCTAGATTTCCATTCGCTAAATTGAAACCCATTCACCGCGTTGTTTGGGCCATTTCTGCTCTCGTAACTTTCGCAATTTGCCTACCTTTCAAGAAAATAATTTGAGTTGAACTGAAGTGCATTCATTATAGCTAAATGCATTCATTAATGCATCAAAAGGTATGAATGCACATCTGTAGTTATAAGAGACTTAAAAATAAATCACAAGTCAAACAGAAAAATTTAAAATTGAGCGTGAAAAAAAAAATTTAAAAAAATAGCAAGACCTATAAAAGAGTCTTCACTACGTTCATTACTCAAAAACCTTTTTCCTAACTAAATTGGCTCTGGAAAGCTTGCGAGCATTATTTTTCAGTCATCGTATCTGTTTCAGCAAAAGTTATCACAAAATAAGAATTTATAGTGAACAATCACATCCCATCCGAAGATAAGTAAAAGACCCCTGATGATTGATTTCACAACTTATAAACCCCTAATGATCTGATTACATTGACTCTCTCGATAATTAAGCACCAGAAAAAACTGAAATGATTAACACTTCAACCCGTACCGACTGCATCTCCAAAAGTGTATTTGGACCAGTTATTTAGCAAGGCCAGGAACTTGAGAGCTGCAGTAACTGTTTAAACAGCTTACCACTTGATCTAGTGATTGTTGAACTGAGTGATCTCTGGCATAGACTAAGGCTCTTTTGGTGCCCTGTACAGCCACTGGACTCTTGGCAGCTATAGTTTCCGCAAGTTTGACAGCCTCATTCATGGTGGATTCTTTATCAACAAGTACTCGAGATACCAGTCCTTCTTTCAAGGCTTCATCACTTGTCACTTTTCTGGCAGTGTACGAAATTTCTCTCATGAAGCTGAAACAAAGATAGGTTTTGTAAGTTCAAGTGCACATTTAGCTGCTAGATTGTGTGATGACATTGTATTAACGCCATTTCATGGAGCAAACCATAACCAAAAAAACATAGTCAAAACAAAACCAAGCGATACTATTAGGTTTCCGAAAATCCGAAACTGAGCCAACAGAAATTTGGAAACATAACCAACTGTCAGTAGGAAAGATTAATAACTTCGAATTTTGAAGAAAAAACAAATGCCATTAAAGCTCTTTGAATTCCATGAACAATTTATGTTCGACTCTTTTTCGATAAAATTAACCCAATTTAAGAAAACTGGATCAATAAGTGAAATTTTTATCTCGCTGATTAATCTGATGATTAAATTCCATCTTCGAAATTAGAACTCGATCTTTACATTTTTGCTGTTCTAGTGGACTTTTCCTACAAAAAACGAAAAAAAAGATCGCGCCTATATATAAGTGTCTGAACTACATTCATCTATTCTTAAACAAACGCATGAATAAAGCATAGCAAAACAGACAGTTGGATAAGAGTCAATGAACGCAAAAGAAAAAACATGACTTATTTTTTGGAAAAATTCAACTTTCGACAACTTCAACTTTCGATTTTGGAAAACTTCAACTTTCGAACCACTTGCGAAATTACATGTCGATCAAATTTTTCGTGACCTTTTGCGATCAAATTTTTCGTGAAATTTTGAAATTTCAAAAGCCTTTGATCAGTCGCACTATTATGATAAGGCAACCCCAATTTCAAAATATAGCATCATTAATTCGACTTTTAAAATTCATCAAGTCACCTCACCCTCAAAAACACACGCACATACCACCTTTTTTCGCTCGCTGAAAGACGCAATATGATGCCATTACGCCGATTTCTTGTAGGTCGAAAGCTATCAAGCGGAACAAAAATAAAAAGAAAAAAATTGTTGTCATGATAAACTTTCTGGTTAAAGTAATGGAGCAATTAGTCTGTTTAGGTCTTAAAATAATTGTTGTCATGATAAACGATTAATTCTATTAAAATTTTTAGCATTTTGTGCCAACCACAGGGGAGCATTAACTTTATGTTTCCCTTGAAACTACTCAAAGATGAGTCACAAGTCGATAAAATATAAGCAGTAATCATTTGGGCAGAACAAAAGCTTTTAAGTGAAAACAAAAATGAAAATGAAAAATACGAATGTCATAAAATAAAATTACGAATGTCAAAAAAATTACAATATAAATTGCGTACATTAAAAAACAATTCTAAGGTGTAACTAAGCCGACAAAACTTGAGCAGACAAAGAACAAGCCGGCAATTTTTTTGAAACAGAATATTTCCCGTTTGAAAAAAAAACAGGTCCTGTCATATTCAAACTCAAGTCATCTGCCTCTCTAGACGTAATTGTTACCTCCAGACCAAGTATGCCCGACAAGCAAAGAATTTTAATTAAATAAGAACTAAACCAAAAATTACCATTTCTAATTTTGACCATTCTGTGAACAAGGTTAGTTACTGGAAAAAAGTCTAATACCCGATTGCAACGCCCTTGCTTATCGCAAGGGTAAACATAGCGTCCAAAAAGCGTAAAATAGCGCCCCCCTCAGATATTCGACCCACTCACCAACCAAAGGGTCCCCCTTTGGAATTATTTTATGACATTCATTTTAGGCCAACAAACCCCAAAATTTTTCATAAGGCACCAATATATACTAACTTTGTATGAGAGCGGGTCTTTTTAATGTTATAGGAGCCGCTCTAAACAAATCAATTTGCTCTACCCAAAAAAGGTCGACAAAATTTTCGTAAAATTTCCCCCTCGAGAAAATCCTAGATCCGCCCCTGGCTCGCAACACACCTAGTCTGCGGATAAATCACAAATTGATGCTATATAATTACAAAACTAAAACCAAAAGGCAGCTGAAAAAATGTTGAGGAACGCAAGGAAACCTTAATTGCATGTTTGAAAACGATCTGCTTGCCTGTCATTTGCAACTATCCTGGGCATCCTTTGCAATACTCCGACATCTGCAGCAATGCCTATGTCAACCTCCTTCAGTTGAAACCAGGCGTCGGAGCTGCAGTAACGAACGTCACAGGCCGTCACCAAATTAAGACCTAAACAGACGAACTGCTCCATTACTTTCACCAGAAATATTCTGCATGTTTGAAAAATTTTCGTGTAAATTTTTGCCTGATTTCATAAAAAGAAAAGTGCTGAGGGAGTGGGGTGGGGGCAAAGTGCATTTCGACCACAAAGACACATTTTGAAAGTTCGCCAACTCATCTTTCAATTCCGAGCTATGAATTAAAACTTTTTTTGGACCTTTTTAGGAATTTACCTCTTTTGGCTAGCTTTACAATTTCGGTACTAAATAACAGTATGCTTAGATTTTCTTTTGTAATTTCCGGAAAACCTTTTTTATTCAATAATTTAAAACGCCATTTGACAAATTTCGCATGGTTTGCGGTTGAAAAAAATTACCTGCTCCAATGCAGCCATTGTGTATTGCAGCTATCACGGGTTTGTTGCACTAAAACAACATTGGGTGTAAAACATGAAACAAAGGCAACAGAAAAGGCTGTTGGACATGTGTCAACGAACCCATGCAATCAGAATTTTCCTATATTTTCAAACTTTAAGTTGAACCAACTTAAGCTGTTTAAATTTCAAAAACATGCAAAATCGACACTTTCCGCTAAAACTAACCCAATTTAAGAAAACTACATCGAAGTATATTTTTTCATTCCCTTGAGAAACCTTAAAAATTAAATGCAACATTTTGTTTGAAAAAGCCATACAACCTAAATATGTGTCCTCACATTCATTGACTCCTAGGCCAAACATGGCCACTGAAGTTAGCCGTTAAAATAAATGTGGGTTCCAGAAGCAGCAAAAATCTAAAACTTTTGAATTATCTTCCTTTATGTGATACAAAGCGGATTTGTTTGTTTTAATTTCACGGATGAAATCTTTCCCAATCGCTTCGAGTTTACGTTGATTCAAACACTTCCACAAATCTTATTGCATACTTCTATTTCTGGCTCTGATTTTTCTGCCATATATGTTATTACCATACAGCAAGTGCTCAAGTTTCTTCAAACTCTCAACCAGATGAGCAGTAAAAAGTCTAGTCTACGATTAACCAATCAACCAGCATGACGAGAATGAACTAGAATTCAATGAACTATACTATACCAGTTCGAGGGCTGTGATGTCATCTTGGAACTTTTTGACGATTGCCTCGGCTAAAAATGCTCGTCTTCCCACGTCACTTTTCTTCGCCATTGACCCCGCAATATTTTGCATGAAGTCAGTCAGGTCAATTCCTGAAAACAAATTGCAGACTAACCTTTTCGAAATTAAAACTTACTGTTTGAGGGATCAACGGAATCGTTAAAGTCACCACTATCATCAAGTTTTAAAGTCGTTAAAACTTGGGAGTAAACCTAAACTTGAGTTTTCAGAGCGTGTTGAAACTGGATGTTCATAAACAACTAAACCGACCCTTAATTTGCGTCCAATATATTGCGAAGAACTTCAAGATCAAAAATATTTACAAATCGAAACACCAATTTCATTTCCAAGCGCTTTAAGTCGAGTTCAAATAAATAGTCATAATTCGGTTGCTCCAGTTTTTCAGGCTTAAAATTTGGCTTGAATCTTGGAGAGATGTGCCAAATATGGTAGTCTGCTCACCTGCAGAGAAGTGTTTTCCAATTCCACTGAACACTATACTTCGACAAGATTCATCGGTAGACAAGTAGCGGAAGCAATCTCCGATTTCACTGAAAAAAAATCAACTCTGAAGTACGCCACGGAAAATGAACAACTAGTTTCTTGAAAAATTATTGATTAAAAAACGTGTCAGATACAAAACCGAACTCGAAAGTAAACATTTAAAGTAAAAAAACTAGTAAAGCGAATATAAAAAGACCAGTTTTTTCACATTAAGAGAAAATTTTTCAACACGCCCCGAAAAATAAGTCATAAATAAAGATAGCCGGTTGCTGTGCACCCAGCACAGAATGTTCTGACCACATAAAAAACTTCAACAAAAACTACAAAAAGATATTTAGAGTACTTTTTTTTGCGCGCGGTGTGAGAGAAGTAAACGAGCGCGTAGAACGTTAGTAAATTGGGCATAATCGACAAAAAGTTTTTTGGAAGGATGCGCTAATTGAAACTTCCAAACTAGTTTCAATTTAAGTAAAACCAAATTTTCTTTGCGAATGACCAATTTTCAGAAGACAAAAATTACCCGCACGCTTTACTTGCTCGAAATTAGACTAAAATTCAAAAATTTCAAGCCGGCTTTTCTCAACACAAGGACATTTTTACGTTAATTGTAATTTTTCAAAATGTCTTTTGAGTCATGACTGAATATGGTACCTTATTTTGCATGTTCTTTCCCTCTTTTGAATCATGACTGAAAAAACTACAATACACCCGAAGACAAAAGTTCCTCTCCATTTCCAATGTTCCGGGCAATGAAACCACACTTGAAGCCTATGATTTCCTTGAACCAAAACCACGTGAACAATAGCCATCTTAGCCAATAGCAATGCTTTGATTGTCTATCAATAACTGTTCAATTTTTCGTTAAGCAATTAAGCAGAACGTAAACTGGCGTTTTTGAAAGAGATGTCAAAGCTGGATATTTTACAAAATGCACATTGATAATTTAACAAATTGCGATGTGGAGAAAAAGCCATCTGAAAAATTTTCGTTCATTATAACGAAACTTAACATAATCGACAAAAAACTACAATATCTTTAACTCCAATTCTCTCAAAAGTCATAGAACGGTTACTACGAAAACAGATGGTTCTTTATTTAAGCGAAAATAGTTTTATTTCTGAAAATTAATTCGGGTTCCGTCAGCGCTCCTCTACAACTGATGCGCTTTTGAAGTTCACAGACGCAGGGGGTTCACATCGAGATAAGGGATCCAACCGATATGGCAAACGCAGAGTAAGTGGAATATCGGTTTTCTGGTCAAAACAAAAGCTGGAGAGTCATAAAAGGGGCGGAAGCTGCAGAGGGCAGGCACCGGAACAAATGGCTTCTTCAAGAACTCGGCGATAATTTCGGTGTCTACCAATGAACCACAAATCGCCAAGAAAGCAAAAATTCAAGCAACGGATGAAGAGCTAGTGAACGTACAAAGAGTAGATATGTGGGTAGACAAAATTACAGCTTTACAGAAAGAAAAGAACGATATTCAATTTTTAAAAATTTTTACTGGAATCAAGGGCTGCCCTGTCTTTATTAACAATGGAGTCAGTTCTTCAAAATGTGAGACAAACCCAAATTGTCAAACGAGATGCGTTTGTGAACCTGATTTGAAATGCTGAATTTTGGACTCGTGTTAAGAAGCTAGCAGACCGATCGAATATCCAACCAAGATAATAGGAAAGCTTGAGAAAGAATCGTCCGACCTTTCAATTATCTTTAAGAAGTTCCGAAAACTCATGGACCACTACGAAAAGTTGACGGACCCAATTGATCAAGCAATTTACGTCAAGTTGGTTAAAAAGCGGTGAAACTTTCAAACGCATACCGAGTTAATGGGTTTTGCGTACATTCATACACCGAAAAACATTCTTCAGGACCGAATGGTAGGAACAGAGAGAGTCGACTCCATACGCCACTTAAGAAAATACGGCAGTGTTTTTAACCCCGATGTGGAGGAGTTTGAAACCTTCAATAGCAAACTCAACTCCTATTTATCAGAGTTTGTTACTATGAACGATGAGAGAAAAAGCGAGTTTTTTTTTTGGTTACTGCGTATTCCTAAACTGGGAAAAAATGCTTTTCGTGTTTTCAGTATTCCGCCTTCAAACGCAGCCAGTGAAAAAACTTGGAACATACTGGACTTTCTACACTCCAAGAAACGAAATCGCCTTGAGTGCTTCAGAATCAAAAGTTGACTTTTATTTACATTAACTCTGTTCTACTTGATGATGTTAATGAAATGAAATGTCTCAATATATATTCCGAATGAAATTTCCTTCATGAAAATATCCATTTTCTAAGGTATCAGTACATGTACTAGTACGTACCAGTACATAATGCTCCGCTTTTAGGTGGTACTAGTTCATTGCCAACTCTAGTCTTACTCCTGGATTCTTATCTAAGGGTATTAATATACCTGCATGCGTTATATGGTTTCGTTATCGTATGAACAGGTTGTTCTGCCTGCGATGTCGGCCACATATTTGACACTTCAAAACCCGCTCAGCTGAACATTTCGTTGCAACGACGCCTGTGGTGAGTCATCTGAACAATTGTGGTGGTCTCAACGAATTTGAGTAATCAATTATCGACAAATTCAGAATCTTCCATGCTATTAACATTGGAAGCGCTGCACATCGACCGCCTGAAACCACATCTCAACACCCGGGAGGAGTAGCGCCAGCGCTACCTGACCATCAGGGTATAACTGTTTCTTTAGTAGTTGTGAGGTTTCCTCGTCACGTTAGATTTTCCACAATGGTGCTATTTCGCATTCCAGGTTGCTTTTTGTTTGATTTTTGATGTTTTGTTACATTTGCTCATGTTTCAGATTTAAATGCTGATGATCAAAGTTAACCGAAAACGTTTCAGGCAGTAAACATTGATTCATATTCTGTTTATTCAGAGCTCTAATTAAAAACGAAAAACGCGAAAAAAAAATATATTCTTTAAGAAATCGATTTCAAAAATCATGGACCGAAAAATCATGGACCACTACGAAAAGTTGACTGACCATACTGATCGTGCAATATACGTCAAGTTGGTTGAAAAGCGGCGGAACTTTCTGCATACCGAGTCGATGGTTTTCGCGTACAGTCTTAGACCGAAAAACATTCTTCAGAACCGAATGGTAGGAATAGATAGAGTCGTCACCATACGCCACTTACGAAAATACGGCAGTGTTTTTTACACCAATGTGGAGGAGTTTGAAATCTTTAATAGCAAACTCAACTCCTATTTATCAGAGTTTGTTACTATGAAAGATGAAAGAAAAAGCGAGTTGTTCGGGGTTACTACGTAGTCCTAAACTAGGAAAAATTGCTATTCATGTTTTCAGTATTCCGCCTTCAAACGCAGCCAGTAAAAAAACTTAGAACATACTGGACTTTCTACACTCCAAGAAACGAAATCGCGTTCAGTGCTACAGAATCGAAAAGTTGACTTGTATTTACATTAACTCTGTTCTACTTGATGATGTTAATGAAATGAATTGTCTCAATATACATTCCGAATGAAATTTCCTTCATGAAAATATCCATTTCTAAGGTATCAAAACATGTACTAGTACGTACCGGTACATAATGTACCGCTTGTTGTGATTTGTTTTTAGTTTGTTATAATGACCTTCGGTATTTTAATTAATACCAGTTTAGTTACGACCATCGGTCGATATGAACGGAAGTTCAGTTGTCCTTTTTAACGTCTTAATTCAACTACTTCCTTTTATCGTTTTAACAATTAAGCTTATGTACATACCTTGTACATAGACACTTAGAATTAGAATAGTTTATTATGGCGCAGTCATATGATTCGAACGTGCGTGGAATTCCCCCCTTTTGGCCTAATCACACCCTAGAGCCACCGCATGCCTGGACCCAATAGAGCGACCAATTCCAATTGGCGATCATTGCGAAAGAAAATCTGGATTTAGAGAGCCTACATGGACCAGAGATACCGGAGACGCAAATTCCAATTTTGGAACAGGCGACAGGCAGCGAGTCGGACGCGGAAAAAGCCAACAGAGAGAGCAGGAACAAAAGCACAATGAAACAGTACGAATCCGCAGAAGAGAAACGGATCAACGAAGAGAAAAATATTTTAATGGAATGAGACGAACGGAGGCGGACAAGAAACTGCGATCAATTTTATTTTTAGCCCTAGGGAGCGAAGGAAAAAGAGTTTTTACACAAAAGAACCCGAGAGTCAAGATTCTAGCAATATCGTTCTCTGAGTTCTGGACTCTACTAGACGCAGCATTTAACAAACCGCCCAATACTACGTTCGAAAGATATAAACTTCTAAATCGAAAACAAAAAGATCGTGAGTCGTACGAACAATTCTGGGGAGCACTGACGGACCTAGCCAGCACGTGCAACATCAAGGAATCCGACGAGGCAGAATGGATAAGGGATATCTTCATTTGCAATATGAAGAACACAGACACCCAGAGGAAGCTACTTTCAGCTACCATAAGCCCGTCGGAAGCACTTAATCAAGCCCTAATCGATGAAAAAGGATATTTTAACCACCAGAAACTGACAAATATGTCACGGTCATCGACCAACGGGACAACTTTTAAATCTTTTATTAACCACAATCATATCAAAAAAAGAACCAAGCTTAAACATCGAAAGGAGTAACTCATGCATGAAATGCGGAAATACATTTACGAAAGGGCACTTAAACGTTTGCCCAGCGAAGGACATAACCTGTAAAAATTGCAACTATAAGGGACACTTCGCCAAATTATGTAAATCACGCAATAAGAGACCATCTGTAAATAATGTATCAAATAATTTCGTAAATACTGAGAATTGTACATACACACCTCCGGAAAACTCGTGGATGGAAGAACAAGAATCATGCGACGTGATAAATGCGTGGAATGAGTACGGACAGAGTGACGATGACGACTTCTCGGTGTTGAGTGTCAGAACTATTTACGACAATAATGGTCTTGAAACAAAGAAACTCCTGAACCTAGGCATTGGCTGGGACATGATTGTAAATATGAACATACCGGTAGATTCAGCAAGTCCTGTAAGCTTTTTAAAACAGAATGTTCTACATGAAATTAAACTAAGATACCCAAACCTCAAGATACACCCAGTGGAGAAAAGAATAAAAGACCTATACTGCGGATTCACCAACGATACGATCAATATCTTGGGAAAAATAATTGTCAGAACACAGTCCAATGGGTGGATCAGCGAAGAAACCCCATTCTTCATAACCGGCGGACACGAGCGTAACATATTGGGGAACGACAATTTACCCAAACTGGGCATAGAAATTTTGCAGAGGAAATGCCCACAACCAATCTGTATGGTCAATCAACCCACACTTGAGAGTGAGTACAAAAACTTACCTTCTTTATCAGACAACATTTTTAATGAGTTTAAGAACTTATTCACTAGAGTGGGGAAAATACCTAACGATCGGAAGGTAACCCATTTTCACACACCTTTTAAACCAATACAGTCCAAAGGGAGAAGAGTACCACTCCATTTACTCGCGGCAGTGAACGATGAATTAAAAAGAATGGAAAAAGAAGGTCACATAATAAAGTTACAGAAATGCGACGAAGATTGCTTCATCAGTCCAATTGTAATCACTCGGAAAAAGGATACTTCAATAAAACTGGCACTGGATTACAAGCTTTTAAATGGTCAAATTTTTAAAAATAAGTATCAAATGCCGAATATCCATGAGCTGATTGATAACGTGGCACTCCAAATTTCAGAAAAACCCAACGGGCGAGTGTGGTTTAGTAACTTAGACCTGAAAAACGCATATAGCCAACTTCAACTTTGCAATCAAACCAGTAAACAGTGCAATTTTAGCATAGTAGGCGGCGAAACGACAGGAACGTATCGGTTTCTAACGGGATTTTACGGATTAGGAGACATGCCCAATGAATTCCAACGGGTCATGGACTCAATGTCGAAAAATATCCCGTTTACAAATTGTTACATAGACGACATCCTGGTAGCCTCGCGTGGATCGCTGGAAGAACATAAAGCAATAGTGCACAAAATTTTATCAATCTTAGATAAGAACAACATGGCAGTGAAATGGGGGAAATGCGCATTTTTTAAATCTCACATCGAATGGCTTGGCTTCAAGATCTCAGGCAATGGAGTACGACCGTTGGTCGGTAGAGCCGACGCAATAAAAAATTTGCCAACCCCGAAGAATATTTCTGAACTTCGCTCATTTTTCGGCTCAATAAACCAATATGTAAAATTCGTCCCTAATTTATCCACGTTAAGCTCCCCTCTTCGACCTCTTCTAAACAAAAAATCGCTATACAAATGGGATACCAGCCATTCAATAGCGTTTGAGAAGTTAAAAACGGAAATTGTAAATATTGCAGAAAACAGCCACTTTGATATAAAAGAGAAGACAAGACTAAAAACGGACGCTTCACATAGCGGACTAGGGGCTACCCTAGAACAATTACAGGACGACCAATGGAAAACAATCGCATTTGCATCCAGATTTTTAAACAACCATGAAATGAAAGATTCTACCAACGAACTAGAGTTGCTGGGAGTCGTATGGGCTGCAGAACATTTCAGAAACTACCTGTACGGAACAGAATTCCAAATAGTCACTGACCATAAAGCATTACTATCAGCACTTTCGGCAAATCATGGCAATAAAACGATGCACAGTCGATTGACCCGCTGGGTAAACAGACTCTTACCTTTCAATTTTAAAATTTCTCATTTACCAGGAAAGGACATGGGCTTTACTGACCTTTTATCTAGACTTCCTTCGGGCAAAGCCCTTCCAATTTCACATTATGACGACGAATTTGTAGTCGCTTCAATCGACAGAATTCAGAACATTTTATCGACTAAAATAGATTCTAAATTACTTACTGTAAATTCTGTAGATAGACCAACGGTCGCTGTAAATACTAATTCATGAGTTAATACAATCCCATCGGGAAACGAAAATTCAAGCGACGTGATTGGTCAGAATCAGCTGAATAGCTCGTTAGCTTTACTCAATCTCAAGATTATTGCTGCTATCATATCTTGTATCGCCCAGTCGATAAAAATTTGCCACAACAATCATTCTCGGACAGAAAATTGTACTACAAATTGTCAACCAGTCGATAATTCAAAATTTAATTTTAAAAGTATTACTTTTTCGGACAAAGTCCTCTTACATTTTTTACTTCTAAACAGACACCTCATACCACCTAACAAGAAAAAACAAGAACTCCCAATGGACAAAGTGAACGAACCCCTTTTGATTATCCCCGAAGAACATAATATTGCTCTCAAATTCAGAGACGACAGACTTCCACCCGACCACGCAGATCTCTTAAGAAGATATAAGGCCGATCTGAATTTGCCAAATTCCCCAATTCGCCCAGAGAACCACTGTTCGAAGAAATTGCTTCAGATCATGACTAGAGAAGACAAGGTGCTGTGGGATCTGATAGAGACGATAAAGAGGAATCGACCGATGGGCATACACGGGACTTACATGAAGAACTACACTAAAGACTTACACGTGAAGGATGAACTACTCTTTTTAGACAACAAACTAGTCGTCCCAGCTACCATCAGGGGAATTTTTAATTCTATGTTACACGAGACTCACCCAGGACAGTTCGGGATGAAATCCCTCGCAGAATATTTGTGGTGGCCACATATTTACCGGGAAATCTACCATCACGGGAGAACATGTACCCAATGTTTAAAAGCGGGTAAGAACATCAAAGTGATACTAGGCACCAATAATATTTCGAAACTCCCGACATTGACATTCGCGAACGAAGAAATTAATTTGGATTTTGCGGGACTGTTGGACGCTAGTTGGGGTAACAACAAATACATTCTTCTTTGTATCGACAGCTACACTAAGTTTCCTTCGGCCAAGATTGTCAATAACACCTCTACAAGAAACGTAATTTCATTCCTAAACGATTACTGTCATCTTCACGGTTTCCCAAGAAAAATTAGAGTTGACCATGGGTCATGCTTTCTTTCACATGATTTCAAAAACTTCTGCGATAAATTTAATATAGAAATCATTTACTGTACGGTCGGAGACCACAGATCCAACGGGCTAGTTGAAAGACTTGTGTAAACAATTAAATCGAAATTACTGGCAATGTCATTCGAAATACCCAAACCATCTCTAAACGATTCGATCGAGAAAATCATCTGGAATCTGAGAATCTCAAAGCAAACGGCGATCGGCTGTACCCCGTTTGAAAAGCATTTTAATAGAGTAGCGAAATTAGGTGGAAAAATCTTATGTCCAATACTGACCATTTAGATAAAGGAAAGGCTATATTGTCCAAAGAGCGGGCTACTAACTGGGAATTACACGACGGGGCAGAAGATGGCTATCTGGACGAGGAAAGGGACAGCACGTCGGACCCAGAAGAAAACTTGACATTAGCTAGGACGTTTAGCCTACGCACAACCCCGGATGACACTACCCGAACGCTAGATCCACTGGGAAAAAGAAAAGCAGTAACGGGAGGTAACTTATATAGAAAGGCGTCTAACAGAAAAAATGGGGACCCTTATTTTAATCTAGTTAAGAAGGATATAATGACTCTTCAGAGCACACAGTTACCCTCGACAATGGTCACGTTTTACGTAAATCGGATCTGGCTATAAAAGGAAAAATACTCCCGGGGCCCACAAAGATAATAGTGAATCGGACACCCACTGGGCATAATACTCATATTCATTCGAGTTTAGCTGGGAAAAGGAAACTCTCACCACCGAAGAAAGCTGGATCGATATCAGCTGGCCACTCGAGACAAGGCACCCCGAGAACGGAGATTATCAGTTCAGGGACCAGCGCACCGACTCTGAGCTCGGCCACTCAAGACTCTCCAAAACTTTCTTCAGGTTCATCTTCCTTAAATCTAGATTCGTGGGACGGGATAATCGAGGATTACTTAGACGATGTGACCAATAATAACGTACCTCAAAACTCCTACACCGAGACTAATCAGGTCTTAAGTATTACAGGTCATGCCGAAACCCCACCATTGAGCTCAGAAGGGACAGCAAACAACGACTCACGGGAGATTGTAGTCATACACGACGCGAATACTAGTGTAGGATCACAGGATAATCCTATTATGATAGACAGTATTCCGGAACAGACGACCAGTGTGACTCCAAAGACCAGAAACTCCAGACCACGTAGAAATGTGGGCCGCCCACAGTTTTACGGTAATCGACGATTTATAGACGTGGTGCAAGAGAAAGACGACCTAGGGGCGATAACTTCTGTATTCTCTCAGGCACCGGAATTGTCTAATTTCTCGGTCAACTCTCCTTCGGATCTTTTGACTCCATTAGCGGAGGCACCTCCCAGACAGATCCTAGTCGCAGAAACTACGTTGTCAAGGTCTTCAAGAAACTCACTCCCGACGGGCAGACTTGCAGCATCAACCACGAAGACCCAACTCCTCGAAAATTCTTC